CAGGGCTCCACAATAGGCTTCAAAACATCAATTAGTGTTTCAGCAGCATGTTCTGAAGATCAATGATCGTTTACCTTATTTATTTCAATATGAGAATGATATTCTAGTCACTTGCGGAACTGGGGGTATGTCTACAATTCCAAGTCTTAGTGACAAACCAACAATGCCTTGGATTACTAGACCTTCATTACTTTGTCAAGCCATTTTGACCCGAGCCACTAGCTTTTTCTAAAACCCTTTTTTTTTTAAATTACTTACCAAGCCACATACTACACAATATTTTCTTAAAAATTACACTTCCAAGTGTAATTATCACACTATCGGAAGCTACAGAAAACATCACTAATTAGGATATATCAATCTTTTTTTAAGAATATAGGAAAATAAGCCAGACATTTTATCTTGGTTTTGCTAACACAAAATAATAGACGTGTTTAAGCAAACATGACAGAATAAATCTCTATTAAGTTTCCATCTTAAATTTAGTACTTTTTGAATTCTTAAAAAAATATATATATATAATGAAACGGTTATCTGTGACTGGTCTTCTGATGCAAAACTTGTTGCCTCTGATGCCATAAAATCTAGTTGCTTAGATCGTTGATGTGTTTAAATAAGCAGTCCCAGTGTTCTCAATACTTTACAGGATGCTTTCTCAGCCAATGAATGACTGCAGGCAACACAGCTTTATAAACTGCAGTTAAACTCAGGGACTCTGATTCAAAACCAGCACAGACTGATTTGGATGAAAGTTGCCTCAGACTATTAAACTAATCATCCTATCTGAAATTACTTTAGGAGGACACAACTCAGTTCATTCGGGAGCAAGGTCCCACAGCACAAATCCCATTATCAAATGAGCACTAAATTTGCAAATTCATTCAGAAGGGCCACAGGATGTGTGGCATAGAGAAATGTTACAGTAATGCAGAAACAGGTGCTCCTTCTGAAGCTGTTACTGAAGCACACTGAGACAGAATGGAAGGAATTTCAATGTTCATCTAACTATGCTGGAACTAAACCTCCTTGTTGCTGACACTGAATGCCCCAATGGCAAACCGTCCCATTTCAAGAACAAAATAAGATTTTCGCGAGCACAACATTCAGAGGGAAAGCAAGCATCTATATAAGAAAATCATCCAGTTAAAGTATGAAACAGTAAATCGACAGATAAGGAAATACAAGATGTAAATTTATCTTCAAAAATGTTGTTCCAACATCCAACTGTGTATGAGCAACTTTTTCCATAGGTATTCACATGAGAATGCCTACTGTTACAGAAAATTAAGGAGCTGAGTAACTGCGCATTTAATTTTTTTTACAGAACAAAATACACCAGCTTCATTTTAGTGTGAGCTGCAGCTCACGACAAGATGTCTATAGAATTTTAGAAAATTACTTCCAACAGAAATCCAGGCCCACACAACCAAGGACATTGTTTCTAGAAAATTATGGCGAGTTTTTATAAACAGGGTTATAATTTTAAGGAAATTGAAATGGTTCATGCTTGAGTATCTCTTTTAAATTTCAGGCCACAATGTATCTATCCGCGTATTAAATGATTTTATTTTAACTCTGTGCCAATTTTCTTCCTCACCCTTCTTTCCTGGAGGCGTTTTACTCTTTTTTTCCCCCTTTCCAGTAAGGTACAGTTCCAGAGGTCACCCTCTGTTACCTTGCCCGAGTGGCCATGATTCATGTGCAAATCTTGACAGTATTGGCAGGTTATTCGGCCATGAGGGGGAGGGGGGGGGGGGAGCAAGAGGGCATTACAGCCTCACCCTGATCCTGTCCACACCCGACATCCACACCCATTCAACTGAGGTCTCTGGATAGCAATCAGGAGCGGAAACCCGGACTGATTCTCACCTTCAAAGAAAAATATATTTTTTTAAAGAATAACAAAAATTTGGTCAATCAATCCACCACTGTGTGCGGGGCACTGCTGTGCACAATTGGCTTCCGCGTTTTGCCCACAAAGTAAAGAGTTAATTCACTTTACAACAATATGCTGTGAAGCTTTTGGAGACATCGCGGAGATGTGATAAGGCAGAATATCAAATGCAAGGATTATTATTATTAAATCCCCAGTTGTAGCACTATAACTGCTGCCCCTTTTGACATCAGCTACCAGCACAGACCGGAATTTGAATCTGCAATCTGCCCAGCTTGGTCATACAAGCAGGGGAAGGGGGGAATTTCATTTTATAGGTGAAGTACAACAACTTGATTTCTGACGCCCAGACAGGGATTTGGTCGTGTCTATAAAATCGGTGTGGCTTTTAAAACTTGATACTGAGATAATGTTTTCATTGCCATGAACGGGAATGGTGTTGGACTCAGGTGCTGAACATCGTTTTATCATTTGCAGTAGAGCAGTTCCTGGTGTTCTACGGTACAACATTCTGCAAATACTTCATTCAATTCAAATTGCTCTGAAAATGAACATTAATACCAGGATCACAGATACAATATTATGTCAAGATCTTTCTGAAAACCACATTGATGTCACTGTTTGGCAAGCATCCACAGTTTACACTACTTTCCATTGACCTGAATTGTATCACAGCAAACGACTGTCAAAAGTATCTTAAATTATTTGAAGTATTCTTGCAGTTTACTGGACTTAATTTGGCAAAGCCTATGTAGGCCAGAGAACAAATCTACCAACACAATTTTTTTTAAAACTGGCATGTAGAACAGTCTACAGTCTTTTTCCAACATAACATTTTGCAGAGAAAATCAAGTCAAAGATGCAATTCCTAAAAGGTTTAGATCTGATTTTTAAAAACAAAAACAAATAAGATTGATGTACGGAGTACTTTAGATAATAACTTACTGTATATAGAATGTTACTTGCTAAACTGCATCCCATTTTTATTATATTGAAATTTTAATCACAGAACAAGAACTTGCCATTGGGGAGAATGGCCTTCAAAAGAAAAATTTACTTGTTCTGATCAAAGATTGTCGCAAGTTAGGGAGGTTGCTATATACCACGCAAAACAAATACTGTTTAATAATTCACAAAGTTGTGAAATGTAACTCTACCTCTTCCAGGGAACACATTTTGCAAAGAAAAAAACAAAGCTATAGAAAGCTAGTGATCGAGTTTACCCTATTGATTGGAAAGCTTATCACAAAGACAACAGTTCATAAGTTCTAAATGAGAAAAAAAGATGCATCGTAGGGCTTTGACATCCCTCGTTGCTAATTAGTTCTACTTCTCTCTGAGAACACAGGGAATATTAAATCTCAAACCTAAAACCTTAGTGAAAGCAAACGGCAGTGCCAGTAACGGCACTTTCACAGTCATATCCATGCCAGATTGTTTTTCACAAGAATTTATGTCAGTACATCAGACAAAAGCTCTGATTGATTGGGTTCAGCTAAACACAAACAATTTATTTCTCATGCTTGGGTTTGTAAAGTTGGAGTAGCCTTTGTCCTTAAATCTTCTCTAGGCTGGTCTTGAAATATCTCGTAAAGGAATACAGTTTTCAGCTATAAATTTACCGAAGCACGCCTTAAATTACTTTTCAGTTTCTTCTATACTGCTTTAGTTACCAGTGTCCCTTCTAATAAATGGGAGGGTGGTCAAGGGACTCTTCGTCCATTGTTTTTTCATTGATGAAAGCAGGGTCTGAATGTTCAGCTTTGTTGATAACTGCACCATTCATAAAACCCTGTAAGCATTGTGCTAATTATTGATCACGTTCATTCATTTCCTGCCATTATGATACTGTTCCACTAGGAGTTAGTAAGACCTCAGGCTCAGGAAGGTAACCAGAATAGCACAGCATCCATACATAAATCATTTATCTTTTCAAGATTTTTTTTTACTTCACATTATTTTATACGTGACGGGGGAAGGGAGCTATAATACAACGTAAAAAGGGATACTAAATATATTTAACAAAAAAGGCTCATGAGAAACATAACATTTTAATAGTTGAAATAAATACTCCAGTACATGCAAGAAAACTGACATAAAGAGGTTTCCACGTCTGGCAATAGTGTAAAATTGAAAAAGGAAAAACACTCTCACAGCAGCTTTTATCCCCAACTTTAAAAAATCAAGACGTGGAAAGGAAAAGAAACATCATGATCACAAACAACTGCACGCTTTCTTTCTCACTAAACACCAAATTCAAACTTCTCTAACCATTTGATTCCACAGATCATACATACATGTGGAGCTACATCCATCACGTTATTAATGTGTGTTTTATTTTGAGGTAACCCTTTCTTCACAACTAAACCGCAGACTAATTAATAATGGTGATTTTATATATATATACATATATATATATATATAAAACGAGAATTTCCGGAAGACACGGACTTGAACCGCACCCAGCGCGATTAAGCCTATTTTTTGATGGTTTTCTCTTTTCTTTTCATAGCTCACACCAAACTAGTTCACTTTGATGTTTTTTTTTCTCTTTTTCGTTTTCCAATATATATAATAACAATAATCATCATCATCATCATCATCATCAATTATTCCAAACCGATTTCAGCACAATTTTTTTTTCTTTGGCATATGGAACTTTTTGGGTGTGAGTGAGTGAATGAGTGAGTGAGAGTGCGAGTGAGTGTGTGAGTGTGTGTAAGAGTGTGAGAGTTTGTGTGTGTGAGTGTGTGTGTAAGTGTGTGTGAGAGTAAGAGTGAGTGCGTAAGAGTGTGTGTAAGTGTGAGAGTGAGTGTGTGAGTGCGAGTAAAAGTGTGAGTGTGTGTGTGTGAGTGTAAGAATGTGAGTGTGTGTGTGTGTGTGTGTGTAAGAGTGTGTGTGAGTGAGTGTGTAAGAAAGTGTGTGTGTGTGAGTGAGTGTGTAAGAATGTGAGTGTGTGTGTGTGTAAGACTGTGTGTGAGTGTGTGTGTGAGTGTGTGTGAGTGTGAGTGGTGGAGTGAGAGTGGTGAGTGAGTGTGAGCGCGTGTGAGTAGTTTCTCCCCCCCCCACCCCACCCCCTCCCCCCCCCCCACACCCCCCATCGTCGTCCACCGATTTCATTCTCGTGCGCGAAACTCGGAATTAATTCACAGAGTGGGAGTTGACGGGCGGTAGAGTCCGGGGCGAGGACCGCTCCCTCAGCGCCTGCGACAGCAAGTTACAGCCGTCGGACACGGCGACGGCGGAGTTCTTCAAGCGCTCCCGGTAGTCGGGCGTCTTGGCCGCGTCGGGGGGCGAGTGCTGCTGAACGATATCCCTGAGGCACTGGGTGAGGAGCACACAGGCGGACACCACGCTCATGGCCCCCCCGAGGACGGCGGTCTGCACGGCTTTGCCCTCGGGGCTCACGGTGGCCGCCTTGCCCAAGAACTGGGGCTCGGTGGCGAAACCCACCAGGGCGTGGACCGAGTGGATCAGGGGGGCGCCGAACAGCACGCACCGGTTGCGCGTCAGTTCGCTCGGGCACGTCTTGACTTCCTTGACGCAGGCCAACAGGGCAGTGGCGCTGGTGCTCATGCATTTGACGCTCAGCTTGAACTGCTCCCGGGCGAAGCGGTCCCCGCTGCTCTCGCTGGCCAGCACGCAGGCGTCCGTCAGGCTCTTCAGGCTCTTGGACAGGTTCTGCGAGACCTCCAGCAGCAGCTGCGGCGTCAGGTCGGCCAGCGCCGAGCTCCGGACCACCTGGCAGCTCCGTTCCACTTCGTGCCGGGCTCGGGTCATCCGGTAACGGTCCACCAGCCCCGGCACCGCCGCCAGCGAGCCCGGGCTCTCCACCGCCGCCAAGTAGGCGGCGTGCGCCGAGCACTCGACCAGGGAAGCCACCAGGTCGCACATCTCCGCCAGGCTCTCGCCCACCTCGGCGAACTTGCCCATGTTCAGCTGACTCTGCACGTCGTGGGTCAGGATGGAGAGCCCTTTCGTCCGGGCGATGATGGTGTCCCGGCACTTTTCGAAGGACTCGCCGAAGACGGACAGGCTCTCGGTGGTGACCGGGCGGCTGTCGCTGGACAGCAGGAGCAGGTCGGCTACCAGTTGCATTTTGCTTTTGCACGTATCGCAGAGGAAGGCGAGTTTCCTCCTCTGCTGGGAGCTGCTGCTGTTGCTCGTCGACTTGCCCGAGCCACTACTAGCCATAGTGCTGAGCGGGCACTCGCATGCCGCTTCCCTGACCAGCGCAGTTCCGATTGACCTCAGGATTTCTCTCTGCGCGCATCATCGTGCCATCAAGGTTTCAAAAAGAAAAAAAGGGGAAAGCCTTTCTAACAAGGGGCGGCCGATGGGGGGGAAAAAAACAAAACAAACTCCCCCCCCCCCCCCAAAAAAAAAAAAAATTGCGAGCCCTTATACCCTCACCTTACTTTATTCACACCCCCCACCACCACCACCCCCCAGTGAATTCTTCTCCTGCAAACGCGGCGCGGGGCCCCGTTACACACAACAATCCCCGTCGCCGGCACAGCCCGGTGGGCAAGTCTGTTGTCTGGGAATCCACCGCCTCCCGAGCCTGTACATGATCCGGTCGTTGCTGGAAAAAAAAAGGTTACGAGGGGGGAGGGGAGGGGGGGGGGGGGGGGAGAAAAAAAAGAGTCAAGCTGTGAAGCTTTCACTTTTCTATATATATATTTTTCTCTCTCTCTCGCTTTCTCTCTGGTTGTTTTAAATCCTTTGAATAGTTAAATAACGTTTGAAGCGAGAGAGAGAGAGAGAGAGAGAAAAGTTGGGAGTTCCCCCCCCACCCCTCCTCCTCCTCCTCCTCCTACACCCACCCCCCACCCCCACACACACACCCAAACCCACCCGATCACCCACGTTAACTGAGTCCTGTTTGTTAAAACAGCAAAGTCAGTTTTTGAAGCCCGCATCTCCTATCAGGAAGCAGAGGAGGGTGTGGCTCCACTTGGACTGCCCGATTGTAACAGCAAAGGAACTAGTTACGGGCGTTTCAACTTACAGCAGTTCACAGCTCACCAGAGCAGAAGAAGAATCGCTCAGATGCGTTCGGGTGTCACACGGCCAGAGGTGGGTGGCAGTCCCGGCCAGACCGCCTCCTCCGGAGCCCCTGGAAGCTCTCGAAAGCTCTGCGACCTCTCCCTCGCCGTCAATGCGCCCCGATCTGCGAATCCATCCCTTCCTGAGGCCCCGACGTGGGCGCATTCGACTACCGGTCTGGGGACAAAGTTAGATCCCAAACGGGGTGGTGAAGCCCGCCCCGATTGGTCCAATCCTGTCCATTGGAAATAAATCTCCCCGTTTAAAGTTTGCAGTTCTTTTTTTTTGGGGGGGGGGGCGGTTTCTCCCAAACCCGTCCCCTTCCCTCCCCCCAAAAAAACCTGGGGCTGCGAATCGATAACGAAGTTGATGTGATGTCTGAGCTGATCTCTCTCTCTCCCTCCCCCTCCCTCCCCCCCCCCCTCCGGGCACCGACCAGCCCTTCCTCGGTCAACTGGAACGTCAGTGAGCAATGTATCAATTGTGACAGAGGCAACATTGTGACGTCGGCGACGGACGGGCCGGCCCGGCCAATCGGGAGCGGAGCCGCGGGCGCAGCCTTTCCGAACGGGATCGCGGCAGCCAATCGGAAAGCGAGTGCGGGCGGTGAGGGGGCGGGACATCCGCTCAGCGAGAGAGAGAGAGGGAAAAAAAAGTTACATTGATGCTGTGGGTGTGGGAGCGGCGCTGCGCTCAGACGGACGGACGGGCGGACGGACGGACGGACCCGCGGCTCGTTCATCGCTGTCAGTTTTCGAACCAATACTTCCTGCAATCGCTCCTGGTTTGGTTTGTTTGCCGAATGATCCAAGTGCGAGAGGAACTGTCTGGCCAATGCCACGGGTGTCTTTTGCGTAGACAGTAGAGAGAGATAGACACACACACACACACCCACACACGCGCGCAGAGAAAAAAAAGATCACACCCCCCCCCTCCCCCCCCCCCAAGGAGATTTTTTTTCCCCAAACGTGCTTTTCAGTTGCTGCATCGCATGGGATCGGTTTGGGAGGTACGTACAGTACTTTGGTCACAGATTTCTTTTTACAAACCCCCCCCCCCAAAAAAAAAACAATAAATAAAAGCCAACACGTTAACGTTATAGAGCGGACACGTTTTTATTTCCCCTTCTGGGGGGTATTTCAAATTCCATTGCCGTTATCGGTGAAGTATTTTCGCACCCACTTTAATAGCAGTTTTGAATCCGAGTCGTTTTGAAACAATTTTATGTGATTGGTGATACGATCCGCAGTATTATCGTCTTTCTCGACGACTCCGCCCCCAAAAAACGGTGCAAACATCCAGCATTGAAGCGTCTTATTTTCCCCTCCAGAGGCATTGGCTGATGCTTGAGTGCAGTCCACACACATTTTCCAGCAGAGGTTACTGGATATTGATGAGAAGCACAGGGCTCAATTATGGCTGAGATCATCCAACTCAATATTACTGCAATCGATCCAGGAGTTGCCAGAATATCAGAGCCATCTGGTTAAGTTTTACACAAGGCTGTAGCTTTGCAAACAGCCATCGGAGAGAGAAAATTCAGCATTTTATACGGCGTATAAACTTACTCTGATGAATGACATTGAGGACCTTGAGTAGAGTTTCCTGAGCATTCTATTCCTGACTCTTCCTCACCCAAATCAGCATTTTTCATGTGCGAGCCTCGGCAGTGCATGTTGGCACTCTATTCCATTTATTCACAGCCAAACTCAGTATTTGCACATTCCAGTTCAGCATTCGTATATTTCAATAGGGATCATTTGAATGTAATTAAGTGTGGGAACTCTGGTTGATTTTTCTCCTCCCTCACATGAGGATGATGAAAGCAACTCCCCTACAGACCTCAGGTGTATTACCTGACAGTGAATGTTAACAGGACAGTCACCTTAGGGGGAATCATAGCTAAGCTACATCCTGCCCTCACATGACACCAATGTGTACTTCATTAGCAGAGGTCACTGGATAACGATCAGGAGTAGGTATTCTGCTTTTTCCATTTCCTAGGCATAACACAAACCAATTAATAATAATAATAATCCTTGCATTTGATATAGCGCTTTTCATGTCGGGAGGACGTCCCAAAGCGCTTCACAGAACACACTGTAAAGTGAATTGACTATACTTATGGGCGAAGTTGTAACATCTCTGCTTATATCATAGCTGAAGTAATAATAATTCTTGCATTCGATATAGCGCCTTATGTTAAAGCGTTTCACGTGAGTGAAACGTAGTGATAATGACTTGAGTATTTGTAAGCAAACTGATCGTAGGCAAACTGGTGGTGGCCAATTTGCATACAGCAATTGTCACACAAACAGCCATGAAGTGAATGAACAAATTTATTTGGGGCATTGTTGGCCAGGACACTGGAAAGAAATTCTCTCTTTTTTCGAATAGTGTCATGAAATCTTTAACGCCCACCTGACCAGGTAGATGGTACCTCAATTTGATGTCTCATGCGAAAGCTGGCACCTCTGGCAATGTAATGTTCCATCAGCACTGCATTAGAGTGTCAGCCTAGACTGTCTCAGCACGATGAAAGTCTAAACCTAGCGTCTTTTTGAAACGTATTGTAAAATTTCTGCAACTACATAGTGACTTTATCAAGCGAGGGGAAGGGAATTTCTTTTTAAAAACCCCTGCTTTATACAGTGGTTTCAACGCCAATTGAAATGGCCAAAGTTCACAACCAAATATTTACCCCACAACGTTTCTGATTCCAACACTTTTTCTAACTTTTTAAAATATAAAATGTTTCACTTCCATTGGCTCCACGATTTCAATGTTCTATTTTAAAACGGCTTTCCATTGGCTCAAAACTTTCAAAAAAAATGTTTAAAATTGGCCGAAATTGGTCACAAGAGATGTTCAAATGAAGGCCCTTTGGCTGATTCAATCTTGTAATTTCTGTTTTTTGTTCCGAAGCTGGACCCGTACCCTCTTATCCTACTGCCCGATCGTTCCCTCCGCTCAGCGGGCTCCGGCCTGCTTCACATCCCCCGCCTTGCTCGCCTCACTATCGGCGGGGCGGGCCTTCCGCCACTTTGCACCCACCCTCTGGAACTCCATCCTGCAGTCCTTCCGTCTCACCCCCTCCCTCGCCACTTTCAAGACCCTCCTCTTCGACCGTGCTTTCGATCTTCCTGCTTCCCCCCACTGCCCTACCCCCAACCCCCCCCCCCCCCATCCCGACCCTCAGCTCGGGTCCGTAACTCTGTCTGTCCGTAACTCTCTGGCGCCTCGGGACGTGCTCCCGACGCGAAGGTATACAAACGTAATTTGGCTGTTGTTGTTGCCTTGGCATATGCGACAGGTTTACAAATACTTTTATGTATTACACTAAAAGTTGCGCACAGGAATGATGAACACGTGGAAAGTTTTAACCCAGAAGAAGGTCATTCGGCCCATTGCACCAGCCTGACTGCTATCTCTAAATCATCCTCGTGGTTTATTGTACCTTTAACCAGGATTGACCTTTAGGATACAATGTCCCTCAGCAGAGCCCTGGCTGGCGGGTCATCACGTGACCAGCAGCGCCTCCAGGGCTGACATTGCCGTGAAAGGGGGCGGGGCGGGGGCTAGGGCGGGCCCACGGGCTCTTGCTATTGGCTGGGGCGGGCCCGCGGGCTCTTGCTATTGGCTGGGGCGGGCCCGCGGGCTCTTGCTATTGGCTGGGGCGGGCCCACGGGCTCTTGCTATTGGCTGGGGCGCGCCCACGGGCTCTTGCTATTGGCTGGGGCGTGGCGGTGAGGTGGAGGCTGTGCCGGAAGCCCCGGACAGGGAGCGGGTGGGGGGGGAGGGTCACGTGGTCAGGGCAGGAGCCAATGGGATTGTGGCGGGTGTAAAGATGGCTGCCGGCGGGCTGAGCCTGGTGCGGCTCTTGGCCTTGGCGGTGGTGCTGCTGCTTTGTGTCACCGCCGCCGCCGAAGATGGCGCCAAGCAGAAGGCCCAGAGGAAGAAGAAAGACATCCGAGACTACAACGACGCGGACATGGCGAGGCTGCTCGAGGAGTGGGAGGTAAGGGGTCGGGCAGGCCGGGGTGTCGGGAGGCCCGAGCGGCGCGGGAAGGCGCTTCACGACGGTGTTACTCCGGCAACGAGGTTCCTTCCCACAGCCCTCGTGAGGCGAGGGACCAAATTATCTGGTCGGTCAACGTGTACGCTTGAGATTGAGAGAGAGAGAAAAAGACTTTTCCCGAAGATTGAGAAGAAACTCAAAACAAAAAAAGGCGTTTTATTTGCCTCAATATTAGAACTGTACTCCCCCCCACACACACACACACTCACACACAGTGAAAACATATCCCTTTCCTCCCTTTGACCTCCTTCCTTTGATGAAAAGAAGCGGAACAACAAACCACTCAGACGGGCACTGCCCCCCCACCACTACCCTCCTCCCCCCCACCACCACCCTCCTCCCCGCCCCCCACCACTACCCTCCTCCCCCCCCCACCACCACCCTCCTCCCCGCCCCCCACCACTACCTCCTCCCCCCCCACCACCACCCTCCTCCCCCCCCCACCACTACCCTCCTCCCCCCCACCACCACCCTCCTCCCCCCCCCACCACCACCCTCCTCCCCCCCCCACCACACCCTCCTCCCCCCCACCACCACCCTCCTCCCCCCCCACCACCACCCTCCTCCCCCCCCACACCACCACCCTCCTCCCCCCCCACCACCACCCTCCTCCCCCCCACCACCACCCTCCTCCCCCCCCACCACCACCCTCCTCCCCCCCCACCACCACCCTCCTCCCCCCCCACCACCACCCTCCTCCCCCCCCACCACCACCCTCCTCCCCCCCCACCACTACCCTCCTCCCCCCCCACCACTACCCTCCCCCCCCCACCACTACCCTCCTCCCCCCCCCCCCCCCACTACCCTCCTCCCCCCCCCACCACTACCTTCCTCCCCCCCCCCCCACCACTACCTTCCTCCCCCCCCCCCCACCACTACCCTCCTCCCCGCCCCCCCACCACTACCCTCCTCCCCGCCCCACCACTACCCTCCTCCCCGCCCCACCACTACCCTCCTCCCCCCCCCTTCAAAGTTTCAGCCTCGCAGTGGGTGGGAACCTCTGGTTGTTGGTCGATTACAACAACAACAACAACAACAAGATTCCGTGGAGCGCCTTTCACGTCGGGAGGACGTCCCAAAGGCGCTGTAAAAAAAGTGATGAGCGGATCACTTTTCCGGGGGTAGTAGTTCCTTTTTTAAAAAACAATTATTATTATTATTACTGCCATTGTTTATTTGACCGTTAAGCAAATAAAATTATTCAAATCAAATAATTCTTTTCAGAGTTTCTCCTCACCTGCCTTTCCAGCTTGACCCTCTGCCATCCTATTCCGATCCGTGGCAGACCGTTTCCTTCCCTGCGCTTGACTCCATGAGCACGTCCTCATTTTGTTGATTTGAATATCCTCGTTCTGACTTTCAAATGCCTCCATGGCCTTGCCACACCTTAATTGTGATCTCTGATCTCTCGTAGTCACACTCCCTTGATCACTCATTCCCACTCTGCAAACTTGAGCCTGGGTGAGCTTTCAACTACTGTGCCTACTGCTATCTGGAGTTTACTCCCAAATCACTCTTGCTTTCAAATCTTTCTAAAAATCTACCAATATTGTACTGGAATGTCAGTCTAGATTTGAATCCTGACTTAAACCAACAACCTGACCCAGAGATGAGAATGCCAATTACTGAGCTAAAGTGACACTTATTATTTCATATAAATATATATATCTTCCTCTCCTGATGGTGGGATTTAGTTCTATATGTTCCAGCAGCCTGTAGTAGTTACCAAAATAATTTAATCTGTGAAAGTAAACCATAGGTGTGAAGTCACACCTGATTTACACTAATCCTTTTTAAAAATGTCTAATGCATTTGGCAATATAAGCACACCCACCGCATTTGAAGTAATTCCCGGCGAAGAGCTTTCAGTGTTTAGATCCTGTATTAAATGCAAACGATATTGTTTCAATAATCAGAAATAGGAACCCTGGATGATGATTGCCCTTCTTTATTCTGCCAATTAGATGTTTATGAGATCAACAAAGTGAGGATATTTCCTGATCTTTTCTATTTTACATTACAGACAGTGGCTTTATGAACTGAGCTACATCATTTAACAGGAGATAGTGGTGATCAATTGATTAGATGGAGGTAGAAATTCATATCGTACACAAGAATCTGAAAGTATATTAAGTTAATCAATTGTGCTGGCAGTAGAATTTTTTTTGTATTTAATCCAAACAGAAAGATGATGACATAGAGGAAGGAGATCTACCAGAACACAAGAGACCTTCTGCACCAATAGACTTTAACAACATTGATCCAAGCAAGCCTGAAAACCTTCTGAAGATGACCAAGAAAGGCAAGACATTAATGATATTTGCAACTGTGTCTGGGAATCCTACTGAGAAGGAGACTGAAGAGATCAGTGGCCTTTGGCAGGGCAGTCTATTCAATGCAAATTATGATGTGCAGAGGTGAGTGTTTCTACATTATGGGTTGGACTTGGAATGGTTTTGTTACTTGGCACAATCAGTTTTATTGTTTCTATATTTTGGGAGAAAAAACCCTGCAGCTACCTCACTATCTTGAGTAAATGTGTTGATGTGAACTGATCAGGAAATCCTCAGGTTGAATTCTTGGTCTGTATTGAGTTCACTAATTTCCCTGTAACAGCGAGCACAAAAATTGGCATCTCTACTAATAGCTGAGCACAAAAATTGGCATCTCTACTAATAGCTGAGCAGAAGAAAAATAAACCCACACTCTTTCCTGATTGCTGTTTGGCAATACCATAATTGCTGGATAATCCATAAATGTGTAGGATTAGCCTCACTATAATGCTCTTCATTATGTATATTTAACACTTGTGCTAGTGATGAATTGTCGCTTGGGTAAATTTCCAGGGGTTCATCTTTACATTGATTGATTTTAATTGGACATTTCTATTATGATTGAGACCGGATTAAAAACATTAGGTGACAACAGATTAATCGTTTTTTTCCTCGTAGATTTGTTGTGGGCTCTGATCGTGTCATATTCATGCTGCGTGATGGGAGCTATGCTTGGGAAGTCAAAGACTTTCTTACAAACCAGGAACGCTGCACCGATGTTACTGTTGAAGGTCAAGTTTATCCTGGAAAAGGAAAGAGAAATGAAATCAAACCAGATAAGAAGAAAGCTGGAGCAGCGACGTCAAAAGAGAATAACCGATCAAATAAAAATGAAGAGCTATGAGATTCAGTTAAAATGGAGAATGGTTACCACATTTTTCTGTGTGAAATCACATTACTTCTATATCACATGAGCTGATTTNAAAAAAATTGAGCCATTTCTGTTACAGAGGCTTTACTAAATCCAAGATGCTGTAATGCTGTATTCTTTGTGAAGGATGTGGAGTTGAAATGTATACTTTCCTTTCAATACAACACTGCATTGTTTTCTAATGATTATCAGCTGTTGTCAACAGTTAATATTTGAACCACTTTAACGTTATGTGAAGTTGAGGTTTAAAAATAACATTCTGTGTTCAGATTGTACGTTTTGATACAAAGGTGAAAAAATTTTTGTAAAAAAATGTTTGGTTCTGTGATGCCTTAGATGTTCGTTGGAGACTTTAATTTCTTTTTGTCTTGGCTCCAATGAACCATAAATAACAAATTACTAAATTACTTGTACAGTGCAGTTTTTATTTTTTTCATGGCTAAGTTAATAACCTGTCTGAAATTTCAGTAATTCAGCTGATATATTGTCTATTCAGCAGTGTAAGATGTGTTCAGTTGAATGCAACATATTTCAGTTCATAGTGTTCTGGTATACTATTATTTGCATACAAATTACTGCAATAAATGTCTTAACATTTCCTGAGACACTTACATTGCAGAGTTAATGGGAGCTGAGTGGAAAGAATCCCTGCCCCCAATCTGCCCTTTCAAGTCCTACAGTTGAGCCAGCCTGGAGTACTAGCTCAGGAACTGGACGACAGTTTAAATAGACAACCACAGAGAGTGGGTTTACTTCTGATGTACCGTTGTAAAACTTGTGACCATGAAGCCAGTTCAGCTCTAGGGAGACCCTGCTTGTGCCCCCCCCCCCCCCCCCCATTGAATGTGGAGCCTGACCAGAACTGGTGAGATGTGGGTATGGAGTTTGGTTCGGGTCAGTATGTGGGCAGCAGAGTTTTGAATGAGCTGGATCTTGTGAATGGTGGAGCTGGGGAGACTGGCGAGAAGTGCGTTGGAGTAATCCAAGCGGGAGGTGACAAATGCATGCACAAGGGATTCGGCTGCATTTGGGGTAATTACGGTTGGAGGCAGGCAATGTGGCAGAGGTGGAAGAAAGCGGTCCTGGTTAGGGGAAAGAAGGACAGTTGGGAGTCAAATCGGATGCCTAGATTGCGTACTGGTTTGGTGATTCTGATGGAAACCCTAGGGAGGTTGAGTAGTTTAGATTCGCCAGATTGAAGATGTTGATGCGAGCCAAAGGGTTATGGTTTCCATCTTGTCCATTTTAAGCTGCAGGAAGTTTACACTCGTCCGGGTCTTGATGTCTGACAGACAAGCTGATGGAATATCGGCGGACCAAAGTTGACCTGCAACAGTGCATTCCAGGCAAGGAAGGGTAGGTTGGAGATGGGACAGCAGTCTGCGAGTTTAGAGGGATCGAGGGTGGGTTTTTTGAGGAGTAGTATAACCGGTTTTCTGGGGGAGTGGAACAGAGCCTGAGGAGAGAGACTGGTTGACCATGTCGGCCAGCAGGGGAAGGAGAAGGGGGAGTTGAGTGACCTTCATTTGGGTGATTGTGGTTGAGAGGGAGGAGGGACAAATGGGGGCAAAGGAGTTGTAAGGAGGGGGGAGTGGCAGGAGCCGTGGCGGAGGAAGAAGGCAGTGTGGATGGTCTGGATGGGTTGGAAGGGAACATGAGGTGGGGGTTGATGCAGTCAAGCAGATGTTTTCAATTTTGAGGCAAATAAGCCTAGTACCTCTTCACACTTGATATTTGACGTGAGGATAGAGGGAGCTTGAGGAGGTACATGGAGGAGGTGATGGATGGTGGAAAACAGCGTCTTTGGATTGTTGTTTGCCTCCAGGATGACTTTAAAGTAAAAGTCAGTTTGGGCCTGTGAAAGGGAGAAGCGGTAGGTGCGGAGGTGCTCGAGCCACAGTTGGCAGTGAATTGTGAGGCTGGATTTCTGCCATCTGCTCGAGCATCCGGGTTTGTGTTTTGAGTGAGCTAAGATGACTGTTGTAGCAGGGGGAGTGGTGGGTGGGTTTGGAAACAACCTTGGATTTCAGGGGTGCCAGGGCATTGAAGGTTATGGAGAGACTGTCATTAACCAGCTTCACAGCTGCATCAGGATCATTGCGGGTGGAGGGCCAGAGGGAGAGAAGGTCCGAGGAAGAGAGGGCATTTCTGAGGGACTCGGGGAAGACTTTTCAAGGGGTGGAAAAAAATTGTGGAGGGTTTCTGGAAGCCCAAGAATATCAATGGGCTCATCCAGGATGAGGTCGTGGATAATAAGTGCTTTGTTGGAGAGGAAGCAGACATTTTGTAGGGAAATCCGGCTAGGTTTGCTGGTGGGCGGGCGGTGAAGGGAAGAGTAGTATAGAGAGGATTTGAGGTCATGGGGGAGAAGTGACCATGCATGGAGTTTGAGGAGCAGGCAGTGTTGGGGAGGGTATGGATGAGGGAGCGGGAAGGGGTGTTTGCCTTTCGGAGTCTCAAGGTTTGGAAAAGGGAAATTAACCAGGGCTCTCACTCCCGCTTGGGATTGGCTTAAAAATCCCACAAAATTTCACTGTTAAGGTTCACACGCAAATAAAGTTTCAGTAAACAGTTCAAGAAGATAAAAAGAAAAATTGTTGAAGGTAAGCGATATTCCGTCCATCTCCCCCTGACCAAAGGAGAAATTCATACATCTAGAAAAGTGTTTATAATTTACATTTATATTAAATATACAATTTTATAATATTCAGACAGCATAAATATCTTTGCAGCATGCTAAATTTAGAACCAAGAATGTTAACTTCACATTAATATGTAGAATGTTACTTGAAGGTTCAAAGATCCTTGTATGCTTATTGCAGCCTCGTTCATGAATCACACAATCTCATCGTAATATGCTTTTGGTGCAAAAATGTGACTCATTCTAAAGAGATCAATGACATAATTCTTCATAACCAACAGTGTTTGTAGCTATTAAAGAGATTAAGATGATGTTTAAAATGCCAATAGTAATGAAATAGTGGTCAACCTTATCACGTCAACAGATTTGAACTCGCAGCAATCTGGCTGGTAATGAAGCACATCCAGCGTTTGATCCAAGCTTTGCTATCTAGTTGTAGGCAATATCCTCCTGAATTGGATTTCTGCAATTGAGACCGGTTTGGTCGAGAGAATGGTTAGAATGTGGAATTCTCTGTCACAAATCGTTGGGGCAGAGTCTGTGAGTTCTTTTAAGAGGGAATTCGACCCATGCTTGGAAAAGGAATATTAAAGGGAATTGGGATCGAACAATAGAATGAGATTAAATGAGGTTGTTTTGCGGAAGGAAAAAACACCAGTGTAGACTTGACGGGTCAAATGACCTGTTTTTGTGCTGTAACATTCTATAACTTGCTGCAGCCTTTATGGGACAGTATACCGAGCAACGGCATGTACCACTTGACTGAATCAAAACAAGTCAAAGAAGTTTGCATATAGAATGAATATGGCTGGATTGCATGCCACACCTTGGAAACCAGTTTGTTTCATTTTTAGGGGCATCGCTCTGCCCCTTCTCCTAGCGGGTTTCTGTAATTTCTGATAATGGGACTTTTATTATCTTCAATGAGATTTAGTGGGAGCCATTATGAGTACAAAAAAATATGTTTTTAATGCTCCCACTCGGTGATGTGAATTGTCTTTTACATATTTGATGTGAGTAGTTTCCAAGGGAGAACAGTGAGTCATCAAACTGTTGCGCTTTTCTTTAGTTTTAGGATTCAATGTGTAAGAGCGAAACTGGGAAAATAATTTCTCACTTTATCAACCATTTAAATGTAAACAGAATCAATTTTCTGCAGCTCACAGAATCTTTAGCAATTGTGCGTTGTTCAATTTAACTTGGCTTTTTCATGCCTGGCAAGTAGATCTGTGTGTCCAACTACTTACATCAGTGTGTGAATAGGAAATATGCAGGAGGAATTCTCTGCAGCTTTTATTAAATAGTAATGTTGATTAATCTGGAAGGTAATTTGCGTGAGGTATTTTATATCCAATTTCCCTAATCTTATATAAACGTGCCTTGTGCTGAGGTATCTGATAGCACAGCCCATTCAACCCAGAATGTATGGAGCAGCATTGTACAAGACGGTGGTTGGTTGATTTGCTAAGGTAATTTGAATGAGTTGAACTATAATGCTGGAGCGTGGATAATGAAACAAAATTAGAGAACAATTAAGATATACTTTCTGAAAATATTCGGGAAGCAGCACATACATCGCACATAAGCAGCAGATTTAAGGGTTATTTTATGTGTGGATGAGTTCCAGTGAAATTGCTCCAAAGGCTCCACTGTGCTGAAGACAGATATGTAACTCTATCCGGCGACATTCACTATGGAAATGATTCCCTTTGTACAGAAAGCTCCTTTCAGCAGTGCCAAATCATTTATGAATGAATGATTTTCATTTAGTTTTGCGTTACACAGTGGGTTTGTGCTCAGCAAATAAATAGGAGGTGAAGTGCGAAGTGTCGTGTAGAAGCATTGATCCTGTCACTAATGTCCCTTTGCTCAGAGATCCCAGGCATATTCAGTTCCCATGGCACAATTAAATATAAAAAGGAAAGCAAGGCGTCCTTCTGGTATCCTGGCCAATATTTATTCCTCACCCACTATCATTTTAGTTGACCAGCACCATCTATCAGTGTCTCTCTCATACAATGCAGCAATGTTATGTCCCAACAGAATGGATCCAAATCTCTGATTATACCTCCAATGAGTGAGCTTCACGACATGATCTAAAAATCCTCCTGCAAACAATTCACCAGTTTGTCAGATCACTTTTCCACACAGAATGACTGCACCACTGCCTTGTAGAATTACTGCATTACACTTTTGCAGTATTGCTGCATCACTTCCTCTCTCCCAATCAATACAATAGCAGAACAAAAGATAAAATATAAATTAGATTCACATTCTGGCAGTGATGATTTATTGCTGAACTCAACCTCATGCATTCTGTGCTCTAGCACACCACCACCAAGTAAGCTACCAGACCCAGCACCCATATATCTACCAAGATTTCTCGTACATTATTAATGTTAAGTTCATCCCGCCAGCATTAAAATATTAGAGCATTTCAAATAAATTCAATTGGATTAACCTGATTCATTATTTATTATCTTTTGACTTTTCCCCATCTGAAGTGTCCAGTTTCATTGCTCGCCAAGCCTTGATTTCTTTCCAGGACAGAATGGAAGGAAATTATCAATCACTGTACAGCTCTTGACTCCCTGGCCTAATCAATTTTTTTTGTTGAGAGGGATTCTTTACATAATTTAAACCTTATTTTTTTTTGGTAAACATTTTAATTCACGTGGCTATCGCCCTCAGGCGGTAGCTGGTTATATTATAATTTTCTTTCCAAGCAAATGTACTTCTTGAATTTTGGGAAGCACACAACAGGAGCAACTACAATAAGATATAATATCGAGTATCTGAATTATGAGAAGACATTGCAACGGTTGGGTGATCTTATTTCTGGATCCAAAGAAATTTAGATAAAGATAGCCTAGCAACTCCAATGGCATGTTTGATCTAAACGTCCTAAATTCTATTCACATAATATTCTCAGGAATAACTTCCCGTCAATATAATGCATCGGGAGTAGGAGCAGCTATACAGAGCTGAGCCTTGTGGCAACAGGTGGGCAAAATATGGCCAATAGCCTCAATTTGCACTGCCTGTTTCTAAAGGTAACTTGTTCAGCACATTTGGATTCATGCTGCGTTTTATGCTTTTCCTACAATTGATCACTGCCAGTTGTAGCAATTCTTACCATTGATCAACGCCACATTTCACAACTACTTCCCAATCCTTAGATAATGCCTGACAGTGAAACCATGTGTATCATTAATGGATGTGTTGGGGAATAATGATGGCAATCATTGTGGCATTCATTAAACTGGGTGTACATCAGTCGTTTTTGTTCGGCAACGACAAAAGCACATGGCAGGTTTAAGGTGTAGGGCAGACAGTAAACCTTAAAAGAGTGGCTAACACCCAAATCACTCAGATGTTAGTTGACAGTATCCTTACCAGATAGTGGAATGTTTCAACTTGTCAATTATGGAGTTTCAATGCATCAATCAAGGATTTTACACCCATTTCATTACTATTTTACCACTTTTACCATTTTCTAAGCGCACTTTACACATTCTGACATTGCCACAAATTATTCTCGACCATGGAATTTTGTCCCTAAAATGTCTAATTTTATAAATAAACTACACACCAGCTTGAACAAAGTGTTTTAAACGGATTAAATTCTTGTTTTGGAATGCAGACACTAGGTGGCACTATTGCTATAGCAATGATAAATACAATTGCAGTATTTTCTGATACACAGATTATACTTACTTGTGCTCACATATCCACAAAACTATTATTAGAATTTGAATGCTACAGAAATAACCTGCACTCACAGTGTATGTCTCATGTTGGATATCGTTTCAAAGTGGTGGAAACCTTAGCCAAGCCTTTGTTTAACGAGCATTAAGTAGGAAACCGGTTGTTATTCAATTGGCGGATTGCTTTCCAGTGGTAATAATCCCTCAATTTTTTTAAAAAAAATCCATGAATCCAGTTTGTAGGACACTGCAGTGGTTGCCGTGCTTCAGCCACAAAATATAGTCAATTCACTTTACAGTATATTCTATGAAGTGCTTTGACACGTCTCGAAAACACAATAAGGGGTTATATCAAATGCTAGAATTATTATTATTTTGTTTCTCGGTTCCTGTTTTAAATTCTCTTTTTACCAAGTCTCTATTATTTACTCCCTCTAATCAAGCCAACCGTGATTTTTTTTAAAAAAAACATACAGGACAACTCTGTTATAACATGGTCATGTTATAACTAGGTTCATTATCACATAAGCTGCGTTATAAGCAAAGGAGAAAAAAAGTGTACATCAGGACACCGCCAGTGCCGTGGGCAAGAAATGACACTTAAGTCAACTCTTTTGAGAAATAAGCTCGTCAGTCAGACAGTAGCTGGCACTATATTTTTTATATTACATGAATTATAAAAGTATGTCATTTGGAAAATTAATGGTCAAGAAAAATTAACCTAAGCCTTTTATTAAATACAATTTTACTGGAGGTGACCTGAATCATATATGTGTATATATATACACATACACACGCACACATACACACACACACACACGTATATGCATTGATTAATTACATTTCTTGCTTGTTCTCCTTGTCTTTTGCCTGACTCATCTCTTTCTTTCCTTGCAAAATTCCAATGAAAGTCATAAATAGCACCAGAAATAGCTCTTAAAGGGTAATAAGACTTACTAGTAAAAGTAACTAAAGAGAACAAGTAGCAAAACAGCTCAGTGTTGGTTGCTATGCTTTTATAGCTGTAACTGGATCACCACAAGCTTGCCTTCAGGGTTGCAGTAATCCAAATACGCTTTGAAGCAGTTTCGGAACAACCTGTTTCCCAGAAACTGGCACTTACAATGAATTACAATGAAATTACAATGAAAAGAATATAAACTAGTAAGAAAAACAATGTTTTGGGTAAACTATCAAGCCAAAATTGGGGGGAGTGGGGGAAGAGGTATTAACACCCCTGAACATACAATAATTACCAAATTGTTGGCCCCAATTTTCGTGGTGATCTCAGCAGTGATAATTATCATATCACAAAGTACATTTTTCACCCACTGAACTGCAAATTGGAATCCAAGCAGTGTTAATAGTTATGTGTTTATCATCACTCAATGGAAACTCACCAATGCATTTGTACAGAAAGGAGGTTAAATGCTGACAAGCATGTTGATAAAGTACCATTAGTTTGTTTTATTATAATAATCCTTGCACTTCAACTATAGTGCCTTATCAAAACATCTTGTACTATAATGTGTAGAGCTTGTGGATTTATATTAATTCGAGAATGTAATGCTCTAACACTAATTAAACTTTAATTATAATCGTGCAGTAAATCAATGTGGAAAACTTGAGTTCTTTCCTTTGGGAATAATTTTTTCTATTATTGGGTTGCCAACAGTATAAACATAATCACTCACAAACTTTGGCACTTTTCTTTATTAATTGCCAGTTTGGACTCTGGTTTTGTTTACCCTCTTCCCCCTCTGTACAGTATTTTAAAACAACTTATTATAATGACCAAATATTCTAATATCAAAACTAGGCCTAGGGGTTCCTCCTTTCTATTCAGTTGTGTTTGTGGCATATATTTCTCCGGAATGTCGCAAGACTACGGCACTACCACACCCCTCATGCTGCTGAAACTCCACGCCTTTACCACCTCAAGGCTGGACTATGGGAACTCTCTCCTCGCCGGCCTTCCCGGCACCTCCCTCCACAAGCTGCAGGTCATTCAGAACTCTACAGCTCGTGTACTGTCCCACTCCAGGCTTCGGGACCACATCACTCCCACCCTCGCTCGCCTCCACTGGCTCCCCATCCCCCAGAGGATCGAATTTAAGATCCTCATCCTCACCTACAAGGCCATTCACGGCCTTGCTCTCTCCGACCTACTATCCCCCTACCTACCTGCCCGTACCCTCCGTTCCTCTGGCTCCGGTCTGCTCCACATCCTCTGCCCCAACCGCCCTACCATTGGTGGCCGGGCCTTCAGCCTCTCAGCCCCGAGGCTCTGGAACTCTATCCCCCAGTGCCTTCGCCGCCTCCTCCCTTTCCTCCTTCAAGGCCGATCTCAAGACCTTTCTCTTTGACCGTGCCTTCAGCTCCCCTCTCGACTCTCTACCCCCTCCTCGCTCCCTCCCTTCCCTCCCCTCACCCTGACCATTTCCCCCCTGCTCGGGTCCTGACCCAACTGTACAGCGCCTTGGGACGTCCTCCCGACGTGAAAGGCGCTCTATAAATGTAATCTTGTTGTTGTACATCCACATAGTCAATATTTTAGATCTCTGGTTATTTAAAATAATTATTTCCTGTCCCAAGTTTATTAAAGTATTGTATTTTGACATCTAGAGCCTAATACTCTCCAGAATTAGGTAAGCGGAATGCAACCCTCCAGGGAATAGAGTGTGCATTCCATTCAGATAAATCTCACTGGAATTTCCATTCAATAGGTGGGATGCATGGAACTCTGTTTGGTTTGGATACTCAAGCATGGTGATGAGTTTCTGCATGTGTCAGACACCTGGCTGACCAACAAAAATAAAACAACATGTACAGATAAAATACAACACAATTATTGTCATTCATTTCACTTGGAAATCAATTAGATTTACATTTATTATGAATCATTACATACACACATTTCTGTATACACAGATCATTTATATTTATATAAACCAACATCCCCTTCGGAAGGAAATCTTAAAAAGAGACCTTCCACTTCAATAAATTACATTCTTAACCAATGCTTAAATTACCATAATCAGATTTGTTACTATGATTTTACCAGAGCAAGTAATAGTGATATGGAAAATATATTTACGTTCTGTTATAGATATGGAAATTGTACAATGCAGTTCCACAAGTGCCTTGGTGTTTTGTTCTATAGTGCCTTAATAAATAAATAGAAACGTACACACAGCATAAAATAAATCTTTTGTGAGGTTTACAGAAAGAAACACCAACATACAAAACACTAAAGTATAAAGAACCGAAAAAGGACCAGCTATTTCGGGAAGGAGACATTTCAGACAAAATAGGGAATATCATCAAATACACCTACAAATAGTATCAACTTTTTAAGTAAGCTTTGTTTCTTCACATAAAACACTATAGCTGTGCTGCTAATGCAATCCTTGACAGTTCTGCCAACCTGTTATCCTACCCATAGGATCATATTCATAGATGTTTACCCTACACATATCATTAGCACTACCGTGATTTCTCCTGTGTAAATAAACCAAGTTGTACTTGGGCAATACTACAATTGCTCATAGTTTTTCTTTCTTTATGACAGGGATGGGCACAACTTCATGAATTTTTGCAGCCGATTCACTGGTGGCAAATTTTATCCAGTCAGGCTTGAAGCTTCCTTTAAATCCCACAAACACAAGTTTTTCTGAAATAAAAACAGAAGAAAAAAAAGTAACAATTGCAAATACAGGGAATGATAGTGAACAATAATGGAAGTAAAAAAGTTAAAAACACTAATAAAAAAAATGGAGCCACCATCTCCAATTTAAGAAAACGGAACATTCTTTCTGCTATAAATTTGCTCCCTCTCTTTCCATCTGGTTACCCTGTGCTACACTTTCCCTTCACAGCTACCTGCAAGAAATTTTCCTCCATTCCTGCAAGAAAAACACCACTTATCGCCTGCCTACAGCGGCACAATTGTTGTGGGCAGGAACTCACAGCCTGCCGTCTGTGCTCATTTCAGGCCTACTCTTCTCTGCCACTATGCCTTGCCATTGTGTGTTGCCTGAGCCAATTTAATTTAAAAAAAAGTGCTGTAAAGATTTATTGCGTGGCAAAACTCCCAGCGTTACTGAACTTCAGATGTTCAATTGTGCTTTTAGCCAGTGCAGGCATCAATTCAACTCAAGTCTTCAGAGATCATCTCCAGTATATACATGAACCAGGAACTTCCCACTGTTTGGTTTTTATTTGTGTTGGAAAATTAAAAACATCAGCTGATATCAGATGAGAGCCAAGGAAGTGGTCAGTACATGGCTTCTCCTACTGCACCAGCCAGGAAAATGTTGAATAGTTATTAAATGCCAAACAGGAGCTAAGGTCATAGAAATTGTGAGAATAAAATCGAAATGGCATTATCTGTAATACATTGTTGATAGCTAAGAATTACCAAATATATACATGTTTATTCAGGAGCATGTCTTTCACTACTCCCCATTAAATTCATATACTTGTTTTTGTTAAGAATGACAACAGTAACCAGGCCACTTGTTGCCCATTGAATTCAAATACGTTTTCAGCCGTAGTATGAATGTGTTTAAATGTAATGTGCACTGGAGTTCTCGTAAAATCAACTCTTAATAACTAAATGGACTTAACACCTTTCAGTCCGTTTAAGAACATCTGTTTTAAAAAAAAGAACATCTGGAGAAAATGTTGAATAGGAAATGAGATTAAAGGCAATCGCTACAATTTGCTATGGATGAGAAAAGGGGAAAAACAACAAATTACAGTATCTATTCTCTAGCCACTAGAGGTACAGTCATGAAAAGCTAGACTGACATTTCAGGATTGAGCAAAACATATTCCACAAAGAACAATATAAAATACGGATCAATAAAACTATTGAGCCATTAAAATCCTCCAAAAGAATACACCTTTTAGTTTAATGCCACTGGGAGCTCCAAGTTGTGTTAGAACATTGTTCCAAGGTCTTTCTGAAATCAGTCTTCCTTTCGATGTCACCAGAACTATGGAACTAGAAATAGAGGAGTCCATTAATCCTAATTTTCATTATGATTTTAAAACAATATACTCTGAATATTCTACCTTCGTTCAAATTGCAGAACATTTCCAAGTCCACCCAAAATGGCATTGTAAACTCTGGATAACTTGACACCGGCTTAACTTGTCACCACTATTTAGGTCATTATGCTGTCAATATATTTACTTATGCATGTTCATATATGCCTAACTCACCAACGCAGATAACTCAACAATGAGCTCTTTTCCCTTAAAGCGACGAGTTATCAGGAGTTTACTGTATATTAATTGCAGTCCCAGATTAGTTAGCAGGAGGAAAACCGCAATGGAAGATGAATGATCCCAGATTTCATACACGTACAGAACATACGAAATAAATTAAGCCATACCCAATACGTACTGACTGCGAAGTGCTTATGTAATGTGGAACATTTGAACGTGAATTGGCTTTGCGTTTGTCCCGTTTTCCTGCTGTTATGTAAGTGCAGGGCTGATTGGTTAAAGGCATCAATATCATTCCACAGAACAGAGATTGTGCTATGCTGCTTCCGCAATGACATCACGCAATCCACCATTGATGACACCCGATTGTGATCGACTGCCCCACACTTTAACCTCTGCGTGGCATTTGAGAAGCCGAGGCACAGATGTGTTAAGTTAAATGAAAAAATAAAACAGCTGGCCAATGTTTTCCTACTCCGCCACGCGTTTCTGGCAAAACTACATTTAGGCCAAGGTTGAACTATTTTAATTACTTACTTGTTTTTTATGTTTGTTACATAATTCTCCACATGGACTGGGATACCTCGTAAGATCGTGTTTTTAAAACTTTTATTATCGACCACTTTTCCGGTCTGTCCATCCATTACAATGATCTGCATCCCGTCCTCTGAATGATAATACTTCTTTCCATTAACCTGCGCAGTAAAGGTTGAAAGAAAATCAGGTATAGCTATTAGTGGAAACTCAAGACACGCAATAAAAAGTACATACCAGAAAGGGAATGAAAACCCACATTAATGTACAAATAAATTATCAGAGAGACACATTGTTTCATCTGATCCTTTTTTCTACTCAGTTTCAGAATTCATTTAATGCTGGTACTTTCAGGTGTATTTTCTAAAGGACTTAGTAGAGATTTAAATTGCTTAATTTTTTAATGTAAATCAGATGCCGTTTCCCCTCTCCATTCCACTCCGTTATTTCGCCGACAAAACTTTACAGTACATTCTGTGAAGCGCTTTGAGAAGTCTCAATGACAGGATAAGGCGCAAATGGAAGGATTATATATTATTATTTTATTCACTTTTAAAAGATTAGAAAGTGTAGTTAAAATTGTTAACATTTTTGGTCAATTTGATGTTTGGAATTTGCTTTTAGAATATGTATTAAAAAATTAAAAAGAACAATTGTTTTATTGATCTGATCGCTAAACTGAGAATTATTACTCAAAACAAAGCTGTTATTTCATTATACATATGTCACAGCACCTCACAGTAAGTCACATTTGATTACTTTTAAAATAATGTTTTTTATGAAACTACGAAATAAAATTAAACCTACTGCTGGAGCTAGAGTTAAGCATTTTTGTTATTTGTTCAATTTCAAAATGTTTGAGTGGTGGAATGATAAAAGCTTTCTGTTATTTGACAGATTGTTTGGGTCTTAAGATGAAATCAGTTTTTGTGGTATTATCAACCTGGCCCCTAGTGGGAGTGAGCAGCAAATTTTGCAGAAAACATTTCATTCTCTTTTTAATCATTACATTTGAAAAATATTTATACAAAAAACGCAACAAAAACTGTACTTACCACTGAATAGGCCAAGTTATCCTTTATATGGAAGAATCTGGTTCTATAGGATTCAAGCTTTACCTCTAAGAATCGATCTTTGGTATGCTGCAACAAGAGAGAGAACAACAATGTCAAGGAACAAATCAAATGTTGTTAGATACACATGCTGCTTCACACTATTTTCAATGTTGGGTTGTTAGGTGATAACAATAATAATGATGCTTAAATTTGGTACCGCACCTTTCACGTCGGGAGGACTTCCTGAAGCACTTCACACGATAATAATAAAAAATACTAATCCTTGCATTTGATATAGCTCCTTATCACGTCATCAAGATGTCTCAAAGAGCTCCACAGGATTTACTGTAAAGTGCAGTGACTGATTTGTGGGCGACAGTCTATTTGCGCACAGCAGTGACAAAGTCAGTGATCAATTTTATTTGGGGGATTGTTTGAATCATGCCATGGGATCTTTAACGTACATCTAAATAGGCAAATGAGGCCTCGGTTTATCGTCTCATCCAAAAAACGGCGTGCAGATTATAATGGATGAAATTAGTTGAGTCTTGTAAAGCCATTCAAATTGCACTTTCAATGAGGTCCATAGGAATGACATGGAAGAACATGATAAGACTATTCGGTCTGCGAAGCCAATTCCTTTAACAGATCATGTACCCTTGCTTTATTGCAGATTCCTTTTAGCTTAATCTCCCACAGGAAATGGATTGACCACAAGAAATAATTAAAAGATTAATGATGTGCATATTTTTTCCTTTGAGGAAAGAAAAGCAATTTACCAGCTGGGCTGTGGGTAGCTTCTGTGGCATTGGCACATCCACAGTAGGAATTCTTCCATACTTCGGATATACCCTCATAACACAGTCACTAATCTTGCTATTCTTTGGAATGATGGCTTTGATCTTTATTCTCTCGCATCCTCTCTCAGAGCAGAAAGCAAACTCCTGGCGGTTGTGGTGAGCTTTCACTTTCAAGAACAGAACTCTTTGATGGTGGAAAAATAAAACAAGAATCAGCATCTGAATGAGGTGAAATAGTCTTTTGAATGTAAATTAACCAAATTTGCAAATATTGAAATCAAAGCTCACTTCAAAAGCTTATTTTGCAGGCTTTTTTGCCAAATTATTTACAGGAAAATAAGTGTAAAGGTTCCTTATTGCAGCTGACAAAAAAAATACAGATAAAACTTCAAAAGTTTTTAAACCTTTGCTTTCTTGGCTTAATATCACATCTTAGCAAAAGCTAAATGCACCAAATACATTTTAAGAGCTTTAAAGTGGCAATATTACGTCTTCCGATCTTTATTCCTGCCAACACCACTGAATATCGTGGTAAGTTCTTGCTAGAATATTTCAATCCAGCAGTAATGTTAAGAGTCAGCAGGTGATGTACTGACTGACGTACCCAGCAACCTCATCAAAGAAGTAGAAGCCTCTGCCAGAGTCGGTACGGTCCAGTTTCTCCATCTGGTGGGATCGCAAGAAAGTTCCCGTCTTGACTGTTTTTTTGTTAACTGATTATGAATGTCTGAGATAATAGTAAATGTGGTTCCTTTAGGATAACAGATTCCTACTTGGATCCAATCATTCCTGTAAAATACGAATACTGATTGTAACAAACAATAATGCAGGGTCAGTTAGTACAATGTGAAAGCCATTTTGCAGTTACTGCACTGATAACAGTTAACAATAAATTGTCACTGAGATTCTGTCTCAATAAATCAGTTGCTTAAAACTCATCACCCCCACCTGCCTCCTTCAAGGCCCATCTCAAGACCTTCTTCATTGACCGTGTCTTCGGCCAGCTTCCCACCCCCACCTCCATACCCTCCACCCCTCTCGATTCCAACCCCAAGCGTGGGTGCCAACCCTCGACTGTCCAGTGCCTTGGGATATGAAAAGCACTATAAAAATGTAATTTGTTGTTGTTATTTGCAATGAATTATTTCTGAGCCCAGTACCTACCATCTGCGGTCCACATGCAAGATGTGTGATTAGTGAAGGATTCATGTTAGTGAATGGAAACTAAACACAAACATTCCTCCTAATCTCTCCAACCACAATAAAAGTAAACCTAAAAATAAACACCAATCTCAACCACCTTAGTCATTTACTTTTCCTTTAGGAACCACAAGATTGCCAAGTTCTGTTTAAACATAAAGCATTTGTCAATTGCATACACTTCCCTTTCATAAGTAGCTATACCATCTGGAAACAATTTACATAACTTTTTCATAAATTGCTTTTAATTTATGAGATCATAAAAATAGTTATCTACATAGAGCATTAGATATTTGTTTATTGGACGACATTAATCTTGGACGTTATGCGTCTTTTCCCTTATTTTTGTGGGTATACTCAGCAGCCATTTTGCACGGAGCAATGGGTCCATAAGATGAATGACTAATTTTATCTGAAGATCATTGGCCAGGATTTCGGGGGGCGTGAAGAGACACACCAGCTGAGAGTCGGTGTATCTCTTCAAACATTATCATGGAATCTTTAACTTTCACCAGAGGACAGGCATACAGACCCTCAATTAAAGTCTCATCTCTAAGACGCCATGACTGACAATGCAGCACTCCCTCCCCCATTATTGAAGTGTCAGCCCAGACTGTGAACTCAATTTCTGACATGAGGCCGGAACTCACAATCTTCTGACACAGAGGCAGGAGTTCCGCTAACTGAGCCCTCAGCCAAGTCACTGAAACATCAGATCAAGAGGCCACAGGTTTAGAGTTGCAAAGTGCAATTTCAAGACAGACACCAGGAAGCTTCTTTACTCAGCGGATAATTAATGACTGGTACAGGTTTCTAAGATGGGTGGTTGAGGCCAGGACACTGAACTATTTTACAATGCAGCTCAATGCTGTGATGTTTGTGTGTGTGTGTGTGAGAGAGGGGCTGTAGGGTATTCTTTAAGGATGAGATTAAACAGTTCTGTGTGTGTGTCCAGGTCTTAAACACCCTATTCCAGTCATTAATTACCCTCTGGGTAAATAAAATACTTACTGGTATATGTCATGAAATTGCCTTTGCAGCTCTAAGCCTATGTCTTCTCATTCTACTGTCATGGCACATCCTAAATTCATGTACCTGCACATAGGTGGTGAAATTTGGAGGAAACTAGATTGCCAGTCAGCTGCAGGTAGAATATCATATCCTCCATGAGTGAGGCAGGATTTGTAATGTGCCTAACTCACATTGATCTCCAGTGCAACAAGGGAAACAACAACACCACAGACACAGCCAGTAATTCAGGGTGCTTCAGCAACTTGTTGTTTTGAACTCTAGTCAATAGCTCCTGCACATGATCCAACTCAGTAACTCTTCCTGACAAGTTTCCCTTAACAATGTCATCAGTGCCACTGTTAATCAGTCAACTAAAATAAATAAAACATAATCATAATTCTTTCTATTGCTTGTGTTTTTTAAAGAAATTATGGGGTTGAACTTTTAGTACAAAGTGCTCTCTCATTTGAATTTATTTCAAAATATTCAGCACATATCTCCATTTCAGGTCCCTATTTGCACCCAGGGCTGTTTTCTTTATGTGGGTCATTATCTGCCCTGCAAGTACCCTGGAGAGATTCCTCAGACAGAAATCAATGCTTCACTCTGTAGCCTAATCCCAGGGTAGGCTAACTGGCAACTGTTCCTACCAGCTAGGTGGTATAATGAGTTAATTATGTTTATGCAGCCAATTTTAATGAGTCCACGTTTTGTATAAATACCATAGAAAGCCATGCAGACTTTGTATGTTTAGTTTTATGTGCAGCTATGGAACTGCTGAGGGAATGGAATGGTTCCGTTTACGCTGCAAGTTTGACACCAATTCACAGAAAGATGTGCAGGATAAATAGGGGTTGGTCAGGATAAATCATGCTGCGGGTCCACTCCTGACGCTACGTGCAGTTTCACTTCCAACAGTATAAATGATATCAAATCTGCATAACTTGTTCTTGCACAACTGTAACAATTGTGGAAGATGAGCTCAGCTGATCTCAAGATGAGATAAAGCTCTTCTCTCGAGGAGGGGAATCGAACAAAACAAGTCACTGAAAGTTGTTTAGTGGATTTTCAAATTACAAACCAGCATTGGTATCAATCTTGAATCAGACAACCTGCACCTAGATAGGCCAAGGAGGAAGTGTGTATGGGGAAGGGGCTTGCTTTATAGAACTGTGGGATTAGCTGTTGACTCGCGTACTTGGAATAGATTTTGCTGAAAGTTGTCAAACACAGAATCCTGGGGAAGGTGGTATCCTTCCTGTATAACTCCACATATTAAGATATCAGAATGTGTCACTTAGCTTTCTCCCTAAAACCTTGCCCTATCTGTTCGTTATTTTCTTTGTTAACCATCCTTCATCTGCACAGCCTTCATCCTGACAGCACACTGGGTGCTGAATAAACAAGGGTGCCAGTAAAACACAAACCTCTTTATACCCGGTTATGAAAAGATGAAGGAAGGACACGGATATATAAATGTATGTGTACATGTTTTCTTTGGTGGGGGGTGTGGGAATGGTGGCTTCTTGCTTTCAATGTAACCACTTAACACATCCCGGCCAATGTCAACTTGGCATGTTCAATAATACTGTATGCACAAAGAAGACAGGATTGTTTTGAAATGGCCTTGTGAATCTCTCTTGAATAAGTTCGAGGAATTTAACCTTTGTCTTTATTTGGGACAAAAAGGTTGCTACTCACCGGTTAAAGTTGATGAGCCATACTGTTAGCTCCTCAGGAGCTACCCCATTCCAGTGGATAGTGTATCCTTTCTGTAGCATAACCACAGGCTGGTATTGCTGGTAATGACTGTGTCTGCCCAGAGCTCCACTTAAGTACAGAGGATTGTCAGGGTACTCATCTTTAATTATCTTCATCTTCAGATTCGCTGGGTGTCTAGTCTGAATATATACCTTGAAGCAAAGAATTGAAAAAAATTGATGATTGAAACAGATCCAAGTTTGATTCCTGCGTTAGTATACGCAAAGTACAGGAGGAAGGAGAGCACACTAACTGCAATGGTACCTTTGAAAACTAAACGCGCATCAAACTGTTCCTCGCAAATCCGTGTACAGTATGAAGCTACAGTCAATAATATGAAATCTGCTTTGCCGAATGGCAATTTTTTATTAAGAATGTATCATTAAAAAAAAGGTGTTGTTCCAAATGTTGAGCAAAGGTGGTAAAATTGGATTACTAAAACGATTTGGCTGAATGTTTTGAAAGGCCTGATAATCTCAAACATCTGTAAATTAAGGCGATTTTAAAATAATACCTTCCATGGAAAATATTTGGTATGATAATAAACCTCCCAACTTACTTGTGCATAGTGACCGCTACAGATAGCAGACCTCCAGTCTGGAACATCAATACATTCAGAATGCCTCAACAGCCAGTTATCATGTTTTACAATATAAGATCCAGGATATTCAGAGACCGATCCATCCACATCATGAAAGATAGTCGTTTTATCCCCATCCATTTCCATCTGGTGGAACCACGGCCCTGGCTCTCCAAAGAAGACGCGAGATGTGATCTGAATGGACGAGATATCACAATCCGTTCATTAACAAAAAGAAAAGAAACACTGTGAAATATGTTCAGTCATGAGGACATCATGTAAGATCTTAAGTCCTAGAATTTCTATAAGTTCCATAATGTTCTAACATTAACATGAGGGTTTGCCAGGGATCTTAAAATCTAAATAAAGCGAATGGCAAAAGTTCTCCTTGTGGGTTTGTTTCTCAATGTAACTGATCAAATTGGTGTGTCAGCCTGGCACACACTCGCCTCTGCGTCAGAGGGTCGTGGGTTCAAGCCCCACGGCAGGACTTGGAATCACATGGTCTAAGATGATACTCCAATGCAGTGCTGAGGGTGTGTTGAATTGTCGAAGGTGCTGTCCTTCGGGATGAGACGTTAAACCGAGATCCCGGCTGCCTGTTCAGCTGTCTGTTAAAGATCCCATGGCACTATTCGAAAAGAGAAGGAAATTTTTCCTGGTGTCCTGGGCAACAACTCCCCAAATAAAATCAGTCACTCACTCCATAGCTGTTTGTGGGACATTACTGTGCACAACCGGCTGCCACGTTTCGCCCACAAAATATACCAAGTCAATTCACTTTACAGTACATCCTGTGAAGCACTTTGAGACGTCTCAATAACGTGAAACGACGTTACATCAAATGCAAGTATTATTATTATTCTAAATTAAAGCCCTCAAATCTAAAGACGTACTGGGACATCTTGAAACGTGATGTTTGTCACATTGTTCTGTGGACAGCTCTGCCAGGCATTGTTGAGTCGGAAACCAATAGCACTGGTGTGACGACCATCCAGTGCTGCAAATTTACGGAAAGTGCAATTCTGTATGTTAATTGGGCCGTCATAGATCTGCATTCCTCGAATGGGAAATTTCCTGGAAATGGGGGTGGGGTGGAAACAAAACACATTCAGTTTCAGTGTTGCAAAATTATTCATGACTAATTTTCTTAAGCAAAACCATTCAAAGCAAAGAGATTCAAAACAGCTTTTGTTTATGAAAATGGAAACGTGCAATGGTCTGGTACACACATTTAGCGCTGACTGATTTACAAGGTGTTACTTTCTCTGTTGGCTTTGAGAGGGCCTCGTAGATGTACGGCATAAAGTTCATCACAAATTGATCATTTTTTTAAATATAGAAATACAACAGTAAAAGATATAAAGCGGTGGTGAAGTCTCACGGAAGGAGCTCTTACAATTCAGCTTCATCAGCTCTCACATATGGCAAAAATAGAAATCCATTCCTTTGCCCAGAATTAATGATCCTTACTTTAACAAGTTTGAACACACAGAGAAAACATCTAATTTTAGTACATTGCAAACAAAAGGAAGCAAAGAATGATGCAATTCTAATGGATGGCACTGGCCTCCTTGAAGACATTCCTCTTCCACTGTGCCTTAAGTCACCATCCTATCCTTGCCTTCCCGCTCTCCACGCCTCCTGACCCCAACCACCAGCTCGGGTGTAGATCCCTGATTGTCCAATGAGTTGGGACGTCCTCCTGACGTGAAAGGTGCTATACAAATGTAATTTGCTGCTGTTGTTGGTAGCAGTGGATTACTTACATTCCTTTGGGAAGAGCTCGTCCACTGTGATCCAAACCGCCAGGTCCCCAAAAATGATTATCCGGCATTTCTGTCCCTCGGTTAGAACTCTCCCCAACAAACAAAGAGTTTTTAATCTCCTGTTTGGCCCCATCATCGTCTGGAAAAGTCCCACCACTAAGAATGTAAAAATCAAGGGTCACAAAGTCTGCCATGTTTTTTTCAACAGTAGAGAGATTGTCATCTGATCTCAGCTAGGACAACAGTTTGAGTTTTACTGCTTAGCACCTAACCTGGATGGGGGAGGGAAATCAACTTGAGATTCTCTTCTCGATCACTATCGAGTGATCATTGCGCCCGTATTTGTGAACATTAATAATAATAATCCTTGCATTTGATATAGGGCCTTATCACATCGTTGAGATGTCTCAAAGTACTTCACAGAATATACTGTCATGTGAATTGACTATATATTTTGTAGTGAAATATTGGAATATTGACATTGGGTGTGAATGGTATTAAATTATTCTGTGATGATTCACATGGTCGGAACATGATGTTTGCCTTCACTGCCTGGACTCTGCCAGGCTTGAAGAATGACTGGGCGAGTAAGGTACCAGTTGGCACTCTGCACCTCAATAGTTATACCCCGGTATGAGGCAGCAGCCTCCAGAGAGGAGACAAGGAAATCAGAGAGACATAATCATTAAAAAATCAATAATTGCAAGCACATACCTGGCAAGGGTCAAACCAATTCCATTGTCAGCGAATCTAAAGAAAAACCCACACAAATACGAATGAAGAATTATGTCATGAAAACGGAATCTGAACCAAATTAGAATTTTTTAAAAAATGTTTAAGGCATAAACCTCAGCAAGCTTGGATGACCTAATGGGGTAACCCAAACATCTCTCACTCAGGCTATATAGTGAGCTTACAACCTCAGGGAGAAGTCTCCTTCTCTTATTGCATCATCTTTGCGACATCTGAACTAACCAACCATATTTTCTATCATTCATATTTGCATATTTGACTTTCCTCAGATGCAGTACTTTGATGCACACTGGAAATATTTTAAAATGAAATAAGGTGGACCCACTGTTTGATACAAATGCAAAAAAATATGGTTGGTTTGCTTCCTTCTTCGAGGCATCTTTTCAAATGAAATGATGTACGACTTGTTACACCTGGTTTAAACATTTCCAAGATGGGTGTCAATTTGATATACGTCAAAATTTCCCTTAGCCTAAGGTACATTTAACAAATAATCGTTCTTTTGTTAAAATGTTTTTATAGAATGCATTTGTTAGTAACTTATTTTCTGTTTCTCACACTTGCACAAGTGGTTTTATTGATTCATAGCTTAGAATTATCTATTATCATTTTACAGAATATGTACACTGTGTTGGGACATTCCAAAGGGAAATCCATACATATGCTCCAGTCCAAATATTATATGACATCAGCACAGACTTACTATGCAACTAAAGACAAATGGAATGAATCCTTGTATACGTGATGTATCACTGTGCAGAAAAATAATGAGAAGGACTGTAGCTACGGAGAATGATGAAGCAATGGATTTTTATTTAAAGTATACAGCCAACCTTTTAAAAAAAAAGTGATTAAATCCATAAATTGTATTTCAAAGAGTAAAAGTATGACTTACTGGCAGTTATCCAACCATACATCGCCACCACGAAGCCAAGCACCATGGTCCTGATTTTTATAAGCAATGTAATGCTCGATTAAAGCAGGCTCCCTCGATTTGTAAGGATTAGCTTCTTTATGGGGACTATACCTAAAACCGGAAGAAATCAGACAACCATTTCAAATCATCTCCAAAACAGAATTAAGATTTCATTCAGAACACTATGTTCTATGAAGAAGAAAACAGAGCTAGAATTCTCTCCAGCTGCACTATTTTATGTTAGCTGCAGAGAATCTCTTTAGAATCTGCCTACAAACACACACTGAATTCAAACTAGGTAGTTCTCTTATTTATTTAGATCACATCTCCCTTCCCCCATCCCTGCTTCTTTAACGTATATTGATCAACATTTTCCATAAACCAATTAAAGTTCCCAATTATGAATGAATCAGCCCGTGTTTTTTCTCAACCCTTTGAATAGAGAATGTAGTGAATATGCATCGTCTTTTTACTTTGAAACAAAATTTAAATTCAAATTTATTCAAAATAAATTCACAGAATATCCACCCAGCTGCAGATCGAATACAAAAGAATTCCCCAAGGACACGCAGAACAATATAAAATCACAACCATATTTATTCACAGGAAGAACCATCTCGTTCGTATATCGTGGTGCACAAATTAACAACAAGTTACTAATCAATCACCAGCAAAATGTTTTAGAGAAAAATGATAATTTCATTACTTGAATAAAATAGAAAAACTCAACCCAGTTTTTATGTGTTTTACAGGCTACACATGTGATTTTGGTTAAGCCTTCTGAAATAAATACTAGATTCACCAATTTCACGATGTTTTTAAAACACATGATATATATTTTAATGTTCAGAAGTAAAAATGCGCAGCTTCTCAAAGCAGGTCGTCTCCCCCAGGAGAATTAAGTGTTCTTTTGTAACACATCTATTGCTGGATTATTCTACACCATGAACGCACCTTGAACCAACCAGTGAAAGAAAAGGCCTCTTGTCCTTTGCATTAGCTGGAGTTGTTTTCACCCCGTGATCAAGCATTAATCCAGCCTGTAGAAGATATTTAGGCAAGTTAGTACTTTTTCAGATGTTACACTGTTGGTAATTGTTTTAATATAAATATGCTTAGAAGATAGGATCAACAAGTTATGCTAAATAATTGTTTTTAAGCACAGAATGAATGAGTCATAAATTGCCTGGTTTAATTTTCCGAGGTTTTCACTGTAAAATATAAAAGTGCAGCTATTATTTAAACAAGTTAATATACAACAGGGATTTTAATAAGCATCCAAGACACAATGCACAGTGAATTGCTATGTTGTTTAAGATCAAGTAAATAATTGCTGCAGCAACACTATTCAGTCGATAGCTGTCATAGGCTTCTGTAGACAGATGTATATAGACCACATTTTCATGTCCACCATTTGTTTTATTTTCAGGCACGTTTACTAAAGTTTGGCATGTTTCTTCCATGTGCCAATCCAAGTCTTAAATCCATTATTTGGTACATTGGGAAATGGTATTTACTGGAATCCCCCAAAATCTGAAACATTCTGAAAAGAAAATTCCAACCTGCCCATGTTGTATTTTGCAATTAACTTTTGGGGTATTATTAGCCCCAAAAGATCTTAAGTAAGCCTTTCCCCCACTTCATAATCACTTATGATATAAGTTCTAAATCATAACTATGCCACTTGTAATACAGTCATTATAATTTGGGAAAATTGAAGCAAAATGTATCTCGATTCCCTTCCTGCCAAGAAAATACCAAGTTTTAGTACGCCTTTAGAGTCTCTACCGTTTATATTAAATCCTATGATGCAATCTGAGACGTGCAAGATGCTATATCAAATTCAAGGATTATTGATGCCTTCAGAAAAAGAGTAAAATGCCTGAGCTCAATGTGAACAAAACAGGAAACTGAACGAGGCAATAAAACTGCATCTAAAATTTTGAATGGGGATTCCTTCCATTAACCATTAGAACGTCACACAGGCCAGCGGCACTCCACTCCAACGCAATCTACTCTCACAGCAGAGTTCCTACAGGTTTCAGTGATCCTCATGCAACCACTGAAAGAAATCCCCATTCGTGCCTCGGAGTCCTTATCGAGAAATCCCGGTTGAAAGTGCCATGCTTTATGTCCAACTATCACAAAAAAGATACTGTTTCAACCGTTGCTGTACGTGGGATAGAGCGCAGGATAGAGCACAGTGTTTCTTACAGTTTGTCACTCAGCTTTTAGGGATGACACTCATGGGAAGCGAAAGACACTGAAAATAGGTATTTTTTTCCCCCTCAAACTCTACTCTTAGTACGATTCACAGATGCAAGGAATATGCTTGTAAATACCAATGATGATATAGGTTTTCTAATAAATACCAGCTGACTGACTGTAAAGATTAAACCAAGGTTGTTTCTCCAGTGCCTTTTTGCCGTATTACAGCCCATTGCGTGCAAACCTACCCTGAAGTTGGAATGAGCTCTGTTGTTATAGAACTTTCCCAGTGGCATGTGTTCAGAATAACCAGGGGAATACATTCCTTCTGAGGGCCCTGTAGGCACGTGGTGAAAAATGAACCAGAAACCCGTTTCCTGCAACATAAAAATTCCTATGAAATTTTTAAAAAACTTCAAAAGGTACTTTTCCTTTAGATTAAAATACCGCCACGTAACTCGATCATAACAATAAATGGTAACATATGGGATAGAAGATTTTTACGTACTTCAGAGCCTGAAGCTGCAGAGTTGATGAGATTGTTGTTTGGGTTAGCTATCCAAAACGTGGAAACAGCACTGTAACAAAACCAAGAACGTTTCAATAATAATTTCAAAATGCCTGAGCATTTACACATCATTAGTAAATTTAAGTTAAACAAAGCATAGGTTAATATACATTAATATTGAGACATTCTGCCTGGATATCGGGTATTTTTTAACAAGATCAATTTGCACAATGAGGAGTAAATAATAATAATAACAATAATAATCCTTGCATTTGATAAACTGTTTAAACAGAACATTTTATTACTGTGTTTTTAATACAGTATTTAACCAAGTCTTGTAACTTTACAGATTGAATTATTAATGGAAACTTTTTTGCTCATTCTACTTCTTTCGTCTTTTCTCATCCTGTACTTTTCCCTGTTGCAAGTAAATATTACACTATTCATACTTTAAATTTTACGCGAACACTACAAAGGAAATTCGATATCCCCAGGGTTTGTAAAGAAACACTTGCACCAGTGAGTTCATGCCATGGGAGCTACTAAATTAAATTTGTTTTTATATCTGAATTTATATCTGAATTACCAACTATTTACTTGTATTTAATGCTTTAAACGTGATGCTCTTTGCAGTCTAGAAAATGATTATATTTTTAGGTTTCCCTCTTTTGTGCCATCAGAACTAAGGCCATTAAGATTGAGCTGTAGGCAACAAGTCCAATCAGAAGATGACTGGAGTGGTAGTGTTGCAGAATGGAATTTATAACAAATGCTCAATTGCCTCTTCCCAACTATGTTTGGGTGAGGTATTTCTCATTTGTTAAGTTTATCAACCTTGTTGTGATAAATTAATGGTTTATCATTTAGTGTTAATTTAAAAACTTGCATTATTTTGCATCCTTCACTCGGGGTACTGCCTCAGAAGCTTTATATAAGGTTTTACTCTCAATATTTCAACCTTTTAAACCCTGGTTGAGGTGGAGGGAGAATCTAGTTCTTAACAAAAACAGATGCCATTCCTATCAAGCAAGTCAATCCCTTGTTGGAAGCCATTAAATAACAAAATGCCAAAACAATTCACAAGGCATAAGGACAACGAGTTTATCACCTCAATTCAGAGCTGTAGATATAGTTGCTGTTGTTTGTTAAGGTTGATTAAATGAAAATTTGTACTTGGAGAATGTGAGTGCAAACTGGTTTATAAAGAGCCAGATCAGTTCCATATTTTTTTCTTTGGGCAACGAAATAATTGAAGCAGCAGTCTTTTCTTTTATTTTAAAAATTCTTTTTGCCAAATAATTCTATAATTCCTAGTTCAATGAGTGTTGGAACTTAAAGCAAAGGGCTGTACTGAGGTCCTCTGCTCCATCTAACTGAATCCTTGTTTAGCCTTTTAGCTCAGAAGCATGGATCATCAAACAGGATGGTTTTGACGAATGGGGAACAAATTTTTGTATCTCATAATTCTTCCATATAAATTCACCATCAGTGTAATCAGCATCTCAAATGGAGAGTGAATGCTTCGTTCACACCTATCTTTTAGGTGAAGGCTAGGTTGCCACAGGTATTGTCTGGTTTTATTTAACATTTCCAGCATTCGCAGGGCTGCTTCTATTATTTTTAAGAGCAAGGGATGCCTCAGCAACACTCCTGAGATTATAGATTTCATCCTGTGTAGCATTTGGAATGATTTGGCAATCATTTTGATATCTGTTTCCCTTGAAATTACCAGACACGAGCACTTTTCAATTTGCAAGAGCTATGTACCGGAGATCTCCAATACTTAATGCAGAACCTCCTGGTTTGAAGTGCCAAATAAATATCACCAGGGAAAAGAGGAATTAAGGTACTGTACATAACTCTGCAATGCCTAAATATCCTCGCCAGGATATTGTTCTTGAAATCCATAACAAAATAACATAAACTATAAATACAATCTATAGCATAAGATTCTTACAATGCCAATGTCATGTGAATCATGTTTTCTCTAATCTGCATCCTGACGTGAAAGGCGCTCTATAAATGAAATCTTCTTGTTGTTGAATGACATGCAACATTAAAGTGAATAATTGCAGCGGCTTTGATTTTGATAAAAGCTGGCATTTATATTTGCCCACCACTGTAATGTTTCTTCAATAACTAATGTCATGAGTTCAATTACAAACATGTTTATCTTAAGCTCCAAATAAAAGAGTATGTGTTTACAATACACATTGAAACAACAAGGTTATATTCTTTCTTCTGAGAGGAAGATCAAAAATTAGGAATAGGATCTTCTAGTTTCCATTAAATTCTTCCCAAACAGATGAACTTTTGGTGGTGCACTTTCTCATTTAAAATTCTATTCGATATGTTTACACATCTCAGGAAATTGAACTTGGTAAATAAAACAAAATGACCCCACGTACTGGCAAGTACTTATACCAAACAAAGTGGAATAATAATAGATTTGATGGTTTAATTCCAAACTTTAATATTTTTTGGTCCTCCAATGCTTAACCGTTATATATGGACAAACAATGGGAAAGCTTGCCAGACAGTGCTTTCAAGGGCAAGCTATGCGGTTTTAGCTGGTTAAACCTCAACAGTACCTCAATGTGAACTCAGAGGTCCCAAACCTGGGATCTTGCCAACCTGTGCCTGATACTCTCCAGAATTAGGCAAGCAGAATGCATCCCCGCCAGGGAGAACAAGTGCATTTCATTCCAATACACATGAATGTCCATGTGTAGATGGGTGCTTGGACATCTCAGTTTGGTTTTGATACTCCAAAGCATGGTGATGGATTCCGCATGTGTCTAGTAAACGGCCAACCAAAATGTTTTTATCATAGAAAATATTGGGTTGTTGGATAACTTCTACAATGTAACTATTCTCAATCTCCCTTTCTCTCTAACATTCTTGCTTCTTGGGTCCTGGGATATTGGGCACAAATGCCAGCAACATAAAGTGATCGTTGTAACAAATTTTGCATGGTGAGTTTCGAAATATTCCCTGATGTGGTGTTGTTTATTCACAAAACAGTTAATTGACTGCATTTGAAGCATTGACGGACAAGCTACTTTCAACCTCAATTGCAGCAAAATATGAGCTCCTTGAATTGACAGTAGACAGATAATAGTGAAGCACTAAGAGCAAGGAAAATGTGCAGTGTGTTGCTATCTTTACAAGTCTGCCTCCTGGATCTTATAGCCACCCAAAATAAGCTCTGATCTAAACATATGATCAGTGTGGCAACCGTTTTAGAGAGCACTAAAAGCCTTGCATATAGAACTCCAACATTTATGACATCTAAATACAGTATTCGCTTCCTGTAATAGAGCATTTTTCAAATATTCACAATTGAACACCTTGCTGACCGATGGAATCATTGACTCCTTGCTCATATGGGCAGAGATGTCCAACAAACAGGGACCTTCCAGATGGAGCTTTCCCAGGCTATCCATTTTATAGGGCTGCTTGGGAATTTGGGGCCTATAAAACAAATGTCCTGGGTAGGTTCCATATGGACATCTTCTGGGTTGCCAGAAGCCTTAACCATCTGAATCAGAGAACCATCTGCTGTACAGATCTTCCAGCTTCCTCTTGAAAGACGTTCTCATTAGCTACTTGTATAACATGTAGCCTTTTATCATACAGAAATGTGTGGGTTACTGGCAGACGTTCAATGCCAAAACAGCAACTAATCATCAGCAGGCATAAACTGGAAATACATGGCACTGGAAATAAGTGCCCAGTATCAAAACATGTCAAGTGTGATTATTTTGATGATTCTGTATATGATTTGTGGTGTGCAGTCAGGATCCTGTATCTACCCACTATATTGTTCTGGGTAATATAACTATGCAGAACTTATTCATTTTGTGAATGTAACTAGCAGTTCACTCCAAATCACTTTACTAGGGTTGAAGGCGTGGGGCTAGTAAGCCTAGAGTGACTCCATAAATGTAGTGAGGCTACACGTGTTGACTGATAAATAGTCCAGATGGAACATCCTAAAGATATCAGTTTTATGGATGCAGCTTTATGATCATAATATGCACAATATGGCTATCCCAGGCCCATACATGATCCAGGATACTGATTTGCAATTGGGCAGCCTATTGAAAACTTTCTGGTCAGTGCAGCTCAGCTTTGATCATACCTGGACATTGAGAAATAATGCATTCATTTGTTGAACAAATTATTCTGCCACTCTGTAAAATTACTAAACTTGGCGATAATAACAACAAATAATAAATATGATAAATAATATATAAAGAAATACTACTATAAGCTATAGGATATCAACAAAAGTTGGAAAACTTCACTGGCTAGTGGAATTTCATTTCCGAGTATCTGTAAGCGTAAAATGCAACATGTACAAATGGCAAAGGCATTATATTTTGGCATTACCAAATGGCTTGGACCACAATTTTTCTAGGCCTTCCTCATTTTCAAACCACATTAAATTAACAATGGCTTGGGAAGTTACTCCTTACTTGCAGTCCTGTCTGGGCTTTGGGATGTACCCTGGGTAAGCTCCTTCTGTTATGAACCTGCACATTTGGTTGTTGCGATCTGATGGCAACAAGGTCCCTGCCTTGACCAGCAGTCCCAGGCAATGATCAAATGTGTTTCGTTCCTCAGCCCCATCTTCAGTAAAGAAGCAATGCCCCAGGGTATTGTAGCCAACGACATCTTTCACCTAGAGAAAGAGAGAGAAATTGTTTATGCTTTATTTACTTCTGGCATTGGATGCAATCATCTCCACTCTGCTTTCTCATTAGTATCTTTACTGCTTGCTGCTGGCAGAGTGACAATGCACAATTATCATTGGCTGTGTGCCACACCTTAAGCAGCCAAACAGATCAACATGCTTTGCACTTAAAATAAGCAAATATGTACGTGCAATCTGAAAGGCAATGCCAATAATAATTGGTCACGTTACAGCAAGAAGCACCACATATCATTCAGCGAGTTTAATCGCTCAAGATTGCAGGGCAATCTTTCAAAATGTAATACCAGTCATGGTAAAAGATTTTCCTGTGAATTCATAATATGTTGTTACATTAATTGTAATGGAAAACTTGCAAATTGTCTCTTAGGAATTAAATGAGATTTTAGATCGTTAGAAGGTGTAATTTTCCAGCCTTGGTGTTGAAACTGCCTTCAGTTAATTGAACCCATTGTGGGCAGGCAGTGACCTCTCTTCATTATGAAACAGAGCAGTTTGTGGATAATTCATGTTTCCGATTATATACACAATAATATTCAATGAATATGTTCCCGAGCCATCAAAAAAGATGAATGTAAGCCTTTTAAAATGTAAATACATTTATTGTATATAGTGCCTTTCACATCAGGAGGATGTCTCAAAGCACTTGACACTGCTGGGTGGGCACTTCAGCTGGGGGTGAGAGCCGAAGGGGGTGGGGTAAGGGAAAGCCGACCAAAAGCACGCACAAAGAGGTATGTTTTGAGACTAAAGGAGGGGAGGGTGGGAGTCAGAGAGACTTTAGGATATGGAATTCCAGAGAGATTGATCATTTGTGGTCGTCTCTCACCCATAGATTGTGGTTACGTAGGCTGGTATAATACACACTTGTGACTTGTTAATAACATGTAAACACTGGCCACAGTACAGAACTGAAGTTGTAATGATCTAATTCAAGACACCAGACACACAATTTTGAAAAGAAATAATTCAGCTTTTTGTCTTGATACTGTATCAAATCACAGACTGAAAACTTGTCCCTGTCTCTGTGGCCTATACTGGTGGTTACATAAATCACGCAGGGCCAAGAAGCTTTATGAATTTATACCTTCATCACTTCCGCCGCCAAGGGAATTTTCAAACTAATGGCCATTGGCGTCTAGCGGTGACATGACCCACTGAACAGCAGAAGGAATCCTGCTTTTGACCCACAGTCCAAGTTATAAATAATGTTTATTACATTTTCTCAATTTGAAACAAAATACACTTGTGGTTTGGGGTGAATAAACAATGCAAACTGAGAAATACAACATTTGTTGCATGACTGAGAAAGTTCAGATACACAAGTAAATAACTATTCAAGTGTTTCATCTTCACTTTCTTTTCCAAAGTTCTCACAGTGCATCCATGTATCTGTACAGGTTATCGTTATCAGTGTCTTTTGCATTACTTAATTTTAACTAACTTTACTTAGCTATTACTGAGTTGTGCTTTCAGCTCCAACACCCTGAGACTATGGAACTCTCCTCCTCAATCCCACTGCCTTGCCTCCTCCTTCCCCTTCTTCAGTTTGGACCTGAAGACCTTCCTTTTCGATTGAGTCTATTGTCACTTCCCCACTCTTTGACTCGGTGTCAAGCTCTGCCATTGTTAAGTGTTCCATTGTTGTTAGCTACTTGCAGTGTAAAATTTCTATAATTTTACACAGTTTCTGAATTGTCCATCAATATACAATATTTGCTGTATTTTTGCATAAATCAAACTCATTCTGCTGACTGGTGAAGGTCCCAAGGAACTGCATGGCAGAAGTTTGGCACAAAACTCTAACTTAAAGTTACCGTGTCTGAGCTATTGTTTTTGCAGGGGGAATAATAAACAAAGCGAAGCTTCAGAGTCGTGTTAGCATTGCATAAGGTGCACGGATTACTGGTGTGAAGAGAATTAAATCCCAAATGGAATGAATGAATTCGGATTGCTCAACAATGGCCAGAAGCCAGCATGTCACTTTTCTCTCCATCTGGATTGCATCAATGGGTGCACGTTGAGGACTGATACAATTCACTCCACATACAACGGACATGCTTGGAATGTTGGAACTTGACCTTAAAATGTGGCAGCTACAGTCATTAAAAAAAAAAGGAAAAAAACCTCCTGCAAATGCTGGAAAAAAAACAAAAATGCTGGAAATTTACAGTAAGGTCAGTCCATCAACATTTGCCATTGTGACCTTTCGTCACAACTCAACCAGCAGACATAGGGAGCTGGTGAGCCCTGCTGAGTAGAGGATGGAAAGTCAATAAAAAGGAAGGCACTGGATGAAAGTGCCAATGATTATACTAAGAGGCAGCTGAGGTCCACAGACATGCTTTGAAATACAGTTGAGGGAAACAAACGGATGAGACAGAAATGGAAAAGCTTTTTTAAAAAAAATAATAATCTTTGCATTTGAAATAGTGTCTTATCACATCTTTGAGACGTCTGAAAGCTCTTTGCAGAATATACTGTTCCGTGGGTGAAACATGGCAGCCAACTGTGCACAGCAGTGTCCCCCACAAACAGTAGTGGATCCAGTGACCAAGTTATTTTTCTTTTTTTTTTGAAGGAATTATTACCCCCGGAAAAGCGATCCACCAAACGACTACTTACTGCTAGGTGTGGAGTAAGGAAACTTGCCTAACACTTCACCCCACCCAGTAATCGAACCCAGGCCCTCTCACTTGCTCCAACCACTGAGCTACAGGACTCCAGAAGAAGTGAGCAAACAAACAACGAGAGTAATTTTTTTTTTGAAGATGCAAATCAATCAATGCTCACACCCAAAGGCCAAAGGGTCCGTAAGAAAAATAAAAAAAAACAGCCAGCACAGGACCAATCAGAAAACTACATGGCCTGGAGTCGGAAGCCTGGCACTGATATCTCTAAATCAGCAGGGGGCAGCAGCCAATGCAGTAATGTTCTGCACAAGAACAAATCTTTTGGAACAAGATGATTATGTTATGAACAACAACAAGATTCCATTTATTGAGCGCCTTTCACGTCGGGAGGACGTCCCAAGGCGCTGTACAGTTGGGTCAGGACCCGAGCAGGGGGGAAATGGTCAGGGTGAGGGGAGGGAAGGGAGGGAGCGAGGAGGGGGTAGAGAGTCGAGAGGGGAGCTGAAGGCACGGTCAAAGAGAACAATTAGTGCAATAAAAATATTTTTTATTTTCTACCATGTATACTAAAGATGAAATATGCCCGAACTGTTCTACATATTTTTTTCTGCATCCAGCACTTTTTTTTAAACATGAACGTCATTTGAAAGATGTGAGGGAAATCTAAGTTTCCTCTAAACTGGAGGAATCACTGGGGTAAAATGTGATGATAGGTCATGGAAATGTAATAGAAATATAATCGCACACTGAAAGATTAAGCAAAAGCTTTACGTCCTCGGTTTTGAAAGCCGCAAAAATATAAATAATTTTAGCGGATCATTTTGTTAAGCTGGAATTGAAAAGGAAAGATTGTAATGGATTGGTCAAAACCCTCTAACCCCCTTTTTAAAAAAAAACAGATGCATAAATAGTGAAGCTACTCAGCCCAGTCAGTGTGCTGTCAGAGAAACTTGATGATGTAGTACAGGACTAAATGTAAGTTTTTCCAGTGGTTGATAACAGGATATTACTTGTGAAACATGGTTTCAATTTAAGTTTAAAAACAAAATACCATTTCACAAACACCCGCTCCCCAACTACAGTAGTTATCTCTCGATGGCAACTTTGATTTGGCCTGACCGAATATCTGTCTATTGGCACACTGTCAGGTGACCTAACCCCATGTATTTTTATTACGCCACTGATTCTCAAACAGTATAAAGTTATCTTCTGAATGTATTAAATTGCTTTAGAAGTTTATAGCGCGTGAATTTGATGTAGGAGCTGAGTATCTATCAATGCTCGAGCGCACACATGCTGAATTCTTCAGTGCTCACTGGTGAAGAAAGCCTAGCATTTGTCAGAGGAAAACCAGTTGCGTTTGGTTTGAATCATTTTTCAATCAGGGAGTTTGTATTTAGACTAAGTGATGCAGGAAACGGAAAGAATTTAACCCGTAAAAACACTATAAAAAGAGTGCGATCGCATGCTGCATTGGTAAAGAATGCATGCATTGGAGAAAATTATGAGAGGGTTGCGTTAAAAATGTCAATTACAGATGTAGATATAAAGGAAACTATTTTACATGTTAAGTCACAGAGGCCTTCCTAGAACCACATCAAATCCTTGTGTAAAAACTCCAAATATTACAGGGGGTTTTATCTATAAAAAATTCCATCACAAAATATTGCCAATGTAATAATAATAATCCTTGCATTTGATGTAGCACTTTATCACGTCTTCGAGATGTCTCAAAGGGCTTCGCAGGATATAATGTGAAGTGAATTGACTGTATATTTTGTGGGCGAAACAGCTGTAAATGTAAACTGCAAGTTGCAATTTTTGCTAGTCTGTTTGTCGCCTCGATGAATACCACTACTCACCAGTAGTCCATTTGAACCGTGGATAGTCACACACCGTGAGAAAGAGTCATGAATGGATATCCCCTTCACATACGTTGGGGGGTGGTAACCTCCTTTTTCATCCACATCTCCAGCCATGTGAAAATGAATGGGATAATGGCCCATGGACTGCTGGCCCATATGTTTCAGCTCAGCACCTTCAATGTGAGTCGCTTTGAAACCTATTCCCATCTGGCGAATACAAGAACATTCAGGGATACATTTGACTAATTCCGTAAAATAATTGCGAGTTCCTTCAAGATCTTTGCGCCAAGAACCCCAAAACTGGGGTAGCCACAATACTTTCACAGTAATCCATTAGTTCTTTGAAATGAAATGTATATGATGAAAATGCTGTACCTTAATGTGTCCTCCAACAGTATCAAACTCAAAAAATGTGCAGGCATTATCACCATAGCACCGATCCTCCATTTCCCCCTTAATTAATATGTTCCTGGACAGCATTCCTACTTCTGCACGCATGTCAATGCCATCAACCTCCTCACCAATATGAGGATATTTTGCCTTTCCTGTAAGATTAAAAGGAGATCATCATTGGATACCAACAGAGTCAAGCACTCTATAAATAACATACAGCTTCAATAGAAATCTTGTTCTCAGTTGATTTCATAGATTCATAGAATTTTACAGCACAGAAGCAGGCCATTCAGCCCATCGTGCCTGTGCCAGTATAGTTACTGTGTACTTGTGAGTCAATCTACGCACAGCCATGTTCCACAAACAGCCATGACGTGAACAGCCAACTTTTATCTAAAGGAAACAGGGAGAAACTCCTCTTTTTGAACAGTACCATGGGATCTTTAATGTCTAGCTGAACAGGCGGACAGATGAGACCTCGTTTAATGTCTCATCCTAAGGACTCTCTCCCTACAGTGCTCTGAAATCCCAGCCTTGAGTATGAGCTCAAATAAAGGGATCTGATTTGCAGTGACTTGTAACAAGAGTTGTTAATAAGTAGGGACTGAACAAAAGGAAAATCCTGCAGATAATTGGAAAGGCATCACACCAGCCTGCAAAAATGCTGCTCTGATAAGCTAGGAAGTGGTTTGTGAAGTTTCCTTGTGTCTGTGTGATCACTCTGCTTCTTAATGGTTGGATTCCCTATTTGGACCTTGGGCTCTATATTAATATCTCCCGCTACAAATGCGAGTAGTAATCCGTAGTGTATGAGTTGGCAGATGGTACGATGAAATCACAACTGCTCTGAAGCACTTCACATTGCGGAAAAGGAAAATGATGCAGTTAATAATAACATCATAACTCCAAATGTTAAGATTAATAGAATTTTCTTGATTACTTAAAAACTTAAAATTATAACATGATACAGCATATTTTCATTATGTTTTGTCATGGCAGACAGAATATGACCTTCAAACCCACACACTGCACAACTGTTGGGTAATGTTTCCCAGCATTGTAAATTTAGTGGTTAAGAAAGCATGTGTTACCTAATCCCTAATGGCCCAGCAAAATATAGGAAATGATTCCTTATTTTTAGCTCATGCACAAGCAAATGCAGAGGGATGCCTCTGGCAAATTGAACCACATTGAAATTCCTAAACTGTCTGGATACCACTTCCAATGCTATCATAACACATACTCAGAAACCAACTCACCAGCATTAAAAACGGAGGACAGAATAAAGTGCTCAGCATCTAATACTGCAACTGTTGCCAAAATGACAGTTCTAAACTTCTGAATAGTGAACCGTCAGATCTAAGGCCACAGGAGAATTCTCCCCGCAATAAAGTACACTCCACGAATTAAAGAATAACAGCGATATATCAACAATCTGAAGACGACCACTTTATGTAACAGCAAACAGCTGCAGCCACCTTGGTAAATGGTGAAGATAAGTCGTCAGGATGTATTTTAAATGTAAATTAAATTCTTCTGCTGTAAACAATTACTGCTTAAAAATAATAATCCTTGCACTTGATATAGAGCCTTATCACGTCTTTGAGACGTCTCAAAGCACTTCACAGAATATACTGTAAAGTGAATTGACTGTATATTTTGTGGGTGAAATGGGATTTAGGATCAATGTATTTACAGTACAGATTAGCTCTCATTTTCTAATAATCAATTGCAGATAATCGCTCAATAAACTTGGAAAACCTGCATCAGTTACGGTATTACCTTTTCAGTGCAGATGTATGTGTGTACACATCAACTGCAATGGAATAGCCTCCAACCCAACACTTGCAACATTTCAATTACCACCTTACAAATAAGAATAAAACGGATCCAGCTGTTCCACAGTACAAGTTGGAAAAATGGAGCGATTTTAGGACAATAATGAAAGCAGTGGGGAGTTCAGATAAAATTTATATAACATCTTTGGAACCTCCTGCTGGTTTTTCTGGGTTTAATCATTTCATTTTTCCTATTTAACATTTTTAAAAAAAGAAGATATATGACGTGAACCAAAACAAAAGGGCAATGTATAGGTAACAGCTATACATCTTGAACATAGATATGTGTTTTGACAGTCTTGCAAATGCATTCACTGTGCTTTGAGGAATGGAACACGGTTCTGTAAAGCAGGGCATTTGCCAGTAAGTTACAGTAAAAATAGAAGAAAATTGTAAACACGTGAAATGTTTTCCTCCTGATTTTCAGTTTCAGCTTTTTTTTTCCCCCCTCACCAGATGTTGGCAATCATAATTTCTATAACTTAGCCAGAAATAGAAAACTGTTGTAATACCAATGCCCATAGAAGAAATTCAAAAGGTTTGCAGCTCGTTAGGTCACTCACCCTCATATCTCTTGCAGGCTCAACTACTGCTATTGAATTCTCAAATTTATTATCTGGATGATTTCATTCATACTGGGGTAGCTGGGGGAGCCTTGTACCTTCAAAGGACAAAAAGTGAATTATGCAAGACACAAGCAAGCACTCAGGGGCTTTCTACCACTTGTAACTCTCGGGCCCTTCTCATGTCCCTCAACCCCTACGTTCCATCATCAGCAGTCGTGTGTTCAGTCACTATTATGCCCAGACCCCCTCTTCCTTTCCCCCTCTCTGTCCATCTTCAGATCACACCTGAAGACTTTCCTCTTCGACCATGTCTACAGTCATCTCCCCTTGCTCCCAGCTTGGCATCAAACTACACCATGGTCAAGTGCTCCAAGATGCTACCCTGCATGAAGGATATTATACAAGTGCAATTTGTGGTTGGTGTAACTAATATCTCAACTGAAGGAAGCCTTTGTGAAAGTAACTATGGCTAAGAAGGGAAACAGTAACAAGACATGTGATAAATATGAAAACTGTCAACTCAGAATTATTTACGATTTACCTTTTTTTAAAAAACCTTGCAGAGTTTATAATCAGTTAGACTGAACGACAAAATGGGATAGATGTTCCTTCAAATTCAGCAGGGTAATGTTTAGAGATTGTGCTGTTGTGTCAAATATTCATTTATATTTACCAATATTTGTCCAATTATGGACTTTTTTTGCCTCAGGTCTAAGATGCTGAAACATCTGAGAAATATTCGTGAAATTATGCAGGTATTTCACAAGAAAGGGTTTTGATGAACAGGGCCCTTCAGCCCATTTGACCTCATCTTCCAGATTACTCACCCTACCATTAAGTAACAAGCTATTTCTTAAACGAGTTTGCAAGCGAGACCTGAGTTCAATTCCAGGCAGGGTGAAACCTTGGGCAAGTTTCCTTACTCCACACGCCTAATAATAATCCCTCGAAAAACCAAAAACAATAATTAAATTGGTCATTTTAATCTCCAACTGTTTGTGGGACATTGCTGTGCGCAATTGGCTGCCGCGTTCGCCCACAAATATACAGTCAATTAACTTTACAGTGTGTTCTGTGAAGCACTTTGGGACGTCCTCCCGATGTGAAAAGCGCTATATCAAATGCAAGGATAATAAGTTGCTGGGTTTCATCTGTAAGAATACAGTGACTAAAATACAGTAACTAAAGCACAAAACCCTAAAGCCATAAAAAGGAGTGTATACAGAGAGAAAGGATCAGGAAGACTATAATAATCATGGTAAGTAAGCATTATGGTTGCAGATCATTGCCTTTGGAAGGAGACAGAATGGGTACCAGATGAGAAAACACTGTAGAGAAGGACAAGAAAAAAAATCCTAGAGGAATTACACACAAAGAAGACTTGAATGGATGGGTGACAGTGGAGAGACAGCTGATGGTACTAACACAAAATGAGCCTGGAATCTAAGTTTGGGCTTTCCCTGTTATAAAAATACAAGTTATAACTCATTTAGATTTTTCTTTCCACACCCACCCCAAGAATGTTGGGGTGATTTCAACATACCCGTTATATTATGTATGTGAATGGAATTTTCATCTTGCAATGTTACTCAGAAGGGCAATGAATGAAGAAATGGCTCACACTCACGCAGTCCTAGTTTTTTCATGCCTGTTACTAGGTGGTCCCAGTTTAACAAGCAGCGGGGAAGCTTGTCAGACAGTGCTCACAATACTAGTTATGCAGTTTTAGTTGGTTCAACTCCAGCAGTACCCCCAAATGCACACTCTGAGAATTAGGTAACAGGGTGACAGAGAGAGAACCCGCATTAAATTCCAGACATAGAAGATTTTGCTTTTATAAGTGGCACACTTATGTTGGACTTTAAGTCTGGTTTGAACACTCTTAACCATGGTGAAAGGTTTCCACACGTGTCAGGGGTCCAGCTGCCCTCCCCCCACACCAGAAAGGAATGCCTGTATCCAACAATCAATGATACTTTCTTTCAACCAAGACAATTTTGAAGGAAAAAAAAATAAGACTGCAGTCCATACCATGGATTTTGATCTGGTTTGCTCTGCATTCTGGGCAGGGTAACAGCTGAAATTCTTCCGTTTGGTACATAGAATAATCAGTACTCGAAACAAGGATGACATCACCAGCCTTCCACGTCCTGGCATCGTCTGCTAGCTCCAGAATACTGCTATTAATATGTGTATCTATGGTAACGGTCACCTTGGGCCACACTGCAGAGCAGAAATAAAATAATTAAACATACGCAGCAGGTAGCATTTTAGCTAAATGTCGGAAATTATTTTCAATACATTTGTCAAGATGGTTTAATTTGGAAAGCCCCCACCCCCCCACTCACACACACACACATTTTACTGAGGAAGGTTAATTATATTCTGCCTTTACTCTCAATACATTTACAATAGATATGAATAAAAAAATTTTTTTTAAAATATTGCTGTATATTTGGAATGAATGATTGAACTACTTTTGGTCAAAGAAAAATCTCTTTTAACACAATTCCTTAAAAAACAATTGCTTAACAACAACATCAGAAAGAGCTGGAAATCATTATTTGAAACTTAATAATGCATAAGTGTGCAGCCAACAAGATGTCTTTGCGAATGCCTCCTGTGCTCTAAACCCCCGTAAACCCAGTTAGTTCAATCATGTTGTTTTAATTACATCATAAACTGTAAAATGAAAATCATTTCCCAGATAGCAAATGTTTTTTTTATAGCTCTCTAAACCTGTGGGAACTACATCTAATTCAATACATTTTTAGCATGATCGTTTTGTATTATGGATGATATTGTGGGTTTCAACAGGGAAGATAAAAGATATTCGAGGTTTGAAATATGGGGTTAAGGCAGGGCAGACACATCTATAATGTGAGCCTATTAAATTTTCCGCATCAAGATTCTTGTAATGAGATTGCCAAATTGGTACTAAATTATGAGATATTTTATACTGTTGGCACAAGGAACTGAGTTAAGACAACTCAAAGAGTTAACACAGAGGAGAGTTCCTCTGGTTTGAAACCCAGGCAACGTTGGTTGGAAGGAAATCACGAAGGTTATTGTGCTCTTTGATTTGTCTAATCTTAATGTACTGTATTTGACATATTCACAATTATGTGCAACTGCACTGAGTACAATAGATGAAAAAGATATCAGTGGGCAGTGAGAGTAGCATTAAAATAAATGCCATTTTCTTAAGTGTTCCTACGACAATTATACCACTACTAGATTTTTTTCCCCAAAGAACCTTAAAGGTAATTAAAGGTGAGCATACAATTTAAAATCTATAGGATATAATTATTTTACAAGTTCTTCAATTATCAGAGGGTAATAGTGCAAAATTCAGTCAATCACAAGCAAATTGAAAACAATTTGACTGAAGGGTATTCTAGTGTTTGAATGAGCATTGTTGATCTGTATCGCAGATATCTAGATGGTATAATAATGATGGTTGCAGACAATAAGCACTAGAAGCACCAAACTTCAGCTTGAAGTATTTAAAAAAAAGTTAAAATAGTAATTTTTTAAAGGATTGACAATGGATTTAATGTTTAGTGTCGGGCCAAAGGGAAAATAAGTTGAAAATCACGTGAATCTCCACTTTCTGTTTTAGCTTGGAACAGTGGGCAGACTCATTTCGCTTTCAGGCATCAATCGTCAAACTTATTTGTACATTTGTGTGCGTCTTCAGTTGTTACAAACCTGGTTTACCACAAAGGAAGCGCACTTTGTAGTTATAGCAGATTCCATCAACCTGGTCCTGATTACGGCAAACAAACCCGTACTCTCGATCATGTTTATGGAATACCTCAGTTGTCAAATTGGCTGGGATTCCATCAACAGTCGATGCCTATAATTTGAGGAAAGTTGGAATATTATTGATCAAAGTTATAATTAGTTTGAATGAGGATGTGTTTTTTGCCTAAATGCAGTAGATTAAAATTCATCTACTTAACATTGGAGACCTTAACATTGGAGACATTTCAATGCAAAAGTAGGCCATTACTCCTGCGCTGTGCAAGTTCCTATTTTTCTGTTTTTTCTCATGTTGTTTTATTTTGTATTCAAGTGTTTTTTCTAATTACATAATCAACCGGGCTTCAATAACAATAATAATCCTTGCATTTTATATAGCGCCTTATCACATCTTCTAGACCTCTCAAAGCATTTTACAGAATATACGGGAAAGTGAATTGAGTTTATATTTTGCGGCATTGACAACAGTGGAAAATTATTCAACATCTTAATACAATTTAAATAATGTCCTCAAAATTCCCTTTCATGCTTCTGGTAAGAATCTTCAGTTTCTGTCTCCTTATTCATAAACGTTTCTGTGCGGAGACACTTTTTAAATTGAATATCTTAAGCATAACCATGTACTTGGAAAGAATTACAGAAGCATTCATCATTGTCATTGGCTGTAAACAAATCAGATGATCGAACCAGAGATTGTAATGCTTACCTGCATGTCAACTGGACTGGCACAGATGTTTCCAGGAAAAGCTGCTCTAAGGTCCGATAATTTTTCCCAATCTCCAGACCCTCTCTCATCATCCCTATCGAACCACTCGGTCCACTCCACATCTGCAATGAAATGGAACAAAAATATTAAAGTGTTAGAAAAGAATCCATCCAACAGTAAAACGTTGGCGTTTGGGGAACTTAATGCTCATAATTATTGTAATATATATATATACAAAAAAACTGTTTCAAAAACAATATTTTTTTAAAACAAAAAACAATACCAGGAATGGTTAACGTTCTGCACCAAGGAATTTGAAATAGGGGTATGACTATTAAAAACATGCACGAACAGAAATGAAAAAATAGTGACAGTTTAGTTCTTACCTTGCACCCACTCACTGGTTGAGGCAACAGTGAAGTGATCTCCATAGGGCGACTGGAAAAGTTTAAACACTTTCGCCATAGCTGATCCTTCGGCACCTGTTTGATCATCCGTGAACAAAAAAAATCTGAAATTGGCTCAAAGTTACACTTGTGGTCCTTTAAAATGTAAAATAAAACTTTCATTTGCATTCTTTTTCCAATAAATGCTTAAAACAAATTCATGTTGTTCTCAGAAACTCCCTCACTAAACATTTTACAGATGTATAATAAATAGGAGGACGTCTCAAAGAGTTTGACAATTCTGGTTGGGCTTCTGATCTGAGGGTGGAAGAGGATAGAGTATTGAAAACAAGATCAAAGAGGTATGTTTTGAGATGGGTCTTGAAGGGAATGAACGAGTCAGAGGGACCTTTGGGATGGAGTTCCAGAAAGCGGGGTTAAAATAGCTGAAAGTCTACGCACCGAAGATGGAGTTGATAGGGCAGGGGAATGAAGAAGGCCAGTGTTTACTGAGCATATCCCTAAAAGCATAAGCAATGGCTGACAAAGAGGTTAATGTCAGATGTTTTGCTTTGCAAAGTAGATCTCAAGTGCAAACTGTGTGCGCTTCCAAGAGCTCTTCTTTTCATAATTTTAAAATGAACAATTCAACAAGTTAGTTACGCAAAATTAGGGATCGCGCTACCTTGATAGATAATGTGATCCTCCACAGAAGTTTCGGGATATCCCTTTATTGTGATGAAACTCCAAGGATGCCTTCAAATGTAAATAGAAAAGTGTTCTAGTTATTAAGATCTTCATTGAAGGCCAGAACAAAATAAATACAAAATTAAAGAAAATAAGGAATGTTAATAGCAGAAACCCTTTTGAAGAAGCTGTCAAACATTGTTTTATAATAGAAGTGCAGCTGTACAATTTGAAATATAAAGGATAACTTAAACAGAGTAGTGAATTATGGAGGAATATTTAATCTTGTTGTAGTCTTTATGCTAGTGAAAATACTAACACAGTAATCAAGCTGGCAATGATGTTCTTTGATAACTCTCTAGATCTCACGCACATCCAGTTGATTATAAAAAGAATGAGATAAACAGTCAACTAACCTAAAAATAAAATGTCCTTATATTCCACATTTATCTAAGTTTATTGAACCTTTTCATAGGCTGTTATACCATGGAAATCAACACCAAGTAACTCCATTGCACACAATATTTCAAATGAGAGAAGCACTTCATAGAGACATAGTGGAAGCTTGAGATGGGTTGTAAGAAGAAGGTGACCGAAGGCACAAGCAAAAGAAGTGGGGCTTTTGGAAGGATTTTTTTTAAAAAGGAGAAAGGGAGTTGCATGCAAGGTGGAAGGGATTTAAGGAAAGTTCATGAGAGCGGGGGGTGGGGGGCAAAGTGGTTCAGTGCCAATGCAATTTTAATCTCCTGCCTTTGATTTTGAGTAGATTCCAGAATATAACTGCAGATGGATTGAGAACGTTTTTCTTTNAAAAAAAGTTACATTCCAAGTTTAAAAAATTGGACCACCATCGCCTCAATGGGCTTGGCCAGGGGCCAAAGATAATATAAATACTGTATTGTTCGGTACCATTAATACTGAGATATGGAAGCTCAATGTTACTGTGTATGTCAAGTGATATAAAATGAATGGATGTGTTGAAAGATGTGCAGATTATCGTTGTAATACACATAATGGTAATGACCACAATTGTGGGTCATGTATTCAATTCAATGTTTAACAAAATAACTGGACTAATTATTGGAACCACACCCCAGTAGAAAAAAAAGCAAAGGAGTCAAATGTCTTTAAGAGAGGAAGGGAAGACAAATGTTGGCAGGGAAATGACAATAACCAGAGGGGAATCCATTTCCTCTGTTATTTCCCTAAGGGTCCAAGGGTGCATCCTGTATGGCCTGGTTGCCTTGTAGATATTTATTTATATAGAGTTTCTTCATGGCATGTGCTCAAGTGATGACTTGTATGTAAAATTCCTGAGGAAGAACAATTGGATGTGGAATTGGACCATTAATTTGCGAAAAATCTTTTTAACACGTCTCCTCATCTATCATATCTCTTCCCCTTATTTGGTCTTCAACATGCCTCCACCACTGTCATAGCTAAAACAATGCCACTGCTCAAAGCTGTATATTCACTATATAATTCTTTGTAATGTATGAGGATTCTGCTCTCTGGTTGTTTGGTACTGTTAGTGGGATGAAGGGATGGGGTGGTGGGGGAAATGTGAAGCAGCTCTGAGTTAGCGTAGAAGATGGAACAGAGGAGATTTAAGTGAGGATGGAGTCAGGAGATTTGGGAGAGCAATAGATACGTCAAAGATCTTAAAAGAGAGGTGGGAACGGTGGTAAAATGTTCAAAAGAGAAGGATCCGGGGTAGTAAGAGGACAGACCAAAAAGGAATACGAGAGGATTTCAAATCCTCTGTATGCATCAATATAACTTGAATCATTCTGTCAGATCCCTTGCTTCAATACACAGTGCATCCAGTATAACTGAGCCACAGAACTAATATAATTGGTACTGAATATGAATTATTCCACTAGTTACAATTAAAATAAAGAAATTGTAAATATTTATTCTTTTTAAAAACATCATAGCAAGTTCACTGGTCATAACATCTGATTTTGATTTTAAAAAAGTGTTAAGCTCCTGAACTCTTAAGTCTATGGATTTAATTTCAATCGCATTATAATAAAGAGTTGTTTCACCAAATATTTAATTTTGGACACCATCTGACAGCTATCTATTCCTATAAATTTTACAACTTTCAAACTTATAGAGCAACATTTGTATGTTCCCAATTAATCATAAATTCAACAGTGTGAAAACACTCTGGCTCTAGAATACGCTCAAATTCTACACAATCTTGATGGAAGTAAAAGGGACTCCAATCTGTTATTGATTCAGAATCCCAATTCATGAAGAAATAAAAGTTTTATGGGTTTTTTGCACGGTTGTAGCTTCTCTTGTGAATAATTTCAATAACAATCCATTATTACCATTACAAAGCATTTGCTAAAAACATAAATTTTCCTTTAGAAAAGCAAATATTGGAGGTTTGAGAGGAACTCTGGAGCATTAACTGGGAAGCAAAACCAGAAAGTGGAAAAAAGGAGCACAAACAGAATTCGTTTAAGACCACAGGAAGAGATGAACATATTGTTGAGCCTGAATCTCTGAATGTGAAGTTTGGTCGATTTTAAACTTAGAAATAAACCTGTTGCGGAAGTTTCATTTCCACTGTAGTCCTGCTCTGTCCTCCAGTTCCTACTCTGGTGCAATAGATGAGAATGCAATTACAATTAAGTTATCTATATTCATTTAATAAAATTTAGTCCAGGGGTGATGTTGCTTCGTCCAAATGTGGCTTCATAAAGGAAGTAGGGCCAATAATTACAAGTGATTAAACGTGTGTAGATAAGATTCAAAAGAAAATGTTATTTTCCAAATGGCATATCACTCGTAAAATAATGCTCCATGTCATGTTACTGAATCGCAAAGTTATTTCTGGCACTTATGAAGAAGTCTAACTACTGGCAAATTAACTGGGCCCTTAAAGATACATAGAAAGCAAAAAGCGGAAAAGAGCCCAGAGATCGATTCAAGTTCATATCCAAAATAATCCATCCATTCTACAACCCACTCAACATTTCTCTCCTGTTGTCGGCTAAATTCCTTCTTAGGGAATGTGAAATCCAGAGGATGCGAAAACCCTCCTGGCAATTCGTGGGGTACAAAATGTCCATCTCCTATAACAATAATCCATGTATTTGATATAGAACGTTTTCAAAAGGGAATATTATCCCCTGAAAGCGATCCGCCAATTGACTAACAACCGGGTTCCTACTTACTGCTAAGTAAACAGGGGCGTGTGGAGTAAGGAAACTTGCCTAAAGTTTCGCCCTGCCCGGGAATTGCACCTGTATAAACTGCATACCTGAATCCTAGTTGTCTGAAATGCTTACTGCCCAGCTTTACCAGAACGGCCTTGGCAAAGTCCTCCAACTTGGCTGATCCCTCATCATTCACAGCAACTGATAATATCATGCCTTCTTCAACGCCATTCAAGTAGTCAGCAAGACGTTTACTCTCATCTCTGCTTCTATAAGTATCAAACCTTTATTTTAAAAACAAAACAAGAATATTTATTTCCGCACAGAGCCTGTTAGCAATAATGCCAGAACAAACAGAATTCAACCGCGACAAAAAACACGCTACTGTACAATGAGCAGCACATGAAAAATTGAGATAAATGAATGGGAGGAAGTAATGACTATAAACTGGTGTAACTACCACAATAAACACACACATATTCTGTTCCACAATACAACTGAGAAAACGTACATGGTTTTGTGCTAACCTGAACTAAGAAAAATAAACTAGTCTCAAAAGGCAAACTTTAAACTCACTTATCGGAATGGACCACTTCTCCAATATTATTAATGACATGGACTATGATGCCACGATGACCCCAACTTTTTTCAAAGTAGTAGCCACCCTCACGCATACCACCGGCGTGAAGGGTTTTGTTCAGAAATGTCCAGGACAATTTGTGAGCTCCATGAATTTCAAGTGTTCCACCTCTACTAACGCCGATGTACTTCAAGCCAAAGTAGCTGTGCAATGCTTCGGTTTTCTCGTCAGATCTACAAATGAAAGATCAGAAATAAAACTGTAGCCAGATTGTACTCTATTAATATCTGTGACATTATACTTTTTTCCCCAAAAATAATTTCTTCTGTATTTACCTTCCGTATAAAATGATGGTGAAGTTACTTTGAAATGGGCAGCCTTCACTGCCAATATGGAGCTCTCCACCATCTTCAATCAGAATGTTTCGTGTGCGTAGCACAATAGGTTGCTTGCCGCTGTCTGAAATAACAAGTCTGCCTGCAAAAGGGAACAATAAATAAGTATAGTACATTTAATCTGCAAAAGGTGCAGAAATATATATTATACTTTCACACCCCACCCCCTAATTTCGTTGCACAAAGGTTTATTTCAATGTCGAGTCACCCAAAAATGTGATGTATGCTATTGTTACATTAACACTCATTTTAGATTAGGAAAAGAAATGGCTGTGACAAACTTTAAAGTAAGGCCTCATGTGGACACAATAATAATAATCCTTGCATTTGATATAGCGCTTTTCACGTCGGGAGGACGTCCCAAAGCACTTCACAGAACACACTGTAAAGTGAATTGACTGTATATTTGTGGGCGAACGCGACAGCCAATTGCGCACAGCAATGTCCCACAAACAGTCGTAGATTGAAAATGACCAATTTATTATTGTTTTTGGTTTTTGGAGGGATTATTATTAGGCGTGTGGAGTAAGGAAACTTGCCCAAGGTTTCGCCCTGCCTGGAATTGAACTCGGGTCTCAAAATATACTGTAAAGTGAATTGACTGTACATTTAGCGGGCGATTACTGTGTATAAGAAAAATAATGTACTAAAAAAAATACCTCCGTCGAAAATATGAATAGAATGAACTGTGGCTGAAGATACCAGGAGCAGCTGGCGATCTCGTCCAATTGTAACCCGGTGTTCCTTATCGTGGCCAGGACTCCAATGGTGGAGTTTTGGGTCTTGGTCTGGGCAAGCTGGCGCTATGGAAAAACAGGCGAGGTTACATTAGACAAACCTTTACGCTTTATTTTTCTATTAAAACATAAAAATCATCAGCATTTCATTTGCAGGATTTTAAAACAAATCTTCTGGGAACTACAAATTATAATATGATACGAAATTACATTTGTATAGCGCCTTTCACGTCGAGAGGACGTCCCAAATGAGGCATGAACCCAGCATGATTTATTTACAAAATATTGAATTGTAAAAATCCCTTATCTGTACTGTGCGCAAATAAGGGAACTGCCCTCAATTATGTAATTTACAACCACTATAAAGGGATTACAAGAGCCTCTGTAATTTTGCATTGTTTATTAATTTCATAATCTACATATACTTTTACACAAACCTCAAATTAGCTCTCAATATTAAGGGTTGAGACAATTACATGGAAATTTTAATTTGAAAAACTACATGGAAAAACACTCAGATCCCTCAATGAATCAGTATTACTGCTAAAGCCTAGAGTGAAACTTAGGAAAGTCCCAGGTTTGATGGCTGATTATTAGGCAATTTATAGTGAAGACATTAAAAACATGTAAGTATCTCCATTCATCACTATTGAATGAACAGCCATAAAGTGGGCAGAACTTAACAAGAGAAAGTGTTGCCAACCTTTCATGGGCTGACCAAGTTGTTCTATAACTCTTTAAGAAACTACACAATTTCTGGAGCAGATTTTTTTCCCCCTCCAGTTACTCTGGTAAGTATCTCCATGGAATCCTGTTGCCAATTTTCTCCAGTGATGCTACTTGTTGCATTCCACAATTGGGTGTGTTGGAGTAAACTTAGACAAGCATTAAGTTCCATTGTGGAGTTGATCAAGTATAATTATATGGAAATCAACGAAGAAATCAGTAGTCTCACTTTGGTGGAAAGATCATGTTTATAGATTTACATTTTTGGTTTACCCTAACTTTTAAGCAATTGCATTCTCTCCATTCGTTACCCACCTTGTGCCAAGTACTCATTTCTGGGTGGCCAAGCAACCTTGTCTGTTACTGATCGAGATTATAACAATAATATTCCTTGCATTCGATATAACGCCTTATGTCGTCAAGAAATCTCAAAACGTTTCACAGGATTTTACTGTGAAATGTAGTGACTGTATTTGTAGGCAGGTTAACTAAATTTGAATTACTTCAAGATTTAAGATTTAAGTAGAAAATCAGTCACAATCCCACAGCAATGGAAGTCAGGTATTTTGCGCTCAAGAGAATGAGACTAATGGGTTTAGTGAGGAAATAAGAGACCAAAGTTCTTCTAAAATAGAATGTGAGAGCTCTGTCAATGGAGCCAAACTAGAACAATTTTGTGCACATGGTACTTGTACTTTAATCCCACAGTTTATTCTGAAGTAGTTTAAATTTTATTTACCTCCGAATAGAGCGAATGCTTCTGTCAGTAGCCATCCAACGTTGCAAAGGAGGAGTATTGCCTTCATTGTACTTGGTATTCAGAAGATATTAAATAAAGTTGAGCGTGTCTAATCACCAGTGGATTATTTTGCAGGTCAATCCAGCCAACTTCAAGCATCTGTATATATGTATATAAAAGAATTGCCATTTATATATTTAAAAAAAGACTTTAAACTTGATTTCCACACTACATTACACTGAGAAGAATATCCATCCACCTTCCTTTCCTATAACTTAATGTTTAAGAAAACGTATGTAAGAAAATGTCAGCCGCAAATCGAGAATCCTAAACAGTAGTCTTCTCCATCAACTGAAGTATAGATTGAAGTCCATCTCGTGATTCCAAACTAACATCACATATAGTAATTGTATTAGTAGACACATGCATACATATGTAAGGGAGAAGAGAATATAGGGATCGTAAACTGGTCCTGAATTCCAGCAGTTGCTTGGAGACCATCTGGTTCAATTTACCTCCAAAACTATCCTAAAGAAGTGAGGATTTAGGCCAATTTTATCTCATATTTTTCGGTAAACTCCATTAATTGAGTCTCCAGAGAGAGTAGCATTTCATTTTTGAAGTTAACATTTTTTGAACCCAATTCACATATTTTAAAAACTTGGCAAAAATAAACTTGCACAGAAATATCTCCAACGGGCTTTTTTATTTGCCGAACTTTAAACTATTAGGTAATTCTTTCACTTTAAATTGGGAGAATTATGCAATCAAAAATGGACATGGAAAAGCTTGAGGCACCATGTCTATCAATCTACTTATTCAACTGTTGAAAATGCATAACAACTCGTCATAAACCCCTTCAAAGCTTAAGAATATGAATTTAAAATAGTTCTTATGTTCAGCAAAGAGATTTCAAAAAACATTTGTATATTTCCTAGTTTTAATATGCTATCTCTTTAAGCAGCAAATCTCGTTTATGCCTCCATATATTGTATTGAGGATTTTAAGCAGCCTAATTTGAAAGGTCTTCAATATTAACAAAATGCTCCTCTATGAATCACAATAATTATATATATTTTTGATCAGCCTGGAGTCTGACTCACACATAAACCTTTCGCAGTACAATCATTACAACTCTCTAGAATTCACAGGAGCAGAGTTCTACAAGTACAAAGTCTCTTACTGAAGGGCAGGGGAAGGAACGAATGTATCCATATGCTGCTGGCCTATTTCTGCAGAATATAAGTGACAAAAGCCAAAGTATTAAGGGCTCAACTCAAAGCAGCGAAAACCTTGCAACTTACCTGACTGACGCACTCATAAGTGTTCCACTGCTTGATCAGCTAGGACCACCCTACTACTTCAGGGCAATAGCTTGCAGGATTATCAGCAACTACCTGGAAAAATTGACTCCCAATGCCACATCTATCCTTCTAAATCACACTGCTATACCAGGCAGATTGGTCAATGATCAAGTACCCTGAAGTCCTGCAGACCTGCCTCACTCAGATATCAGATCACTGAGTCCACCAAAGAGTTGCCTCAGCTCTAGTCTCCCTCAGTCAGCCTAGTCAACTTGGAGCCACCTAGACTCCAAAGAGAATCAGCTCTGCTTTCCCTTCAGAAGTTCTAATGGTGGTTTAATAGAATGGTTACACCACTACTGTAAAGCAAACATGTGTTGCATCATAGGTGCTACTATTGCTTTTAACCATTAGCAATTTGTAAAACAATTACTGAAGCACATCATGTATAAAATTATAAACTATAGTAACACGCAAATTGTTCATTCAAGAAGTTCATTTTTTCTAATTAAATTTGGTGTTTAATTGAGTTAACATTGAGGTAAGTCACTGAACCCAAAATCTTAAATAATGGAAAGTTCCAAAGGAAGCCTGGTGCGCAAAGAGTTAATAGTAGCATTGCATGTAAAGTTGCACAGACAAATTGTACGTTGTATTGCATTACTATATGCTGTACCATTTACATTCCATGATTATAATTCACTGCAATGCTTTTAAACCAACTGGTTTTAATATATTTCTATTTTTAAGCAATGGGATAAACATTGCTTAAAAATACTCCCCAGAGCCCAAAATAAATCTAAATTGAATAAAGTCTTTATAATTCAGTCATTGGAAACATACCTCGGACATCATAGAACAGAAACGTGGTACAAGTTTAATGTTAGAAACTGCTTGAGGATTGTGTTAGCATTAGGCACATTATGATATGAAAAAGGCACAAATTATATAACATGCTGAGACTCATTCCAACATATTGTGATTATAATTCAGAATAAATGCTTTGCAGACATCTTTGGTTATCAATCCATTTGCATTTCAAAAACTGGAAAGAACATTTTGCAATTAAGAGTACATGAATATTGTTCAGTTCTTCAGTGCAAGTGAAAAAAAGTGTTCTCTGATTTATACATCACGTACGCTAGAGATTGGGGGACTGATCATTCAGTTACAATTTGACAAGTGCAATGGACAATTTGTTAGTGAAATAAATAAGACATTTGCTCACCACTCTAAGTCAGGGGGAAGAATAACCTTCTGTTCTTTGTGTTACAAATCATTCAAAGATGGAACAGACCAAGCTTTTTTGTGTGCAACATATTTATTTATACCAGTGATACAAAAATACAAGTAATGTGACAGAGATTCAGCACTTCTTTATATTTGACAATTAAGGAAATCTCAGTGGAATGTATTCCATCATCATCTTGTTGCTAAAGTTAGTTTAGTTGACTGATATGAGATCGTGAAACAACTTTAAATCTTTCCGAATTTCCTTTGCATTTTCTGAACAGCCATATTCGTTCAGTTTCAATGGGACATAATGCTGTAGAGAAGCTACCTTCTGCCCGGCACTGCGGTTTACAATTTTAATCCACGCTGGCTTCATCTGCCCCTTGAATCCTAACATAGCAAAACTTCCTGAATGTAAGAAAAGAAAAAGAAAAAAAGAGAGCTAATGATTATTTTCTGTGCTCTCATTATTTCCACAAATCATTTTAGGCTACAGAAAGAAATCCATGGAAAATTGGCTGTTTGTACTGTCTGAACATGTATAGATAAAAGCATAAATTAAAATTATCTCAACCAAGATGTGAAAACACTTGTGCAATAGCTCAAAAGGTAACAATACAGTAGTTACTGGTGAGATACAAAAATATTTGACTTTCAAGAAAGAATAACAGCCAACCATTAGACGCTCTCATAAAGAGATTAATGCAGTCAACATGACACCTGCAATTATTTTTGCACGCATTACCTTAAGCACTGTCAAAACATGTAAACGTTAATAACAAAAGAATTTGCTATGTGAAAGAAGATTAAGGTTCCCCTTCCACAGTCCTGGCAGTCTCGACATGCCAAACTATATATTGTATGCTGAAATATTATTTCCTTGGTTAAATTTACCAAGTTAAAATGTGTTGCAATATTATACAGCTCAGTTAACAAGAATGACCCCTCCCAAACATTGCAGTGGATTCCTATTGTGCAATGAATAGCCTGTGGCAGACAAAAATAAGTTTATAAACAACTTTGATATAACAGAAGTAACTATACCAGTATCTACCAAGTCAGGAACAAATTAAGAATTGGCAAACATTTAAATACATCTGGAATTTGCTTAACCTAGGTTTACTGTCTCATGTGGGCTGACCTGATCATTTTATTGCTCACAGGATATTGCATGCACCAAAAACCAAAACAATTCACATGGGTGACAATAAAACCTAGCAGCAAAATTGAGGCTCTAAGGTACGAGACCAAAAAAAACAATGGGGCTTGTGTGACATAGTTTGCAAATTGTACGGATATTGCAAACTTGCTCCTTGGTTCAGTGTTCTAAAACTCACAAACACAAAACCACGTGACTTCTTCAGCACAAAAATATGAATTAGTAAAGGCAGAAACACTGCGCTCCAGAATTATTTCACTTTTGCTTTTAAAGACAGACAGTCAAGAATCTTTCATGCTTTAAAGAACTGATATATAGCATCTCTTTAAACTGATGGCTTGGATTCTATGAATTCTATTTCAGCAAGTAAACAATTAGTTTCCAATATTTCCCTCTCCCTGCACTTGATAGAAAGAATTGATTGATACATTCGAGGATGCCTACGAGGCAAAAACGAGCTAAATGTGAGCATGCAGAAAGTTACCCATCACCTTTCACGAAAAGTCCCATTGGCTGTGCAGCACCGAGCCTGAGGAAAGCTGCAGACCTGGAGGTCAGCTGCCAGGAGGCATCATCTCTTGAACAAACCAGAACAATTGACCTGCAAGCAACAGAGACAGGAAATGATCAGCAAGAATACACTCAGGTGAGGCTAAGAACTGAGAGCAATTTGACGTTAAACCATTTGTGAAGGACCTTGGAGGGCAAGGGTAATCCAGTCTCCCCATGTCTTCAGTATCTTAATTTGTTTTAAAAAATGCATGATCTTGAAATGGTTATATTCCAGCAGAGGGTTTATTTTAAGTCCCTTTGTTTGAATTAGAGTGATCGTCCATCTATCGCAGCCACTACAGCTGTTTTCACAGTGATAGTTGGCAACACATGAAAAGTGGATAATAGTCCATCTGCTCACCTATCTGGTATGGTTATCTTGATGTAATTAGCAATGACATCAGCCACCTGGGGAGCAAGGACCATATCGAAATGTTGCCTGCTCACAATGTCTCCAGAACATGCATCCATCACAACAAAAAACAGCCCTGGCTTCTCAAACAGGAAAACTTCATCATTTACCTACAAAAGCAGAAGAGCAATCAATAAGTTATTTTCTTTTTGAGGAAGTGAATGAATTGTTAAAATGTTTAGGGTTGTATTCACATTCTCCAAATGTGTTCAAATAGAAAAATACCATTGTGGAGATGACAAAACACTGATTGTAAAACGCTATGAAATGTAATCTTTGAGGCATGGAATGTGGTTCAGAAACCTAGGAAAACAGCAATAAGCAGGACTGGAAAAGGCTATTTCAGGCCATCTGGCCAGCTTCATTCCAAATGCTATCACTCCCTGTCTCCGCCAATTCCCTTCAGCATCAAAATCCTGACCATTCTTTCTTGATACTACTTACACTACCCAGTCCCATTGCCTCTCAAGGCAAAGCAATTAACATGTCAACTATCTTCTATAAATAGAAGTTAAATCTAAACTATCTATTCAACCAACCCTTCACTTTCTTCTCAGAGCAGCTACTCAATTAATTTAGGTCAAATACTTATTGGAATAAAATACATACATTGGCCAAGTGTTAATGTTATGTGTATAATAACCATAACTTGAAATGACTTAGTGCTTTCCACATAAAACAAGTTCTTCTATGCTGCAAATCTCTGTAGTTCTAAAAATAAAGCTCTTCACAAAATATATAACTGATTATAAATGAAGTGACAGTTGTCATAAATTGGGCTGAACTGAACTGTTAAATCAAATTTAGCACAGAAACCATGCAAATAAAATTGGTCCACGAAATCTGATCTTGTTCTACTGGAACACACAAATGATTCATGGCAACTTTTTTGTATTAACAAGAGAAGCCCAAACTACAGCTTTCATTCATGGTGAGTCAGAGAGAAAATCCAAACTTTTTTTTTGTCAGGCAAGTACCCATGTATTTTGTGATGAGTTGATTTATGCCACATGACCAGTGAGGAATTACACTGCTGAACTGATGGCAAAGGAGTCTGCCACGTAAACTGATAATTTAGTACACAGCTGGTTCTCCAACTTCATAATTCTGTACAGCACATAATTCGACTTGGTAAAACTAAGAGTTTTGTTTGAAAAGAATGTGGAATCTGTTCAGTACTCCAGCCTAGCTACGCCTTTATGGATCTAGGATTTCTACAAGTCACTTTTTTCTATTAACAACAATTGTCTCTGAGCACATAAAAAAGTAAAATTACAACTGCAAGTTTTTTTCCCCCCGAAGCCTAGTTCCACTTTGGCATTAAAGAATTGTTTGGTGAAATTGAAATTAAGTCAAAACTGGAAGACAGAGCTCTCTCTTGCTGTTTCTTCCTCTCCATCTTCTTTTTAACAAATAAAGTGTATAGGCAAGAGTCAGAGTGACTTTCTACCAAAGTCACTCTGTGACTGGTAGCTCGGAAGGCTATGAGAATTGTCTGCACAACCGTTCCTCCAATTTTCCCCATGGAGAAGGATCTGTTAATTGCTCTGCTCCCTTCGTTCCTCCCTCCACAAAGCTACAATTCAAGTCAGTAGCTCCGTATACAATGGATCACACAGACAATGCTTGTCATGCAGCACCTTGATCCTACACTAGTAATCTATTTGTTTTTCTGCAGTGTTGAAGAAAATCAATTATAATTTATGCTGTTGGAAATGATAAACTAAGTAAAGTGTAAATAGATGCACTTCATACTTCTGCCACTCTTTTCCTTGACTTTCTATTTTAACTTTACCTTCTTTCTTAGAGGAGGAAGGGATTTTTCCCACTTGGCTCCTGTTAACCCTAGAACCCAAAACCTCAACAGGCAAGCTGGACAAGCAGCAAGAAGCTTGCCCAGCCACAGAGAGCTTGCCAAACAATGGCAAACAATATATTTTTAGCTGGTTAAACTCCACCAATAACCCAAAATACACTGTGGGATCTGCAAGCCTTGGCTCATGCAACCCTGCGTGAATACTTTCTGGAATTATTTAATTACTTAGACATCTCAAAGTGCTTTATAGGATATACTGTAACGTGGATTGACTGTATATTTGGTAGACCGAACGCGGCAACCAGTTCAGCCCATACTTGCTTCATATGGTTCTTGGCATCTGTTGAGGTCAAGTTTAAACATAAACTTCATGGCTCATTACATTTTACCTTGATGAAGGCAAACCTTTGTCCATTCTGAATCTCAGCTCCACTCTGTGACTGTATTTGAATCCTAACGTACTTTCTGTGTGGATCACTGGTGATAGCAACCTAAGATATCATACAAAGAAAAACACTTTATTCAATGCAAGTTGATGCAGGATATTATACTCTCAATATATTGTACACCTAATCTGAAATTGACAGTGAAACACACAGGATAACTAGGCACACACAGTAGGAATTGTACTGGATCCCCACCCCTGGCGAATGAGGTTTCAGATAATATACGATTCATACCAAGTCCCAGATCCACTGCTGGGACAAGCTAAACAGGTTGTTCCCTGACATTTTAACTGCAACACACATTATATATTCTGTGTTGTCCTATTAAAAAAAGTATTATAATAATGAAAGTTGAAGGCTGTTTAACCCAAGCAATAACCTCCATTTTTATTCAATGGATCGTGTAGTGCGATTCGCCAATGACTGCCCAATAAAAGTATGGTGCAGTAATTGGCAACTCACAGTCTTATGCAGTGTAGGGTCTGTGCGTGTATATATATATATATATGGTATTTTCAGACTGAGTGTTCAAGACATACCTGTGGGGCACCACACTGGTCACAAGGTATAGTTGTTCGCTGAGTCAATGACAAGAGATAAGATGGCATACTTGGGTACTTCACTGGGTATATTTTCTGTAAGTAGTCATTCACTTCCCAGAACATCATGTGTGCCGATATTTTGACCCGTTCACAGCCATATTTGGAGCAATAACTGTGACCTTTCCGAATGTGCTTTGCTTGAAGAATAATAAAGAGGAGTCTGACAGGAACAAAAATTGTGTGAACTGAGTGAATTTATATCTCACAAGTGCAGAATATGAACTATCAATTCCCAGTCAGTTCTGTACAATATTACACTCAATCTTTTATGTTTTATTGGGGTGGGGGCGGGGGAGAGAATAAAGAGTACAACAAGAAAATGATCACATTTCTCATTTCATTGCTTTCGTTCAAACTATCTCGTACTTCTACAGGTAGAAAAGGCACTTTGCAAGCTAATATAATAGAGTTTGATACGTATAAGCAAGATATCAATTTGGTTTTAAATGCAAGATTTTTTCTGCAGTTAATAATATTAGAACTAAAGCAAATTGCATGGTATTATTGGGAAATTATTTTAAGCAGTAAGCAGAAACTCAGATGTGTTAATATTTGAATACAACATCTAGATCTGACTTCTTTTATTCAAATGTGCTCTGGGACATGAACTGAAGCCAAACCACATTAGAAATGAAACGCGGTCTAACTTCAAGACAAATTAAAAAGCTTCTCTTTGGGAATACTATAATAAAGAATGGATTGCATTTCTGAAAACGCTCTGCAACTATGAAACTTTAGGGTTGAGGGTCTTACAGGATTGACTGAAATTTATACCAGACATAATGACATAATCTTGTCGAAATATTTAATATTTAATGAAAATGAAATCACAATTGAAAACAGATGAAGAGAGACCAGTTCGTGATCAATCAAGTTCATATCTTATCCTTATGGCTTTGAGAAGGTGTTTACCTTGTGGTGTAAACATAATAACTGACGAAGAGCCTTTGCTACTTATATTCAACTTGTTACTTATCGGTTATCCATGAGATATAAATCAGATCCATGGATCTTTATGTGAATGGATCTAATATTCCAAAAATTGCGCACATTGTAAATAAAATAGTTTTTTCCCCCCATCAGATTTATCGTTTAAGTTTACTCTGTTGACATAACATGCTGAGGTAAAATTAAACATTTGTATAGGTGACTTCAACAAAATGATTTGTAAAACAGTCACACGTATCCACAAGTACTGATGGTGATGAAGTCACGATGTTTGTTGGTTAAATTGTTACAAGAGGTGATTGTAATGAAAAACTCAAAAAAAAGTAACACCAGATTATATTGCACTGCCCAGGTTAATGCGCCCTGGCACGCGAAAGAATATTGGTAGTTCATTAGGTTCAGTACTTGCCAAGCTGCTCAATTATTTCAAACATACAATACAGTTAACATCATTAATTTATTCCAGGCTGCTTCAATATGTTTAAAAGGAGAACTGGAAGTCATTCAGCTTGAACTGAATGTAATGATTTTGCATGGTTTACCTCTCCCCATATATAAACCCTTGAATGGGGCATGTTAAGAGTTTCACTTGTAATCCATTGACAGAACAAAAGATGGACTTTTATTTATTCCGAAATGGGCATGGCAAATATTTGAGCAAACAAAAATACATCAACACAAGTTTCCTTATATAAAAGAAAAGCTACAATCCAAAAAAAGGCCTAATATTCTGAAGGGCAAACTATTATTAAAAGATATTAATTGGCATATCTTCGAATAAGAGGAATCCTTATTAGAGATGAAAATAGCTTTCAACTACTCTGAAATTGGGAGCAACAGTTGGTTGACAATTTCCATGTACAACTTCTGCTATCTATGCTATTTACATAATAAAAGAAAATGCCTATTTTTCCATCTGGAAAAGTATATGTACTTTTACTCATCTTTCTAACGATCTGCTTGTTAGTGTGCATTGAAAATGCCACAATTGTATATATCAAAATGGTAGCTAGCAATGGAAAGGCCATTTGTTAGCTGATACTTCAACAAATAAACCATGTGCACTAGGAGTTTCAGTTCTGATTATGGCAGCTAGCCTCATGGAGTTTGCACTTTAATGTACTGTAACAACCAATATGGATTCCCTCTTGCCAGCAGGCTATTAAAGGCATGACTTCTGCAGACCATGTACAATCCACCCTCTTGTGGACTCTACCCCAATATACAGAGGAAACAATCCGACAACTAATCCTCAAAACATTCAAACAATTAGCAATTGACACCTTCCTTTTAAAAATAGCAGACAAACAGTACCTACCCCATATCACTGTCAAAGTAATACAAACTCTTGTCTGGGTTTTTCTGTAAAGTGCTGAATGAAGATGCTGCCTTATATCGTTCCACACTGTGTACTCTTCCAGTCTGTCGCTCGTTTATATCAGACATGATTTTAAAAACTGTTCCTCTAGGATAGCAGAGACCAACTTGGATCCAGTCCCCTCTGTAAGACAATAGGTTTATTAGAACATATTGCAAAGCCCTTCAAAGAAAAAAAAATCTGCTTGATGAATTAAAACATTTATAACGTTTTTTTTTGTCTGCCGGGCATCTGACACATGAAGAAATTCATTGTCATTCTTAATCAACGGTCGGCAGTCAGCCTTTCAGCTCCCACTCTGTGTATCTCCATTCTGAAGCCCTTTCACCTTGTCCTTTCCCTCGTCTCTTTCAAGATCCATCTGAAATCCTTCTTTTAACGCGCCTTCAGTCAAGACCCCTCTTACCTTTGTTCCCCCCACCCACCTCGCCCGGCAGAGACCCCATTTACCTTCCCCTCTCAAGGAGACGCTGCTTAAATCTGCCCCATCCCTTCCTCCCGAAGGAGAATAGTCGCTAGTTGGTCATTTGACACCCTACAAGTGCAGGTTTGAGGCAACTGTTCACTAAAGCAGTGTAGCAAACAGTGTCAAACATGAAAGTTTGATAGCTTGCAGAGATGCTATTCCACAAATGTTGATAACCAACACAAAGCACAAGGGGAGAGAGTTCCCAGATAGTTCTGTTTTTCAGATGATTTGTTGCCATAGTACGAGAAGTGGCCATTTGAAATTAATTATTAATAGTCTGTGGCAGCTTACAACATTTCCACTGTTCCATTGGTTTAGTGAAAGTGCATTGACGTTATATTTAAAGCACAGTTTACATTCCAATTAATTTCAAATCAACCATGTATCAATTCACATGGCTCTGCATAAAAATCTGATTCAGTGCTTTGGTCGAGTACTATGAGGCCATTTGGAAAACCAGACAGAAATTGAAATGCCCACAAATTTGTCATTTAGCAATCCAACTCAAACTTAACAAGGCATATTGAAACTATATAAACTATAAATTGCACTCAATTAATAAGTGCACTAGAAAGGTTTCCTTGTATACAGTACGATTTAACGATTAGAACTTGAGTTGTGGCTAGGAACAATTAAAGAGCAGTTTAATCTCTAGAGAAATTGGAAAAACACTAGCTTAATCTGACAAATGCAGAAAGTAATAAATCAANTTTTTTGCAGTATGGTTTTATCCCATGGGATACGCTTAATGTTTTTGTAATTTCCCATGAATGCATTAACAATGAAAAGAATTTCAATAATGTAGCATAGTTGACTCAGTGCAACCACTCCTGGGATCAAATCATGTCAACAACGGGCAAAACACTGTATGTCAAGACAGTCTGAAGGATAATTCGGCTTCAGATAAATTTGGACAACGGAGATCATGCCCGCACCTCAGCATATATTCTCAATCATGCTTTTACTATTTTATACATTTACAAGAACAAATGAAAGCAAGGACAAAGAAAAGACCATTTGGCTCATCAGCCATGCTCCCTCAATCACAAGACAACACCAATCTTATCGGGAACTTCAATTGTCCATTTAATCTCAAGGGAAAGTCCCGAATAAAAACTGCCCAATCCTAAAGACAAATCAACCAAAACTTGATCTTTCGCCTGCCCACATGTCTTCTGATCACTGCTGAGTTAGAACCCCTTCACACACATTCCTAGTCCTACCTCCAGAGCATGAGATCATCTTCACTCACACCCATCACTGGAAGTTAGATCCCAGAGATGACACGTGTGCACAGCACATTCAGGATGTGTTCTGCACATGCACAGGTCTTGATGTCATCGTGCAAGTGTGGCAATGACAGGCAACTTATGCCAATTCATGCAAAGTCATTAAATAATTATTTTGTGATCTCTACCACCCATATAACAGTAACAGAGGGCGAGAAATGCACCCGAATATTCAGCCAAATATAATTTTCTTTCCCTATCATTAAAGGGCATTAAAGATCCCCAAATCAATCTCTAATGATGCTTTACATTTGTGTGGAAGTATGATGGCAATGAATACTGCTTAATAACATGAAGGCTTTTGCCCAAGCATGAAACATCATTGGGTTGGAGGTTTTTGGAATTGGGAAAACTGACCATTTTACATTACACGTTGTTTCCTGTAATGGAACTTGTATCAAGAAGCAAACCCATAATGGCTTGAGTCAAATATTCTTCTCTCGTCTACATAAAGTATGTATCCCTGAGTCCAGAGACATCAAGTTAAAGGGCACATGGGGAGCAACTGTGTGCTCACTTTGTGTTTGCCAGAGCTCTAAAAGTGCACTTAAAACTTCCCACTTTCTAGTAAAATTGTAGCCTGGTGAGTATCACAGCCGAGTTCAATAGAAGCCTTTCTTTCAGACTTGTCCGAATTAGTAAGCACTGACACAAACTGCAAAAAACTAATTTTGCGTCAATGACAAAGTCCAACTCGACATCTTGAGATTAGCATTGACAACGGCACTCCACACCTCATAAGAAATCTCGACGGACTCTGCAAAGGCACATGAAACATTAACTATTCTTGCAGGTTTTGGTCAACAAGCAACAAATGTTAACTTCCCAGCAAGGTATGTGGCTGTCTCGCATTGATACATTTGCTTAAATGAGATACTAAAATAATGTAAATATAAAAAAGTAGCCAAAGTATGACATGTCTTTTCTGGAGACATGTTCAAGATAATCCTTGAGGTTCCAACTTTCCAATATATTTGGCGAAACATTTTGGATAAAGTCGCATTCCTCGATATTTCTGAACTTTATTAAAATTGGTAAAACACGTGAAAAATTAATGTGAAATCAAATTTAGGTTTCAATTTCCAGTTAGGCTACTAACACCAGCTGACTGAACATAGCGTTGTAACACCAAAGTTCCTTGGAGGCCAGTAGAATCCTAGTTAATAATCTTTATAAACATTTTCTGCAGTTTCGGGTCTACATTATCCACACTTTTGCTTTTGTTTTAGATGTCTTGTAATAAATAAATAAATCTCTTGCAGCAAAGGCCACAAGTCCATCAAGATTTCTTTCTAGTTCATCACGCCCCTCACAATAATAAAAACAGGGAAAATAAGTCTAATGGGGAAAATAAGACTAGAAGTTATGCTGTTTTGATGAAATGTTCCAGCCAGTCAAATATCTATTATCAACCTTTCCTGAAAAACACTCTACATAAATACTGAATAAACTTGACAAAGTAACAAAACAGGCCTGCCTGCCAGTTTTAAAAAAAAACCACAATTATTGACTTTCATACAATTGTATGGTTAGATATGAACTGATTTTTTGCAAGGACTGGACAAAGTGGTCTCGAGTGGTTGGCTTGCGAGATACCTCCACATATGCACTTGTTTTTGAAAATCTGAAACACAAATCAACTTAATTAGGAAAGGAAAAATGCTGTTATTTGTGATACTATGGCCAAATTTCTTGATTTGCTTTTTTAAAAATGCATCAGTTAAGGTGCAGTAGTTATATGTTTAAAATCTTTAAAACTGAATGTAATCAACTTGGCTGAACACATTACAGTTCAGATATTTCTGGTGACTATATTTTGCCCATCGCAACCCATTTTCATTGTAATTTGGGGTTGTTAAATATTGGACCATAAGTTTTGCTTAAGATTTGGGAAGTAAATTCCCTTAAGATCTTTTGAGCAATGTTGGGAGGCAAAAATACATAGTATTCAAAAGCAAGTCAAGCTTATTAATTGCTGAAGTTTTTTCTTATTAAAAAAAGAAACTATCAAATGTCTTCTGAAAATCCAAGTAGATTTTGAGAAGGGTAGTTTCTCCTGTTGCCCTGGTCAACAATCACAAATTGGTCATTCACTTCATTACTATTTGTGGGACACCGTTATGCACAAATAATCTTGAATCTTGCAGCAAGAATAGCCATTCGAACTTTCAACTCTGTGCTTGAGACTTAATCCAATGTCCTCCTTGTGGCTTCGTGGTTGGCTGAGCATTGAGAGCATTCTGTATAATGATATCTGACATATTTCCTCATCAGACTAACTAGTCTTCAATTTCCAGGCACTATGACTCATTTACTTAAAAAACATTTTTGTGTTTTTTTTTCCTCCAGTCTCCAGTGTGTAGACCTTAGAACTTAAGCTTAGTTAAGGGTAGGAAAAGGCAAATCAGCCCAACAAAATTGTTCTGTTTGATACTTCTCAATGTCAGCTTCATGCCTTCTCAACACATCGCTCAATCCTTTCTCTTTCCAGAAACAAATCCATTAGGGATTTTGTATAGCCTGCTTCAATGACCTTCTTTGGCAACTTATTCCATATAATATGACTGTTCTATTTAACACGTACTCGCTCCACCGAAACTATTACCCAGAACCGTGCCTATTTTCTCTCTTTGTTTTCTTTCAGATGTAAAGATGAAAACCCCATCTGGCTGAGGTGTCTCACAGGCTTTTTAATTCTAGGATTTCTTTCTTCATTGCAAATGATTTGCTGAGGTCTAACTTGCAAATAGTCATAAATGAGGCAAATCGTTTAAAACACTACATTTCTGTACTGATGAAATAATCGCATCAATGTAATACTGTGTGAATGGTTTCCTTTCACTGCCTTAGGTCCATCCATGCAACACACAGTAATGAATATGACCTAGGTTAACCTACAGAATGGTGCAAGTTGACTTAAATTTAGGTTTACCCATTCCCAAAGCCATGCGAAATTGTGGAGAACCCATGAGCTAAAATTCCGGTTGGTATTAAGCACAGCACATTTGGGCATGTTGGTTGCTAATGACATTTCCCCATTATGAATCGCACATCACCAAAGGCGCTACACATTAATGATGACTAGAATTCGGCCCACAAGTATCTAATTATTCCATTAGGCAGCATTTCTATGACAATGCACCAAGACACTACATCCTTGCAAATACTTTGAGTCATCTTCCCAAAGTGAAAGGCGCTATATGATGCCACCTCCTAAAGTTTATGCACCAACGATGTGACTTTTGTTATATCTTTGACAATGCAAATCAGACATTTAAAATGTGGTCAAAATTCCTTCCGAACCGCTTAAACTTCCTTAACAGGCACCTTTTGTGCCCATCTGCTGGGAAAATTAGATAATAATTTGGATGAGATAATTCAGATCAGACTAGACCAGAGATTGGATACAAAATACATCTTCAGTTGGGAAAGTCCATCCATTTAAGAATTGTAGTCGTGCAGACCAAGGAATGATAGGGAAAATGAACTGTATCCTCGTTGTGTAACGGTGAAGCATAATAATAATAATAATAATCCTTGCATTTGATATAGCGTTTTCACGTCGGAGACGTCCAAGCGCTTCACAGAACACACTGTAAGTGAATTGACTGTATATTTGTGGCGAACGCGGCAGCAATTGCGCACAGCAATGTCCACAAACAGTCGTAGATTGAAAATGACCATTTAATTATTGTTTTGGTTTTTTGGAGGATTATTATTAGGCGTGTGATAAGGAACCTGCCAAGGTTTCGCCTGCTGGAATTGAACTCAGGTCTCTCACTTGCAAAGCGAGTGTCTAACCACTGAGTACAGATCACATAGATTCCAATAGTTCTGGGCTACATTTGTGCTATAACATAGCATAGAGAGAGAGACATCAAGCATAGTATAATACTTGGCAGATGTGTAGTATTTTGTGAGCTATGCACTTAAGTTTACTAAAAAAAACACAGAAGCTACTTCTCTGTGCAAGTAATTTTTCGGTTGTTGTGACAGGTACTGGGCTTCCTCTCCTCTCCTAAAGAAGCTAAAATACGGCCAATTGTCTAGTTTGGATGGCTCCACTGTAATTTGCACACTAATTATACATATGAAATATCCCAATTGTGTCTGCTGTTTTTCCTTACAGTTATTATTTCACCTTCTGCTGAAACAGAAGCAACAAGACAGACAGCACCTTTAGCAAAGTTGTATTCTGTCATCAAAAACATATCATTTTTCATTTGACTTGTTTTTTCCATTACAATTCTAAATTCTAAAGTTGAAATTTTAGATGCATTATTGCTGCACACTGACATCTGTAACCCATCTGAATGTTGCATTCGCCCTGACAGATTGTTGAATAAAAAGCATATGGTTGCTTATCAAACATCTGTAATGCTATACTTTAAAATAGATCACTGAATATTTGTAAAATCAACAAAATTAAAATTATTAAAAGTTAATCATGACGTTTTAAATTGGTAAAAAACATTCACGTTGCCTTATAAGAATTTATCTTCATATCCAAGAATGACAGAAAAAAATAATGCTAATGAACTTGACTACATAATTTTGCCAAGATAATATTGTGTTATTGAATCAGGAGTGGAGACTTCAGCTAAGAAACAAACAAAAAAATCACCAATAGTCATGTGTTTGAACTCTTTTGCTCTGGTTGTCAAAGTTTTGCACAGAGCAACAAGTTTATTTTACTTTCAGTAAGTTTCAATGTTATAACTTTTTTTGGTAACACCTGAATGATTCACTGCTGAACGAGTATGCTAATCCTAATCTGTGTGAAAACCCTTGACAGACCCCAAGTATTCAAAGCCATGACACCATTGTTCATTTTTGTTTCTTAGCTTAAGTGTCCAGTGTGCTTTTGAATAGTAAACCTAATTTCAAAATTTATATTATATATATATATATATAGGTCACTTTCAATTTCAAATTTAACTCTCCTTGAATACTGTCTGGCTCATCACAAAAATGAGATTTGAGCACACAAGTTAACTTGCCAGTGATTTGAAAAAATTTTAAGCAATATTTAGTCCTGCTGGAATCTACACCTGGCTTCAAATTACATACCATAAATGGAGTGAAAAGAAATTTGCAAGTATAAAGGAAACAAGAATGCCTCCAAACCCTACTTTTCAGTATTTATGGTGCTAAAATCAGCACAAGAGCAGTAATTTAAGATTTTGTCACTTCTTTTATCTCCCAGGTATTCTCCATAAATATAGGAAGGACAACACACATAAACTGTGGTTATAAATGACAGCAAGAGTGTGATTTATGAATGTCCAAACCCTATTCCGTGAAAGAGACACTATTACATTAATGTTGTGTCAGTCTGGCACAGTTGGTAGTGCTCTTTGCCTCTGAATCAGAAGATTTTGGGTTGAAGCCCTACTGCAGGCCTTTGAACTCACATAGTTTAGGCTTCATTACAGTAATGGGGCCACATTTTGCCAATTCAGGTAGCTTTGAATTGCATTATTCGAAAAGAAAAGAGTTTCTCCCAATGTCCTTTCCAACAATCCCCCAGATAAAATTGGTCACTCATTTCATGGCTGTTGTGGGACAATGGCACAAATGCTCTGCCGTGTTCTCCTACAAAACACTTCACTACACCGTACATTAAATTCATGTCTCAAAGCCCTGTGAAGTGCTTTGAGCCATGGAAGGCATTATATCAAAATCAAGAATTATGAATTTTATTAGATACACTTACTTAAAAATACATCCAAAACATCAAAACCCAAAATAGTCTATGCATTCTTCTGAACATTTACATACAAATGAAAACTTGACTGTTATCAGCAATGACTTTCTACAGGTTACCAAGCTAAAGCTAACGATGTTTACTGAAATTGTGAACAATGTTGAAGTCTAGTTATTGGGAAGAGTTCTTTTCCAAAGAAAAGTAAAAAGCAATGCTTTAAAGAAACACAGCTGCTTTTAGTCAAAACAACTATCTTTCTCTGCATCCTTCAATTTGTCATGACTTATGGCTCACAATCCATCCCTTACTGCATCCCCCCACGAGAGTTCCTGTCTAAACAAGTGCAGCTTACCATTGCTGACTGTTTCTTTTCTTCTCAAGCTGTCTGATGACAGTAAATCACACTTAAATTTCAGGGGAATTAAATACATTTCATATATCCACAGTCATTATTTAGCATTAAATTATAAAAGAAAATCTGTTTTATTTTTGTGAATATTAAATCTTCCTTGAAAGAGAACAGTGGGTTTGGAGACGTAGTAGGCTAGAACTATCTTTGCTACACTTGAGGCTTTTGGAATGAAAATTGTTTCTCTTGTTGTCAGATAATATTATAAAATACTAGATTGTAACCTGAGTGTATCACATTAAAAAATTGAGAGAGATTATTCCAGTGGTAATCTTAGCCTCAAAACAAGCTGTGTAGCCTGTTAATTTGAGCCTGTTTATTTGAGAAACAAAGTTAAAGAAACCTACACATTCCATACAACACAAAATTACATTTGTATCGCGCCTTTCACATTGGGAGGACATTCCAAGATGCTTGACAGTCAGGGATTTGGACATAAAAGTAAAAGAAAATACTGGGCACAATAGTTTAGAAAATGATCATTTGACTGTTCATGCCTGGAGTTGAATCCAATTTTAGCAAAGTGGGAGCATGTCTTAGGGGTTGGCTGAATTCAGTATTAATCAGGCAACTTAAATGGCTGATGCTCTAAATTACATCATTGTCTGAAAGACACACTGTACTGTACCCTAAGAAACTAAAATTAATCCACATTCTCCCAATTTAGTAGGGAAATTTTATGGCACTCTTTTACTTGCTCCATTTTTTCTTAATTCTATTCACCAATTTATATCTTTCAACATAGAACCTCTAAAACCTACATTTAAATCTGTCACCACTAATGTTTCAGCTAAGAACATATTCCCGATTGCTGCAAACTGGCATAAGTATATGCTGCTATTTCAGGTACACTTAAATATTTGGAGTCCTGTAGCTCAGTTGCAAGCGAGAGACCTGAGTTCAATTCCAGGCAGAGGGCGAAACCTTGGGCAACTTTCCTTACTCCACACAGAGCCTAATAATAATCCCTCCAAAACCAAAAACAATAATAAATTGGTCATTTTCAATCTATGACTGTTTGTGGGACATTGCTGTGCGCAATTGGCTGCCGCGTTCGCCCACAAATTTACAGTCAATTCACTTTACAGTGTGTTCTGTGAAGCGCTTTGGGACGTCCTCCAGACGTGAAAAGCGCTATATCAAATGCAAGGATTATTATTATTATTATTATTATTATAAACAAGTTCTTCAATTCTCTGAGAAAATACCGTCTATTAAAAGTGATGCCTAAATGTCATTGCCCATCTAGAATTATTGTAATCAACAATAATATACATTTACATATCTCCTTTTGTATCAGGAAAACATTTCAAAGCGTTTTACACAGCTGACTGGAAGCCCAAGCCAAGAGGGGAAAAAAAGAGCTAAATAATCATTACAAAATACATTTATGATTATTATAAGCGGCAATTTTCTGAGACGTAAAGAAGAAAACGTGACTCGAGCATAATACAGCTGGAGGTTTGGATGCATGGTGAACGATAGTGACACGAACAAACAAATCGCAAGCCCTATATAAAGGTACCTGTTAAAATTGATTGGGTAGAGGACGATTTCCTTCGGCGCTCTGCCATTCCAACACAGAGTGTAGGCCTGTTGCAGCATCACCACAGCCTGATACTGTTGATACGGTGCTTTACGATTCACACCTTGCAGCGTCAGAACATGGTTGGGATATGGATCCCTTGTAATCTGAAGAGAGAGGTTCTCTGGGTGCCTTGCCTGCACGTAGAGCTAAGTAGAGAAAAGTGACAGTGATAAGTTACTGATGAGGGAATGTGCTGCTTGATGCTTCTGGAGACATTGGGATTTTACAAACTTCCAGCTCAAAGCTGCGAGCTTCAACATAATTCTAAAATAAGACGTTTTTACAATCCATCACTTTCCTAAATAACTTAGCACTTTGCATACATTGTTACACAAAAATAGTCAAATTGTATTAAAAAATACTGCTCAAATTTAAAAGGTAAAATTCTTCAAATGTGTTGTAAATCCACGGCCTCACTCCGCCAACCCCCACTCCACCTCTGCAACCCAGCCACTCCCTTCACTCAACAAACACTTGTCTACTACATTCCTCCTCCCTATTTGGCCCACCATCAGTGGACAGGGCTTCAGCCATTCTGCCCACGCTCTTTGGAACTCCATCTCAGAGCCACCTCCACCTTCCCCACTTTCAAGGCCAGCCTCAAGACTTACCCCACTGACTGCCCTTTCGGTCATCTTCCCCCACTCCCCAACCCCAATCTTCTTTAACTCTACTGAGCCCAACCTGGGCTTGAGTGTCCAGCCAGCTAAAGAATTTTGAGACGTCGTCCTGACTTGAAAGGCACTATATGATTGCAAATTGTATTGTATGAGATGTACTGACAGAAGTGCCTACACACTAACCTTTTAATATTTATCTTATTGATAAATATACTAAGTATGTTTCAAGACTTTTGAGATCAACAGATGCAGCTAGTTAATTTTTGATACACGTTTGTGCATTAAATATGGTGCAAGAATTACATTCAGAGGATTACTCAAAATATTCTGCTGCAAATGTTGCACTGCCAAAACTATTCCAATGATGATGTTTCAGCACATTTATTAATCTGGTAGTTTTTGGTAACCCCATTGTTTTTCATTTAATCTTTGGCCTGCTGAACAAACACAAACTCCACACCACCAGCCGACACACGCAGAGAGAAGCACTTTTGAAAATTAACACTGGTGCAAGTTTCTATGTAACTTGGTAATTAGTCAAGGATTATTAGCAGATTGCATTCTTTTATTAATCTCTTTAAGCGAACAGTCAGCAGGCATTAATCCATATTAAAGTCACACATTCTTAGAAATGTACTTTGGAGATCAAAACCGGTAAGTCCTTATAAAAAGCTACGGAAATATCGAATTCCATCCAATTAGACGAGAGGTTTGGTTGGAATATTTATTTTAGCCATATTAATTTAGGTCCAAAATGTATTGCTAGCTAATATTGAGTAGTACTGAACAGCATTTTATAAGAATGATTATAAATTTATGTCTTTTAATTAATGATTTTCAAAAAATTAACCCTAAGTTTTTATTGAGAAAAAAAAACCATTGTCTCTGCAAGAGTATTAAATTGGTCGTTCATTTACCTTGTGGCTGTTTGTGGGACATTACTGCATGCAAATTGGCTGCTGTGTTTACCCACAACACACACATTCACTCCATTTTACAATTCATCCTGTGAGGAGCTTTGAGAAATCCTCTTGATGTTAAAGGTGTTATACCAAATGTGATGTTTATTATTATTAATTATTAATATATCAAAACACAATAGTCATCAATTATGAATGACTATTGTATCTTAACATTACATTCACAGTTTTGCAACAAACATCAGCATTCCAGATTCTGAAGATGTGCGGAGATGAAGCACTTAAGAAAAACAAAGTGTTTACACTCTCTGGCACTCTCTTTTTCCATTAATTTGGTTCATGCTATTTTAAGACCTTTGGATCTACTTGTACACTTTGTGCCTCTTTTCAGATTCTGCCGATTAACGATCATCCTCTTTGTTCAGGGCTATTAAATAGACCTGCCCTAAGACCCATCTGGTCAGTACCAGCTTGAATAAGTGAACAATCTGTTAAAATTAAACTGAAACAAGAGTTAAAAACTGAAAAATCAACATCGAGCTTTGCATGACTGAAATAAACAGCTCTCGCAAAAAAACAAGTTGTGTTTTATTAGTTCAGACACTAAGAGTGTAATTTCTGAATTTTCTAAGAATTTTGTTTGTTAGGTCACACATTCTTCTTTTCCCAAGCCTTTTCTCGGTAAGACAACATGGCTACTAGCCAATAACAATTTAGAAAAGCTAAAGTGGCTTAACAAATATTTTTCCATCCATTTCGGGGGAATACATCAAAAGCAATTTTGGTTAATATCTCAGAAAGCTAGAGTATCTATTGCGGGTCAGGGACACAGAGGATTTGGAGAATATTCTGAGCTGGTTACAGTGCACATCCCTCAAAATTACATTCTTTTAGAAAGGGGATTTGGCAGATGTGCTTGTGTTTTTTTCCATTGGAAAGAAGAAATACATGTTCAGAAAGAGATACTCACCCACCAGAACACAATAATTACTTGAGAGGACAAACAAGGATACTTGGCAATGCTCAAATCTAGCAGAGGAGCATGGCGGTGGTAAACTAACTGGGTGGGGGGGGTACATGGAAGAGCAAAGGAAATTGTGGCAATTTGCAGATGAGAACTAGAAAATACAAAGCAGTCAAAATGTTAACATGGAATTTATGAACAGCTTGTAAAAATGTAAACAGAAATGGCTCACGTTTAAGAGCTAACATGGAGAAGATTTGTAGCCATAGATTTGCACTTGTACTGAATGTTGCAAACAATAACAACTTGGATTTATATAGCACCCTCCACGCCGGACGGGATCTCAGAGCGCTTCACAGTAATGGATCCCGGGGGCCGAGCCAAGGGGAGGGGTGACAAGGCCTGGACCAGGGTTTCAGCTGCGTTCGGAGAGAGGTACTGGTGGAGATGGGCGATGCGTCGGAAGTGGAAGAAAGCGGTGCTGGTGAGGGACCGGATGTGGGGGAGGAAGGATAATTGGGGGTCAAACCTGACGCCTAGGTTGCGTATGGGTTTGGAGAGTTTTAGAGGGCCAAGGATGGATCCCTGGGGTACCCCGGTAGGTAACCTGGTGAGAGCGGGAGGAGAAGCCGTTTGTGCAGATGTACTGCTGGCAGTTTGTGAGGTATGAGTCGAACCAGGCGAGTGCGGTCCCACTGAGGTGGATGACGGAGTTAAGGTGGTGGAGGAGGATGGCATGATCGATTGTGTCGAATGCAGCAGAGAGGTCCAGGAGTACAAGGAGGCAGAGGGAGCCCTGGTCATAGATAGACAGGATGTCGTTTGTGACTTTCACAAGTGCAGTCTCTGTACTGTGGGCAGGGCGGAAACCGGACGGGATAGGTCCGAAGAGGGAGTGGCAGGAGAGGTTTGCGCAAAGTTGATTGGCAACAACGTGCTCTAGGACTTTTGCGAGGAACGGCAGGTTAGAAATAGGGCGGTGGTGGCTGGGGTTTGAGGGATCTAGGGAAGGTTTTTTTGAGGAGGGGGTGATGACAGCAGTTTTGAGGGGGGCAGGGACTGATTGATGACGTCAGCCAGTAGTGGGCAGAGGAGGGGGAGCTGGGTGACCAGCAAGTTGGTGGGGAAGGGTTCGAGGCAGCAGGTGGTGGGTTTCATTGATGTGATGGTGGGTGAAAGGGAGAGATGGGGAGGAAGGAATGTAGGATGGGGGTCGTGGTCGGAGCAGGTGTTGGGGAGGGTGAAGGGGACAGAGAGGGCGTGTGGTGGGTGACAAGAGGCAGGTGGCTGAGGCTGCCTGGCGGATCTTGTGTATTTTAGATGAAAAGAAGTCCATGACCTCCTCGCACTTGGCATCGGATATGAAGATTAAGGAGGCCTGAGGGGGCGCATGGAGGAGGTAGTGGGTGATGGAAAAAAGGATTTTATGGTTGTTTTTAGCCTCCAAGATGATATTGAAGTAAAAGGCCATTTTTGCGCGTGTCAAGGAACAACAGTAGCTGTGGAGATGCTCGAGCCACAGTTGGCGGTGAACTGTCAGGCCAGTTTTCCCATGATCTACGTTTGAGCAGTTGGGTTTGGGTTTTTAGGCGGTGGAGATGGTTGTTGTACCAGGGAGATCGGGTGGGTTTGGAGATGGTCCTGGATTTCAGGAGGATAAGGGAGTTGAAGGTGGAGGAGAGGCGATCATGGAGCAGCTGGACGGCTGCTTCAGGATCTCCGGGGGTGGAAGGCCGGAGGGATAGGATATTTGATGATGTGAGGGCCTTTGTGAGGGTCTCAGGGAGTAGCCTTTTCCAAGGGCGGTAGAGAATGGTGGAGGAGAGAGGGATGTGAGAGGAGAAGGAGATGAGAAAGTGGTCCGAGATGGCCTTGTCAACTATACTAAGGTTGGAAATGTCAAGGCCGTGGGTGATGACAAGGTCAAGGGCATGACCACGGTTGTGGGTAGCTGAATTTATGTGAAGGGTGAGGTTTAGGGAGGAGGGGAGGGCAGTGAAGTCGGCAGAAGTGGTGCAAGGGGAGTTTAGGTGGAGGTTGAAATAGCCCATTATGAGTATGGAACACTGACAAATGGAAAATGAATTCAAAGTGTAGGGTAACATATCAGATTGACCTATTTATGAAGTTGGTGAAAAACCAAAAGACGGCTGTATACAGAAGTCACAAGTCCGCCAGAAAGCTAAGCACATAAGAGAGTGAAAATGCAATGTCGCATAACAGATTCAAAGTGATAATCAGGTCTATCATGAAACATCACATTTTTCAATCTATCCCTATAGAATTGATCCCCCCAGCATAATGGTTCTATCTATTTTAATGAACTAGAATATGAACTAGAAAATGTTCCACTATTCTACCCTATCTGAAGCCCCTTTTCAAAATTGTTTATTCACCCTTTTGAATGCCGTTCGCGCACTCAATTTGCCTTTCAACCCCTGGAACCAGGGTTTCATTGCTGCTTCAAAGGATACTTGATTGCATTGAGTTGCTATCCAATTTGTAGCTGCACTAATATTGATTTTTCATCAATTGGAGCAAAACAGAGCACGGAAATCATTGGGCCTCAACCTTTATGTTGAGGGCAGGGCTCAAACCTGTTTAAAAACTCAATCTATAAAAATCAAAAAGGATTTTTAAAATTGAAATGAATTTCAATCCTTCAATACTTTGTCACATTAATCCTTTTACTAACGTTGTTCATTGGAGTTTAAATATTGTGCAAAACAAAACGCTAGTATCCACAGAAAAATAGATCAATAAAGTTACCATTATGCAATCTGGATCCCCAAAAGTTATACAATATTAGTAAGCTATACCTGTGCATATTTTCCACCACATATGACTCCGTTCCATCTTGGCACACTAAGGCAGCCTGGATGACGAATCAGATAGTTGTCAGCTCTGGCTACAAATGTGTCTGGAAATCCAGTTACTGAACCATCCAAGTCGTGGAAAATAGAAGCTTTGTCCCCATCAAGGTCAATAGCTCCAAACCACTGGCCTGCTTTGCCAAAGAATACTTTAAGGTCCACCTACAAACAAGGAAGACAAATGAGGTACTGGAAGGGAACGCTCCAAAAGGAGGCCATCTGCTTTTTGATTCATGTAGGAGTAGAAATCCAGGACAAAATAATGTATGAAGCAATGTAACAGGCTATGTTTGCACATTTTATAGATTAACACCATTGTAATTAAAAGTACAATACATCTAAACACTCCACTATTTACCTTTGAAAACTACAGGCCTTGGAATAAGAACTGGAAAATGTTCCAGAATTTTAAGTCAATAATTTGTCTTTATAGTCAAAATATGTAATTAAATTTTCATTGTAAAAAAGCCAGACGTTTCCAATTCAATTTTTCAAAGTCCACTGATCTTGACTGCAGTGATTTTTTAAATTTCTTTTCCAAAATATGCAGGTATTATTTGTTATGCAGATGCCTACAGTGCTTGAATTTGTTAAACCTAATTGGTTTAATTGGTTATGTGTTAAATGCTGCCAAATAAGCATTCTTCTATCTAAAAAGTAACCTAGGCCAAATAATTAGGATTTAATGTATTTTGAAATGTTTTGCGATTGTTGGTTTGCTAGAATATTGATTGCCTAACACAGGAGTAGGTCACGTATTTCAGGACTGTGTTTAACAATTTGTTAAACTTTTCGAAAGTCAACCAGAGATTTTGAGTCAAACCCAGAAATATGAGCCATATTGTACTTTTTCCAAAAAAAAAATCTGAGTGATGTTCCTGTCACATTCAACACAAGATTTGGTTGCTCAACTACCTCGTGGGACAAGCATTTTGATATCTTTTGTGAAACTGACCCATGGAAGGTTCAATTCCCTTCGTCTTCGAGGCAACAAACCAAACAGGATCTCCACGCCTAAAAGTTATGCAATGACCCTTGCTGGAAATCACACAGATGAAGACAGGCTCAGTTATGATGTCATGTTCCCAACTCAAATAGCTAGTCAACACTCAAGAAGCCATTTAATGGCCAACCGAGCAGAGTACCAACAGGTGCCCATTGCAAGGTACGCATTGAGAATTATTACATTCAACACGCAAGCCTTTAGGTAAAAAGGAGAACATTGGCCTTCTTCTTCCTGAATGTCAATCTCAACATCTTCCCACTGCAGCAACGAGCTGTGTGTAAAAGAGCCCAGTGTCCTAGCCTCGAGTACTTTTCCTGGTGACCTGTTCCAGCGGTTTATTACTCTCTTGTGCACAGAATACCTCCTGGTGTCTGTCCTAAAATTGACCTGAAACTGGGCCCTCTTGTCCTGCTGCCTTGACATAACTGAACATATTGTTCTGGGGTTGTGTGTTTTTCTTTTTCTAACCCATTCAGTGGTTTCTGCTTGAGCTGCAGATTCCACTTCACGGACGTAATGGAGAGAATTTCACAGCACCGGTAACCTCAGGGTAATCCAGAGCCATGTTTATTTGAAGCAACTCTACAGCATCCCGCAACATAAACAGAACTTGATCAAATTCTAATTTTAAGTCTAAAGAAACTTCAAATAGTGATCAGTCATGATCACTGGCTTCTGGCTACAGACGAGTACACAACAAAGAACAGTTCTGCAACTTACACTCCTCTCCATCATCAGCTGAGACACATTGTTCTGAGGGCTAACTTGCCAGGAGTTCCTCATAAAAAATGCAAGTGCGCTAGAATATCTTTCATGGGTGGATTGGTATTTCTTAAATGTGCATTGCCTTAGTCGGACTGGACCATCATAGATCTGGAACCCCCGAATAGGAAAGGTTCTGCAAAACACAAGAGAGGGGGGGAAAAAAAAAATCAATCGACAGCTAAGCCCACACCGCTTGTTGCTTCTTGCATTATCAAGTCCAAAAAAGAGGTCTCATCCACTCAAGCTCTCATTGTCTACCTGTTTCTGGGAAGTGTTCTGTATTCGCCACGTGCTCCCTTTCCCCAGTATCTGTTCTTTCCTCCATTGAAGCCCACATTACTGCTTTCCCCAACAAAGATTGATTTGCTAACTTCCAAGCTAGATCCCTCATCTGTTGGAAAAGTCCCGTCACTACAGAAACAAAAACACAATTATTCACTCGTCAATTGTGCTTGAATAGCAGTATCAGCCAGAAAGAAAAGAACAAAATTAGTTCTGAATACAAATTTATTAAGGATGATTCTTCGTCTTATAGACTTCAAAATGGTGAACAAGAGAATAGCCATTTTAAAATTAAGACAATTTTGGATGTAAAACATATAACAAATTTTCAAACAATTAAAGCAAAAATACAGAAGATCATTGCTCAGGCCATTTAAACCCTTGGGGACTTTGTTATAAGCAGATAAGCAAAGGCTTAGTAAAATATATACGTGGCCAATAATACCATGTTCTAAATAATTGGTCTCCTGTGCATGGAAAATTGAATTATTTCCACGTATATGAGATAACAATCCCAACCAGAACTACTAAAATATGAGCCAAGTGTCTTTTGTGCCCCTAGCAACTGGCACTATAATTGCTATTCTGTTTGCTGTGTGGTCAATATCACAAACAAAGCACGATCGTGATATCAGAATAAAAAACAGACCCCATACTGTCTCTCATTGCCCGCAAGCAATCGGCTACCATGACAATAAACTGCAACACTTACAAAGCCCCTTATCACTAGAACCACATTAGCTTTACTGCTTATTAAACAAGGCATTCATACAATAAAAACAAATATATATGGACATCGTGGAACTTGCTTGAACTGAGGTGATTAACATAATGGGCCCCAGTACTCCAAATTCTTCCAATTTAAAATGTGCTTAACTTAGAAGTCCAAAGCAAAAAAAACCTTCCAACCACACATCAACCAATGGTACTGTTATGTATCTGTCACGCTACAATTTGCCAAACAATTACCTCACACAAATGATGACCAGCACTAAGCTTTCTGAATCATTAATTCATACCCTTCATGACCGCACAAAATCCTAGGGTATCTAATGGCTGACATTATAAAACTTCTCTTCAATTTTTATTTGATGCACAAAATGATAAAATTAAAGTGCAATGACTCAATTCAGGTGGAAATGTGCCCAACCTGAAATTTAAGGTAGGGCTTGAGAACCGACAAATCTTTGCACATTGTCTATCATTGCCTGGATCTTCAGGCTGAACCCAGAGCCAATACAGGTAGCTGCTTCTCAGAGGATAATAATGCCAACAAAAGCAAAGAATACTTCGATTTGAATGTATTTGTCTAGCATTGTGACTCAGCAAGCAAAAATGTTCTGAGTCTACGGGCAAGGTGACTTTAAGGGAGACTTTGACACTTTGTGGGTATTTTGGAACTAGTGTGGAACCTCTGTGAGGGATCCTGAGAATGGATAAGAATGTCACTAATCCTGCAACTGTTTTTTACAGGACATACTGTAAGGCAATGTACAAAAAGGAACAAGTGTGGTAAAGGTAGGTGCTCTTCAGAGATTAGTCTTTTAGCGATGTGAGTTCAATGTGAGGCACTGTATAATACAGCTTCATTTTGATGGCAAGAAATATTTAGAATGATTGAAAAAAAACTAAACAATTTAAATTACACCGACCACATTCGTCTCGCAGATTATTGTAAAATTATTTCTGCCAGTCGAAGCTTTGGCTTGAACTTTAAATATATTTTTAATGATTTGATTTGGGGGATTAGCTGGATAATGACATGGATTACAGTACTTAAAACATTAGAAAAATTATTTCAATAAAGTTACCTTGCTAGAGTCAATCCAATTCCATTGTCTGAGAACCTGTAGAAGCACAAAGGAAGTCACTCTTAAATTCCACAAACAATATGTAATTTACAGCAACTAGTAATCTATTATAATCACCAGTCTGCTATAACTGCGGTAGCAAGTAAAACATAGAGACTACATGATTTGACAGAACATACCCTGAGTTGCTGAATATAATGTCACCCCCTCTAGCCCAGGCACCATGATCATTATTTTTAAAGGCTACAAGACCATCAATATTGGCTGGAACTCGAGGCTTTCTGGGATCAGCATCCTGATGTGGACGAAACCTATGTCAAAGATACAAACCAGATGGTTAGTTCTGTTGCAGTCAAATGGAAGATTTATCTTGGAAACAGACACTGCTGTCAAAGGCATGTAGTTTCAATGACAGCAACAAAAATTACATTTGTAAAGCAGCTTTCACGTCGGGAGGATGTCCCAAGGTGCTGGACAATCAGGATTTCGGACCCGAGCTGAGGGTCAGGATTGGGGAGGGTGGAGGGAAGGGGGGGGAGGGGGTGGAAGGAGGGTGACCGATGGCTCAGTCGAAGAGGAAGGTCTTGAGACAGGTCTTGAAGGAGACAAGTGGGAGGTGTACAAAGTGGAGGAACTGCGGGATGGAGTTCCAGAGGATGGGGGCAGAGTGGCTGAAGGCCCACCCACCAATGGTGGAGCAGGGGACATGACACATCCTGCTGAGCAGAGGGAGCAGGCAGGTTGGTAGGGGCTTAGAATGTTGCAGAGGTAGGGGGAGCAAGGCAATGGAGGGCTTTGAAAGTGAGGACCAGGATCTTGAACTGTATCCTGTGTGTGATGGGAAGCCAGTGGAGTCGGGTAAGGATGGAGGTGATGGGGTCACGGAGCCTGGTGCGGGAGAGGACACGGGCTGCAGAGTTCTGGATGATCTGCAACCTATGGAGGGAGGAGTTGGGGAGGCCGACAAGTAGGGAGTTTGATTAATCGAACCTGGATGCTATGAATGCATGTATGAGGATCTCGGCAGCCTTTGGTGTGAGGCAGTGGTGGAGCCAGACGATGTTGCGGAGGTGGAGGAAGGCAGGCCAGGTCGTGGTACGGATGTGGGGTAGAAAGGACACTTGAGGGTCAAACAAGACGTCAAGATTCCAGTTTCGTCCACTAAGCATTTAATAACATTAGAACACAAACCGCAGCTGGAGCAGACAGCTGAATATTACAATCTTATACACTGATGTACAATTTTCAGTATCTTAAATAATATTGATCCAAATCCCTGATTGTCCTGCGCCTTGGGACAATCTCCCAATGTGAAATGCGCTTTATAAACATAATTCTTTGCTGTTGTTGATAGCAAGTGCTACTCTTTAAAATACAGCTTTCCACCTAGCCCATTAGCCATCCATTTAAAATCCACTTTAAATGCTCCGCTCAATAAGCTATTAGCAAAGGAACAAGGTGTGCTTTCCTGTTTCAGGGACATGGCGCCAGCATCCAGTACTTCCTGGTTAGAGAAACCAGAATGAGATGCAGAGTGAATCTGCTTAAGCTATGGGGGAACCTCAGACGTGTGTGAAATTTTTCATGATCCTGTGGCAGATTGTCAATTTAGTGGGAATCATCAGTAACATTTGTGAATGTAGGACCACACCTTTTTTCTCCAGCATTTGGCAAAGCATTCGTCTTCACCTGTTCAGGAGATGACTCATTCACAAGTCCAGAAGTGTCCCGAATAGAATAAGCTGGTCACTTTAGCGTGCTCATTTAATTGCTAATATTTGCCAGTGAATGCACACATGAGCTTTCCTTAGTGAAAACCTAAGCTGTGGCTATGTGTCCACTGGTGCTCTCCTTTATGAGAGCCACTGGCTATGGAATAGAAGAATGTAACACCTCTGACTATGTAATGCCTTTTGCTGTTATGTTGCAATATTTCAAATGGTATCTTTGAATTACTCTCTGCACCATGCCTTAAAGAAGTTAAGAAGTTTATTATGAACCAAACCCATGTTAAAGATTAATGAAAACGATACCAATGGATTGTGAATTAAAGCGAAGTAATTTGGGATGTTTCAATACAACAAATTATCTTCTACCTTGCAATGTCTACTGTAAGAACCTCTCTGGGATTATCAGCATTGGATTTTGTTGTTTTCACTCCATTCCCAATAAAGAGTCCAGCCTTGAAGATGGCGAGGGGAGGAGGAAAGAGAGGAGAAAGAATAAGCAATTTTTCAAACAAATAATAATAATAATAATAATCCTTGCATTTGATATATCATAATAATCATAAAAAAAACACTCCAGTATTGACATGTCCTCCCAATATTGGCAGGTCAGAAGCTAATTAAACGCCAAGTGAGCAGTAAGAACAGATTTTTTTAAAAATTGACTCATTCTATGCAACAATTTATTGGACACATGTTCCACCTTAGTAAAGTATGAACAAATGCAAAGTTCATTAGCTACTTAATCTGAAATGTTTCCTATATACAGCTTTTTGTTATCTAACTGGAAAGGCAATCTGTCAGAAAAATTTTTTTTACTATCCATTTCTTCCCCACCAAAGTATTGTTAACCCAGACAGAAAATTGATGTCAGTAACAATAAGCATAGCATGGCAAATAACCCTATTAGTTGACCATAGGTGTTTTCACATAAATCGTGCTTTTTTGTGTTATTATCTACAAATTGATGTCCCACTGAGCTCATTTAGAGTAATTTACTGTATTGTTGGTGTTCAGGATTTACTGCTATTGCTTCTGCTTCATTTTCCTCAGCTAAAAGCTGCCCAGCTCACAGCAAGTTTGTTTAACAGATAAATTTCACCTGACAGCAAGTTGGATTTAGTGCCATATAATCTAAATTTGGGTGTGGAAATTGCAAAATACTGCATTTCTTTTATCGAAAAAAAGTGTTGCAAGGCAGCACGGTTGCCACAACCCATGGTTGCATTAATCAACTCAAATAATACAACTGTAATACTCGTGATACAGTTTAAACACATTACAACAACCCCACCCACTCCCGGCCAAATCATTTCCTCATTTCTGCCTTTTTCCCCCCCCTACATTTTAATGACTTGCCCACTCTTTTGCTATCTTTCACCTTGAATTATAGAAAGTTTTCACCTTGAATTACAGAAATTTACAGCACAGAAGGCAGCTATTCAGTGCTTTGTGACAGTGTTGGTCCTTTACAAGAGTAATCCATTCAGTTTCATTTACTTGCTTCCCCTCTGAAAAATTGCCTCATTTTTACTCCTTTTTAGATACTAAAAAGTTGACGCCTCTGCTCGACTGGCACCGGCCTCCTGCTCGTCCCTCACACCCTCCGCTCCACCATCAGAGGTCGCGCATTCAGCCATTACTCCCCCAAACTCTGGAACACTCTCCTTCAATCCCTCCGCCTTGCCCCGCTCTCCCCTGTTTCAAGTCCCGCCAGAAAACTTTCCTCTTCGACCGTGCTTACGGCTACCTCCTCCCTCCCCCCAGCTCGGAGTCAGGCTCCGCCACTGTTAAGCGTTCTGAGACGCTACCCTGCATGGGGGGGCGCTACATAAGTGCAAGTTGTTGTTGTAATCTAGTTCCCTCTTGAAAGCTAATATAGATTCTGTATTGACCCAACCCGTATATCTCCCTTTTTTTCCAGCTCCCACCAACTATTTCAGAAGGAAACTTAGAAATTCCTGTGAGAGCTGAAGTGACAAAAGGTTAAACTGTTAGATTGATAGGTTAATGTGCTAAAACCATCTCAGTCGATTTTCAGCCCTGAATTACTGAGGATAATTGAAATCTCTTCCCCCACTTGTACAAGTAATTTCTACAAATACGTTTGATTTTTAAACAGTCCAAAAGCCTTTTTGTTTAAAAAAATTCTTAAATATACTATTAAACAGCTTATCTGCTTGATCTGATGGGCCCATTGCCTATCCGTTTTGTCACATGCTGTTGGAAAGATTTTCTTTTGCAATTCGATTTTTAAGCATTGTATAGTTTGCCAATGGACATCTTTGGCTGCACAATGATGCCTTATATTGGGAACTTGCTTCATTCTTTTGTATATTTGCCAAATCAGTGCTCATGTCACGCTATTTACTAACAAATGAATAAATATGATATAAGTCAACAGTGAAACTATTGACCAGTTTCAGTTTCAACCTTCTTTGCATGAGTTGTTTTTCAAGAATTTTAACTTGTCACAACGTGTCCAAACATATCTACAATCACTTGTTAAACTAGTTCAACCACTACCTACATCAAGATTTTGTAATTAAATATTCCGAGTGCACAGTACCAAAGCTTTACACACCTTAAAATTGGAATGTACCCGGTTATTGTAAAATATTCCCAGGGGAGTAAACTCAGTCTGACCCTCTGGGTATTGACCGACAGAATCTCCAGTGGGAACTCGGTGGAAGATGTACCAAATACCCACATCCTGGGGTTGGGGGAATGAAGGGAAAAAATAAGGAGAAATAATGAATCTAAACTGTACAACATCCATTCAGTCATTAAGAGAAGGATTTTGGTGTGACTGTTGAACATTTACATTAGGTTCGCCATCAATGTAAAGCTGTTAACAACAAAGCTAATCAAATACTAGCTTGCATCTCAAGGGCATTTGGTAACAATTAGAAAGACACGTTTCTAACCCTGTATAGATGACCAGTGAGGCTGGGTTGAAAAGCACCATTTTGTCTACAATTTAAATTTAATCCAGGTGGTGAGAAATTTTGGAGGTATCACACCACCCTCCCTGCTCTTTTTTCAAAAATGGGCTTAATACATAAACACAGGTACATTATTTTTCAATGTTTAAAGTCAGTAAAACATGTTGTACCTGAGCTCCAGCTGCAGCATTGTTGATCAGATTGTTATTTGGATTTGCAATCCAAAAGGTTGTGACAGCCCTGGAAATAACAATATAGGATCTTTTAGTTTTGAACTTATGTGGATGTGTTACCAATGTGCTGCTACTGATAATGCTTCCTAGCTTGAAAGAGTTCCAACAGTTTAAACTGACTGGGTTATATAACTGATAAATTGCAACATCTTATGGCGGAGGTGGAATCAGCAAAGGTAATCATGATCTTACAAGGAGATCTTAAACAGGTTATACCTCTGAAGTGATCACTAGAAAATAAGATTAAATGGAGATAAATGCAAGGTACTGCACACAGGAAATATAAATGGGAAGCACATGTCAGGTTGGCGTAAACCATGAATCCCTTCAGTTTACAGTAATGCATGTAATATAGTAATAATAGCAGACAGGAGTAGAACGTTGGTCCATTTAACGTACCTATTTAATTTCCCACAAGATTCCTTCAATGTGTCTATCACTAAACTAAGCCCTAAGTAAGTGTCAGTACTTTCAGGATATTATCGATGGAAGAATACTGGTGGACAAAACATTTGTAGCAAAATACTATTTTATAATTGAGTGTAAAATAAAATCCCCACTCATCTTGCATAAATAATTAATAGTAGAGTATCTAGTTTCCCTTCCCGAGTATAGAAGATCTTGAGATATCTGGTCTTGCACACTTAAATAGAGTCCTCTATCTCCTTTGTGTATGCAGATGTTAATGCAATAATAACTTATGGTCAACTTACATGCAATCAGAACTTGGTACTGGGATATAACTTCCATATACTTGATCACGAATAGTTACACACATGATTTCATTGCGATCAGAAGGCAGAATTGTTCCAGCCTTTGTAAGAAGCCCCAGATTATGATACAGTGTGTTTCTCTCCTCCACACCATCTTCCAGGAAGAAACAGTGACCCAAAGTGTCATACCCTATTGTATCTTTGACCTTAAAAATAAGATTATAATGCATAAATTTAAGACTAAACAAAAAACTGAGCACTTCCAAGACAATGAATTAATTTAATATACAACTGTTTGGAAATTAAGCCAAAATCAACTTGCCAGTTGTCATTGAAGCAATGAAAATGACTGAAATTCTTAGAAACATGGTAAATGACATTAGTTCTACATTGATGAGGTAAATTAGNTTTTTTTAAATAAAAACAACTTATATAATATGTATTTCTTATACTTAAATGTAATCTTTCAATATTCAGGCATATTTATAATAGATTTTTCCTAAAAGTGGCAATTGACTTGTGAAGATTACAAACAATTTTGAGATCTGGTTAAATGGATTCAGTCCATTTACTTTACAATAAACTCCATCAAACATCAACATTCCCAATGAAAAACAAACATTAATATTTTCCATTATGTTAGTTATGTTTTACATTTAGTTTCAAGAATGCTAAATTACTGAAAGAATGAGTCCTGCCATTTACCCTCTTGACATTTTAAAATCTCCAATAAGAATATCAAAACAATCCTTAAGAAAACATATACCATTGCACGGAATTATTGTTTCTTAAAATGAATTTTCCCATTTGAATGTTGGCATTATTTTTACCCTTCTATTAAATCAGGAAGATGTCACTATATTATAATTACTGGTAACCCAGTGAGGATCTAAATAAAAATTAAATAACAGGATAAATTGTCAAATAGATGGTAGAATGTCACAAGAGATATTACAGTAAATTACAGACAGGAATGGATTCAAGTCAGCCCAACAATGCTGGAATGATTCCTAACATGGAACTATAATTCCCCATTGTATTGTATTCTATTGTATTCCCCAATTTAGATAGACTTAACTTCTGTTTAGGTTTCATCCCTGCTCTTCCATAGGGATTAAAAATCAAGGAAATGTCTTTGAAACTTAAAACACGATTAAGTTAAAAAAACATACCAGCAAACCATTAGTTCCGTGTATAGCAACGCATCGGGAGAAGCAGTGGTGGATGGCTAAATTGTCAACATATGTAGGTGGATGATACCCGCCTCTTTGATCCACATCTCCAGCCAAGTGAAAATGTACAGGGTAACTCCCCAGAATCTGTTGTCCCATGTTTGTGACCTCCACACCAGACAAGTGAACTGAGGCAAAATTGTTTAGGATCTACTGAGGCAAGAAGAGTGTTTGAAATTTAGATGATGAATGAAAAAGTAAATCTAATATTTTAAGTTGGAAATTCAGAACATTGACATCTGCTGGATAATCATGATATGGCAATAGGATTTGGGAGGGCACTGTGGTCATTAAAGTCCATATTACTTAGCATAAATGCCAACAGTACATTTGTATTTCATTGTTCTTGCACTGTTGAATTATGTTAGCTAAAAATATAACAAGAAAGGCTTGAGGTTGGTGTTTGATTACCATTCTATCCAGTCTGTGCCAACACATGATGAATATATGGCTGATGTCTGAATTGTCAATATATCTTGATGATTCCTTCCACCCTTTCTCAATACAACTTATATATATATATACATACACACACATACATACATAATAATCCCTACAAAACAAAACAATAATAGATTGGTCATTTTCAATCCACGACTGTTTGTGGGACATTGCTGTGCGCAATTGGCTGCCGCGTTTCGCCCACAAATATACAGTTAATTCACTTTACAGCATATTCCGTGAAGCGCTTTGAGTCGTCTAGAAGACGTGAAAAGCACTATATCAAATGCAAGGATTATTATTATTATACATACACACACACTATCTTTAATGAGCAGCCCCAAATTAAACACGATATTCAAACTACTGCCTACCAATTCAATTTCAACACATGCTAAATTTTATATTCAAGTAAGGAAGTTGCGCATTGAGATGTCGCTTCAGAAACAACTGTTCCTTTATAAAGGATCCCCATTAAACAGAAAAATAGATTAGTGAAAGCTACTTACATGGGAAAACTCATTGGAACATAAGGGAATAAAACTGCAAAGGAATATAACCATCTGAACTGGGGACAAAAACAGTCCCCCATATTGTATTGTGAAATACTTACCCTTATCTGCCCTCCAAATGTATCATAGTTGAAAAAATGGCAATGGTTTTCTCCATAACACACGTCCTCCATTTCTCCTTTAATAATTATTTTCCTATTCAACAGTCCAACTTCTGCTCTCATATCTATTCCATCTATAACTTCACCCATGTGAAGATACTGAGGTATACCTATATGTGTTAAAGAACAAACTGGTTGTTTTACAGCCACAGATGTGGAAGAAAATGTAGTACAATCCAATTTTCCCTTCCTACGTACATAAGACTATTTAAACACTCTATTATTAAAATCCATACTGCCAATAAGACAAATTAATGTAATTAAAAATAATAATTAAAAAATATTTTTGGAAAAAAGGACAACAAAAATCTGAGTTTTAATATTGCATACCATCAATTTTAACCTGGTAAATGTTGCACTCGGGGCAGGGAATAAGATTAAATTCTTCTGCCTGATACATGGAATAGTCCGTGCTAGCGATGACTATTCGGCTACCAGGCAACCAGCTTGAAGCTTTGTCCATCAAATTAAGAATTACACCGTTTGACACTTCGACACGAAATCCACAGTGAGGGACACCTGCTAAAGGAAAAGAAAAACTGCATGATTTCCAACCTGCACCTTCACCTCCCCCTTCCCCCTTGTTGGCATCCAACCACATCATTGTAAAGTGCACCAATACATCATCCTACGTGAAGCACACCATATAAATGCAAGTTGTTGTTGTTGCTGTTTGGGAGTACAGGGGAATCGCTTCTCAGCCTTAACAGTAAACTGTACTGTTGAAATATTGCACATGACGTGAACTCACCTTTTAGCCACTCACTGAAGGCGGTGACTGTGAATTGAATCCCATCATGTGTCTGAAAGTTTCTTCTCGCCAGAGCCATGCCAGTTGACCCATCAGGCTGATAGAATCGTTTATCTTCCACAACAAATAATGTGTGTACACCAATGACTCCAACAAGAGCCCATGGCTGTCTGAAGAACATGAAAATCCAGAACACAGATTTGAAGAGGTCACTGGTGAATACTGAAAGTTTTTTTTGTATTTGGAGCTTTGGTATTACATTCCATCTCCAGCAAGACGTAAATGTGTGTTTATGTATTCATTCGTTGCAGAAATATGTATATATATTTACACACACACACTGTACTTTTCAAAGTAAACATAAACTAGATTTGGTTGATTATTTATTTTGAGTTTTTATTTTGCTATATAACCATTCCTTTCAATAAACTTGGCAAACTGCCCGATAAGGGCATTGGGAACTGTCCATGGTGGCTCCAATTGTAATGTCTAAAATATGCCTTTGTAATATTTAGAAGTCATTGGCATAAAACCAAAAGTATTGAATGAAAACATTGTGGCCCAGTTAAGGTTAAAATGCTTCTCTGCGATAAAAAAAAACGTGTTATATTAGCTCACAAATACAAAACATTGTTACATTTGTATACACATGAACAATATAGTGTGTGTGTTTTTTTAAAAAAAAGTTGTCTGATACTTCAGCCCCACTACTGACATGGATGGAGCAAGGCTAGCAGAAAACAATAAATGCTGAAAATTGTATCCACCCTTCATGTACAGAGCTCAAAATGATCTTTGTTTAAGCATGCAGTTGAAAGGTGCTCAATGTGCCCTACTGCTCATATTATTATTAAATGCTTGTCTTGCCAAATTGATAAGTGTTGGTAATATTTGCTCCCAATTAACCAAAACCTAAGAATCAAATGTGGCTTTCTGTTCACATCCTCTCCACACCTCCAAAACCTCTCTTTTGAGTTTGCCTTTGATCAACTCTTCAACCCCTCTGCCAGTGCTCAGGCTCTTCCCTCTTCCAGTCAATATGATTGTGCTTTAAATATCACTGCTATATATGCAAAAGATGGGCAATCCCTAGTCTCCCATACTAAAATCTAGACTAAAACTAATCTATTTTAACTGCAGAGAACTTGATTCCGAAAGGTAGTAAAGGGACTGGGATGTTCCCATTAACCACTGGTATTCCCCAAGTTCTCTATTTGCAAGAACAAGATCAGTAGATAACAATGTGTAAATAGTAGTGCATTGGATGGAACAGTGGAATAGGCTCATTCTGAATTGCATCAAGGAATCAGGAGACAGATTCAAATCTACATTGACAAAGCGCATTCAATGGGGTGTATATGGAGGCAGAAAATAGCTGCTGATAAAATAACTTTATAAAGGCATCTTGTAGGTATGTGCAAAATGGTATTTGGCAGCTTTGTGCATTCCTATGTATTATAATGTAAGATAATTCTGTGCTTTGCGTATGAAAAGCATGCACGCATCTTACCTGTAACTCAGAGATTTCACATGGTTGCTCCCAAGTAGTTCGCTGATGGTTTCCCTCACTTGTGAAGTCAAACGTCTTGCTGCAGAATCGCCCACAGCCATAGCTACGATTCGCCCATACGCCTGACGAAGCAGAAACTGCTGCAAACGTTTGCTCTCATTCACCCAGAGGTGGGTATCGAAACGTTCAGTTACCAGTACCTGACCTGTGCCTTGGTCTATGATCCTAACATTGATGCCTCTGGTGCCCCATTGCTTCTCAAAACGATAAGCGCCGTGTTGCATACCTCCAGGGTACAAGGTTTTGGCTAAAAAGGTCCAAGACATGCTTTTTCTCCCATGTAATTCTAAAACTCCCCCTTTGTCCACACCAATGAATTTCTTACCAAAATTCTCCACATTCCATACCTCTGTTGACTTGCCATAAAGAGAGATTACAGCAATAGAACTGTATGGACAACCTTCTGAGCCAATGTGCAACTCCCCTCCATTCCTAATCAGAATATATTTGGCTCTTAAAGTGATGGGAGGTTTCGGCGCATCTGCAAATACTAACTTTCCTGTGAAAGAAGAACATCAATAACCTACAACATTAAACTGTTACGTGACAGCAATTCCCCCTTTATCATAATCACGTATATTCTAACAGCAAAGCAAAAAAAAGATCTATGCAAATATTTTTATTTCAGTTAATAATTTCAGACTGGTACCCCCATTTTTGTAGTGGCTGAAATGCTAAAACATGTGCAGATCATAATCTCTGGAATTTTATCAGATCTACACCTACAGTTACCAGGGTGAGTGGAGGAAAATGAAATGATCCAATATATTCACGGAAAGCGTAAAAAAATGACTCAAATTACCAAGTGAGGCTATGTACAGTTACTTAGACCCCTAAGCCAAGTACTTAGGGGGGGGGGGGGGGGGGGGTGACATGTTATTTGCTTCAAAGAATGACTGATAGCCTCAAACTCACCCCCATTCTCAATAATAATGGAATGCATTGAGGCTGAAGACTCCAATCGGAGGAACACTCCGCGTCCAATTTTAACTTTCTTCTTTTCGTTGTGTCCAGGATTCCAGGAAAATAAATGAGGAACTTTATCTGGACAGCCAGCTATAAAGGAAACACTCATTTCACCATCACATGCCATTGCGGTTAATAACGAGAATGTGTAATATATATATATATATATATATATTAAAAAAAATGTTTGCAACAAAGAAGTTACACACCTGTTGTGACAAACTTCTTTCCATTCAAAATAGGCAAATTCTAAGACAGGCTCGGAACCAGCTATTGAGCCTTGAGTTAAGTCCCAGTTGCGCGCTGTTTAGGAGCTCAGTGATAACTGGAGTGCAATCGCGATCACTGGTTTTGGAGAAAGCAGTTACAACAGGAGCTCTAAAGGATGACATCCCGGGAGAGCAACAGGAAAGGTCTGTGTCGAGAATCACTGATCGGCAGATGGGATACAACAACAACAACAACAACACCAAGAATAATAATCATAGAACTGAACAATATGGTAGTAATGCACACTGTCATCTGCGAAAGCGTTGTTCCAACGAGAGAGCTATTCCAGCGCAGGTACCTGTCTGCCAGAAATTAAATGCAATAGTTATGTATGTTCACATTGGAAATTCCTCAGGCAACTCTGCACACAATATGCCACCGCACCGGTAGGTACCGAGTGAGTAAGGAATCAAGTAAAGACCTGTTTTGTGGGTTGAAGCAATCCATTTAATATCATACAAATCCCAATAACCAAAGCGAGAGGAATGCAAGCGTTTGTGGAACAGGTTCTCCTCGTTACCCCGAGAGAGAAAAACACAGCAGGAAAATAATCTTCTTGGAAATGCTTACAAATTCTGTAAAGTTGTCTGGTTAATTTGCTATATATATATATATAATATATATATATATATATATGGGTGACATGCCCCCAAAGCACAGCCTTCTTGGGGAGAAATAAAGAGCCTGTTTTTTTTTCTCTCTCTCTCTCTCTCTCTCTCCTGAATTATATTAAAACCATCAAAGAAGTCATACGGAATTTTTAAGCTGCCAAAAAGAAAAAAAAAAGAAAAAGAAAAACACCCAACAAACACAGCAAAGTCACAAGCAATGGACATGTTGACAATCTCTCTCTCTCTCTCTCTCTCTCTGCACACCTGTTACTGGAGGGAGAGCTGGTGGGTGGTGGGTTGGTTGGTTGGTTGGTTGGGAGTTTCGGAGGAGAAGTGCTCTGCGATGGTCTCTCAGGGTCAGATGGATGGGTTGGTTACAGCTGTTGGTTTTCCAGGTGTGAGACACACACACACACCCACACCCACAGGCTCCTGCTGTCAGGTAAGAGTGGTGGTGGTGGTGGTTGGAGTGGTGGTTGGGGGGAGGGAGGGAGGGAGGGAGGGAGATACCTGTCACTTTGGTGCTCGGGGATACAAAATTGCAGCCGGTGCTTTGCTGGGGCTCAGGGGAAGCAGAGGGAGAGAGGGGGAGAGAGAGAGTGTCCGCACAGATGCACAGACCCTGTCTCTGGCTGTAGGGCTGTAGCGCGGCCCCGGGTACAGCCGCCGCTCTTGTGGCTCAGCCCCGCGCGGCGCCGCTTCATTTATACTCCGCCGATTGGCCGCTGCACTGTTTATCTCTCTCTCTCTCTCTCTCTCTCCCTCTCTCTCTCTGTTTGCCGGTCCCTGTTTGAGCTCCGCCCCGGGCTCCCCCCCCCCCCACACTCCCTCTCCCTCTCCTCCCACCCCCCCCCACTCCCTCTCCTCCCACCCCCCCCCCCCTCTCCCTCTCCTCCCACCCCCCCCCCCCACACTCCCTCTCCCTCTCTTCCCACCTCCCCCCCCCCCCACTCCCTCTCCCTCTCCTCCCACCTCCCCCCCCCACTCCCTCTCCTTCCCCCCCCCCCCCACATCACACAGGAATCCGGGCGCCTCTCCTGTCCTGTCCTCTCCGCCCTGAGTTACATGACAGGACTCGCACTCTGTGCCAACTCTCCCGACCGGGCGGGGGGTGAGGGTGGGGGTGAGGGGGTGGGGGGTGAGGGTGGGGTGGGGGTGAGGGTGAGGGTGGGGGGGTGAGGGTGGGGTGGGGGTGGGGGTGAGGGTGGGGTTGGGGTGAGGGTGGGGTGGGGGTGAGGGTGAGGGTGGGGGGTGAGGGTGGGGTGGGGGTGGGGGTGAGGGTGGGGTTGGGGTGAGGGTGGGGTGAGGGTGGGGTGAGGGTGGGGTTGGGGTGAGGGTGGGGGTGGGGGGTGAGGGTGGGGGGTTGGGGTGGGGGTGAGGGTTGGGGTGAGGGTGGGGGGTTGGGGTGGGGGTGGGGGGTTGGGGTGGGGGGTGGGGGGTTGGGGTGAGGGTGAGGGTGGGGGGTTGGGGTGAGGGTGAGGGTGGGGTTGGGGTGAGGGTGAGGGTGGGGGGGTTGGGGTGAGGGTGGGGGTGAGGGGGGTGAGGGTGGGGGGTTGGGGTGGGGGTTGGGGTGAGGGTGGGGGGGTTGGGGTGAGGGTGGGGGGTTGGGGGGCAACGTGAGAGATGACTGAGACCGAACCACAATCCTTTCCTTCTCTTCTCCCTTCATCTCCTTTCCTCTCTTACTCTTAGAATTGAAGGGAAAAAAACCCAAACCATCCTGTGGTTGGTGGTGATGGTGTTTTTTTTCATTAAAATGATGATTATTATTATTATTATTATTGTTGTTGTTGTGATGATGCCATATCATTTGCTGTTTCCAAAATAACCATTCGCTCTCTGCGATGCTATCGCAGAGCGGTGACCAGGTTCGGCGGCTGTAACTGTTTGTTTTCCTGCTTATTGCTGTATGTGCGGCTTCTCGTGTGTGTGTGTGTGTGTGTATTTGGGGGGGGGGTGTGTTTGGGTGTGTGTGTTTGTGCATTTGTGTGAGTATTTGTGTGTGTGTGTTTGTGTGTGTATTTGTGTTTGTGTGTGTATTTGTGTTTGTGTGTGTATTTGTGTGTGTGTGTATCTGTGTGTGTTTGTGTGTGTGTATTTGTGTGTTTGTGTGTGTTTGTGTGTGTGTGTGTTTGTGTGTGTGTTTGTGTGTGTATTTGTGTGTGTGTATGTGTGTGTGTATCTGTGTGTGTGTATTTGTGTGTTTGTGTGTATTTATTTGTGTGTGTATTTGTGTGTGTGTGTATCTGTGTGTGTGTGTGTGTGTATTTGTGTGTGTGTGTATCTGTGTGTGTGTGTATCTGTGTGTGTGTGTTTGTGTGTGTATTTGTGTATGTGTGTATTTGTGTGTGTGTATTTGTGTGTGTGTGTATCTGTGTGTGTGTGTGTGTGTGTGTATTTGTGTGTGTGTGTATCTGTGTGTGTATGTGTGTGTGTATCTGTGTGTGTGTGTGTGTTTCTCGAATAAAAAAAACCTTTCACTCGTTTTCAGGTACCAGTCGGGCTCCCGCACTCCGGGGGGGACAGCAGTGGGTGAGTCTCCCTTTATTTATTGCTGAACCTGATGTCTGCACAGGAGCGCACACAGTGCTCCTTCGGAATCTTATCTGCACGGCGTTTCTATTGAAAGGAATACCTTGGGTGGGGGTGGGGGGGGGGGGGGGGGGGAGTGGGGGTGGGGGTGTGTGTGGGGGGACTTTGATTTCCCATTCAAGTTTTGCTTTGGTAACATGTAACTGTTTAACTCATTGCGGGAGGGAGGGAGGGAGCGTTTAACAAAAAACGTTGGCAATCGACGAGCAAAAATGTTTCTTTCCTCCACAAAACCTCCTGTGGGTTGTCTGAACCCTGTGTGCGTGTACTGTGGTGTGTTGTGTGTGTTATGTGTGTGTGTTGTGTGTGTGTATGTACTGTGGTGTGTTGTGTGTGTGTATGTACTGTGTGTGCTGTGTGTGTATGTACTGTGTGTGTGTGTACTGTGTGTGTTGTGTGTGTGTGTGTGTGTATGTACTATGTGTTGTGTGTGTGTGTGTACTGTGTGTGTTGTGTGTGTGTGTGTGTGTGTGTATGTACTGTGTGTGTTGTGTGTGTGTTGTGTGTGTAGATCCCTGACTCCAGTGTTTGTTTCCTCAGTTTGTAAGACACGATTACGTGGGATCTTTGAACGTTGGCCAAAAAAGAAAAAAAAAGAAAAAAAAGGGGCAGCAAAACGGACGCTCAGCTCTGGTGTCATTCCAGAAACAACACGATTTAAGATCGCAAAAACTTCAGCAAATCCTACAGAATCCGCTGGTCATTGCGGAGCCCCGAGAAACCGCACAACCCCCACCGACTGGAACAAGATTCGGAGGTTCCCTGAAGCCCTCCACAGCCTCCGAATAGTTCGCTCACTCACTCTCTTCGGACAAAATACAAACCTTTCAATTCAGTAAATTACAAATCACGCGAAAAAGAAAAGAAAAATCCACCAAAAATAGCCGAAAGGGCCATCACCGTAGACGCGCAATCCGTTTCCCCCTTTTTTTTTCCTTTGCAAAACAATTCTGAGACCCCGAAGGAACTGTAATGTGGTTTAAAAACAAATCTTTGCCCAATGACTGTGCGCTGTGCCCACACACCGTCGATAATGAAAACCCCACAATATTTGTCATTCATGTGCACGACTCGCGGGTTTGTCTCTTTTTATTTTTTTTAGAAAAAAAAACAAAAAATAATATTGCAGACATCATCAGGACGATTAAAGAAAATCCCTTGTGCCTTCTGGTCACTCAGAAGAGGAAGGTAATGAGATGGATAAGGGCAACAATATGCATTTCCCTTCAAAGTGGTTTGTGTTTAGTAAAATTGGTTGTAAGAGCCATTGGACATTTAAGAATGGGAGAACTCAATCATCACATCCAGGCTCTGTTATACTCACTAGTCTCCTCTTCCCAACTTTTCCCTCCACAAGCTGTAGATTATTCAGAACTCTGCAGCCGGTGTCCTCTCCTATCACCTCCATCCTCATCGGGCTCCACTGGCTCCCCATCTCCCAGAGGATAGAGTTCAAAATCCTCCTCCTCTTTCAAAGCCCTCCTCCTCTCCCTACCTCTGCGACCTGTTAACTCCACACCAACCTGTCCTCTCCCTCCACTCAGCGGATTCTGGCCTGTTCCATATCTCCCACTCTGCCCGCCCCACCGTTGGCAGTTGGACCTTCAACCTTTCTGCCCCCACCCTTTGGAACTCCATCCCAGTCCCTTCACCTTGCCCCATCCTGGCTTCAAGATTGTCTCAAGACCCTCCTCTTCAACTGTGCCTTTGGTCACACTCCTACCCCCATCTCCCTGCCCTTCAACCCTCCTGATCCCAACTCCCAGTTTGAGTGCAAATCCTTGACTTTCCAGCGAGTTACGATGTCCTCCCGGTATGAAAGGCTATATAAATGTAATTTGTTATTGATGTTATTCAAGGCAACATATGATCTATCCTCTGGGGGATGGGGAGCCAGTGGAGCCCGATGAGGATGGAGGTGATAGGAGAGGACACCAGCTGCAGAGTTCTGAATAATCTACAGCTTGTGGAGGGAAAAGTTGGGAAGACAAGACGAGTTAGTTTAGGGACATAGCATAACAGAGCCTGGATGTGATGATTCAGTTCTCACATTCTTAAATGTCCAAGGGCTCTTACAATATATGATAGAGATCATATATTATAATACCATCCCAGTAAATATTGTGTCAATCAGTTAAAAGAATATCTTTCACTTCATTAGATCATGGTAAAGTGCAATAATAACATTATTCTTTCTTGTTACAATCTGGCAGAATCAACAACACAAGACCGGCTCATTCAGAAATAGATGCCTGTGGGTGGTACAGGAGTCATGGATCATCATGAAAAAGATATGTCACTATGTTGACATATTGGCTTTAAGCAATCTTATTTCTGCTTTTTTTTTGCATTGGCATATCCATCTGGTTACACTGTGATTCTCGAACAGACCAAAACCTGTTGCACATGTTACTTGATGCCTCTTATTCCCAGAGAACACTAAAGGCTTTTAATAAAATAGGAAATATGGGTCTTAAATATAGCATAATACAATATAGATTGTATGAAGGTGAAACTGTTATGACTATTTTTTGTAAAATCAGGAAAAGTTGCAACAAGTGTGAAATCTTAATAATTCAAAGCATGCATTTTACTTACCTTTGTAGATTCATGACTCAAAATCTAGTTGGTGAACTGTTGCCAATATGTGTCATGGATAGATATTTATTAGGTCAGGGTATTAAGAGATACTGGGCAAGTAATTGGACTTGAGTTACAGATCAGTCATGATCTTATAGAATGACAGAACAGGCTCGAGGGGCTGAATTGCTTATTCCCGTTCTACTTTTTTCATATTGAACAGGTTTGTCAATGTATCTTTAAATAGCACAGTTTCATAATAATTGTAACACAACATACCATATTTGCATGTATTTTCGGAGGACTAGATTTAGAAGTAGTGATGAGAGTGGGATTAGACTGTAAAGTCAAGGCCAACTGGGGTGGATAACAAGTTGGTTTTGAACATCTCAATCTTTTATCTTTGAGAAATCTAAACTGATCTTGACAAAAAGAGATACGTTAGAGCTGAGCTGAGTTTGGAACGTCTTCCTGACGTGAAAGGTGCTATATAAATACAATTTGTTGTTATTATGAGTAGTATTGACGGTGGTTCAACATATCAGTGGTTCAGAGGCTCCACAAGTTAGAGTACATTTTGTACAAACCTGAATTGAAAACTTCAACTAAGGACTCCTCACTTACCTCCTCCCAAGTTATCTTCTTGTCTGGATGTGAACCATATTTCACCATCACCTGCAGTTATAAATCATATGAAAATAAAATCCTAAATGAATTTTCAATCATACATAGTGTTCTAAAATTTTAATTAAAAGCTCTACAAAAATTGACAGCTGTTCATTTCCAAGAATACACACATCTCAAGAATAACCATGAGTTTCACTTCTGTCATTCCTTACCTATGTTTGCAATATAATGAATTGTGCATCGTTCATATTCATGAAGGAATTACAGTACGTCACCATTGAGATATACTCTATTAATAACACACCCATCCCAATGGTTTAAGAGGAGATATTTTCCAACAGTGACCAAATCACTTAATTACCATGGTCATGCATGGCCAGTCAAATGTATTATTAGTCAAATTATCACTCACCATTATGGAAGATAATCTTTAACTGAGATTTTATCCATATTCCATATTTTATGATTTTTCAGCATGGTAAGATGAAACCTTTAATGCCCAAGTACAGTAGCAGTTATCAGTAATCTAGTCAACAGTTTTGAAGAAAATGGTTCAAAGAGAAAGAAAAGGTTTGCTGGCCTGTTGTCAAATGAGTCTCAAATTAACTCTTTCATACAATATGTATGAGGCGCTCACTCCTCTGCCATTTTGGACTTGTCATACAATATTTATATTTGCTTCTAGATTACATATACACTGAACATATTTATACGACATTTAGAGCATTAAGTGCTCACTGTAATGTTAGAATCAGAACCCATGCACTTTACTGATCAATTGATTTAATGATAATATTTTGTGTCAATCAATACCACATAAGCCAAATTGTATGTCCAGGGGTAACAAAATACACTTTGATTTCAATTTCAAGCCTTTTTAGATAATATGCTGATAATCCTAGTTTTGTAGTTAAGTTTGTGTGGACTGAGATAAACACCCTGATGGCTTAAGTGAATTCCATGCTACCTTTGAATCTGGTAAACATTTATTATAATTCTGTCTGACTTAATTCAAACAGGGCCTTGTTGTTGCCTGTTTCTGGTTTGTTTCATCCATAATTCAAGCAGCAAACTTTCAAATTCCTATTAGAATTTTTTTTCACATCTTAAACAGCCCAGCACTTTTGTAACGAATACACATTTACGAGATCTGCTTTAGGGGTTCCCCGCATGCATTGAGGGTGACGAGCAACTGTACAGTCCTAAGGTGCAGAGATTCCTTGCTTTTTTGATGCTGTATAAAACTTTAGACAATATGTTTAGAGCATTGCATTGCAACAAGTTTTGTTGTGTTTTGAACAGTGGATGTAGAAACTCAACTGTGTTTTGTAACTCAAGTATGTTTTCCACCAAGCTATTGTGATCCATATAAGGCCTTATTCTGCCTTCAGTCCAGGGAATTTCTGTCATCCTGGGTTTAATTCAGAACTAGCTTTAAAGGTCATTTGTTAGCTGATCAAAAAAACGGTAATCAGTGACAAGGTCTTGTGTCACAACACAAAGTAATGATTGACAGGCAAGTGTACACATTAATGACTTAGAAATATTGCCCACCTAGACAAGTAACTCGACCATAATATTACTAAGATTAAACTACACCTGATATACACCCATTGGTATACCACTAGTTGCAAATTGATGCTAAAAAAACATGATTAAATAATTTAAAAAGATAAAAACCTCAAAAAACAGCCAAACCTCTCATTAACTAAACCACACCAAAGAAGGTGATTAGAGATACTATGTGGTTGGTTACTCTTCTATTGCCAGTGTCACTTATGGTTTCTTGAATAATCACTATATTTTTAAAGTACAAAACAAGTACAAAAATTAGTCTCCAGCATTTTAACTTTGTTATTATGTAGTTGGTTTTGATCAGGGAATTTTCACACTATCATAATTAACAGTTATCTTTTATAGTCTGATGTTAAAATTGCAAATAATGAGCCATTTTGATTTCTCTTTAAATAAAGATTTTTGAATATCTGCTATTGACAAAACTACCAATGTATCCTAGGAAATCTCTGAGTGCCATCGATCTATAAAAGAATACTGTAGCAATGGAAAAAGTGCAGCATACAATTTCAAGAATGTTATCAGGGATGAGAGAATACAATTATTAATGAAAGACTGGACAAGCTAGAGCTTTGTTTCCTTTGAAGGTGAGGCATTCAAGAGAGAACCTGATAGAGAAGTATTTAAAATTTTGGAAGAGTTTGATAAGGTAGCCATAAATAGGCTGTTTTCACTTGCTGATCAGTGCATAACAAAAAGGGATATGGGGGGAGGGAGAATATGGAGAGGGGATTAAGATGGGTAGAGACTCATGTGGAGTATACGCACTGGCATAGATCAGTTGGGCATGATGACCTGTTTGGGTGTGGTACAGTTTGTGTATTTCTAGGTAATTTGTAGCCATGTAAAAAAATTAAAATAACACAAAAGTAAGACTCTTCATACCTTAATGCAGTGTTGGTGAATCTATGACTTTCATGGTCAAAGTAAGTAATGGGAGGTCAATTTCATCCCCTCCCATCAAAGACAGCAAATTGTTATTTTATGATGATGGGCACTATGGAAAACAACTGTCCTGTGCATGCACTTAGATTGGGCAACTATTTAAAATATGTCACGTGTATGTGTAGAATACTGATAGCATCTGGCCAGAAAGGGCACTTACTAAGGAAGATGAGCAACTGTCTCCACTGGTACAGACACAATTTGGTAGAAAAAATTAAAAAAACAATGTTTACGTTTTGAAAACATTGCAACAGAAATCCCATTGACATAAGCACACAACCTGGTACGTCTATGTTTTGTCCCTAGGGATCCAAACGGTTCATCATCATTGCTTTAATGAATAAAACAGGAGGGATATGAACCATCCAGGAGAGTCATAAAAAAACAGTTCATCTCTGTACTGTCAGAACAGAAGAAAATCTGATTCTTGTCCAACAATAACTTGAAAATCAGCCACTCAGAAGCTTTCAATAGTGACCTACATTGCTGCAAAATAACTGGGAAGTAGAATGATCCTGAAAGTGGATCAAATATAATTTAGATGACTGACTACTAGCGGGTTCCTTTAAATATTTACTTGGAGCAAAGCTCAATCAGTTTGGGCAGTAGGTGGCAGCATGCAATGCAGTCAAAACGAAGCCCTAAAATGCAGTACAGTACTCAATATCATCATCGAAGCATTGAACACATTTCAGTTACAACTCCATTGTAAATCTAGAAGCAAAATGAAAAATAATGAACATGAGGCACTACACTCTCAGTCTTGAGAGAAGAAACCCCAGAGGCCTATAGACTTATAGAATTGTATGCAATTTTAAATGAGATTGTAAAAGCAAACTTTAAGACACACAAACATGGTAGAACAAGAGGGCGTAGATTTAGGATTGTAAAGGGCAATTTTAGGACAGACACCAGGATGGTTTTCTTTATCCAGAGGGTAATGAATGACTGAAACACGTTGCCAGGAAGGGTGGTTAAGGCTAGAAAACTGTTATCTAGAGTTACTGAACCCTCTAACCCTTCTCTTAACGGGGCTTGTACAAGTCACTAAACAAATACTCAAGTTCAAGCTAAGTGTTCTAAAGGACAAGAAGACAGTTTCAGTCCCTGGCTCAGTCTTAGTTTTGCTGATTGGCGTTTCCAAGCTGAGCTGTTGGCGAATAATCTTTGGTGATCCCTTGGCAAAGATGGGCACACTGAACTGACTGTTTGTGCAGAAAAGAAAATACCAGGCTGAAAGATTAGCTTGAGGTGTTCCACAGCCCACTTTAATGGACAGCAAGATGTTCAGACAAGAAACAGCGTCACAGGATGACTTCCTGATGTGAAAGGTGCTATATAAATGCAATTTGTAGTTCTTGCATTAGGTTTGTTTCTGCCACCATTTTGGATCTAAATGTGCCAATTTCCCGAGTAATAAAGGAGATCTTTATCAATTTCTTGTTGACTTCCTGTCTGAGTAATGACCAGACCAGTTTGTTGTCTGGATATCTTGCCGTCCATTAAAGTGGGCTGTGGAACACCTCTAGCTAACCTTCCAGCCTGGTATTTATTTTCTTTTCCACACAACCACTCAGCTCAGTGTTCCCATCTTTGCAAATGGATCACCCAAGCTTGTTAGCCAAAGGTACAGAAGTGGCAATCAGTAAAACTGATACTGAGGCTCAAATTATCTTTTCTTGCCATTTCGGGCACTTAGCTTGAATTTAAGAATTTGGTACAAGGTGATGAAAGTGCAACTTGAATAATAAAACAGCCAACAGCTAACGTGTCAAGAAGTATCTACAACATTTGTCTGAATAGTGTGTCTGTTCTATCTGTGGTACATCCAACAGTGGTTTAGAGGCCTTTAGGCTCCACTGCCAGAGTTACTTTCATGTTTGCATAGGCCTCTGCCACCTACATGAGTCAGCCTTCAGAGCAAACTTACCAGCTGACTCGACTCTTTTTCTGTCCAATTCCTTTCTGGTTTGTTTTTATCTTCTTTATATATGCAGTCAGATGTTTATGCTAGCTTGCTGTTGTCTCTCTTTCTTTCTCTCATGCATACAGACAGACACATTGAGCACCACAGGGTGAACCATTCACATATTAAACTGTGAAATACTATACTGCAAAAAATACTTTAAAATTCTTTCAATTCTGACAAATGGATTTGTAAATCTCACAAACTCCACACAAACATCTGTTATAAAGAGTTACAGATCTAGAAACAGAGTACTAATGTCAATGACTCATGCATATTACAACCAGCATTGATGCAAGTTGTATGACTAGGTCCCATTCCATGCTTATTTTTCCAAAACTGATTAATCTACTTCACGCATTTGTAGTTCCCTTCATTTACTAGCATTCACCAAAATATTACAATATCTAACTTAATTTCTGTTGGGAATATTAATAAATATGTAACAAAAGTCATTTAGGAACAAAACATTATTTGAGAACACACTCTCCAAACCCAAATTTTTGTTTAAAGACCCATTAAATTACTCGCCTTAACTAACAATTTCAAGATGAGTGTGACAACAGCTGTCACATTTCTGAGATATGAATCACAGCAGTGTGCAAATGAATAGCGCTATGTTAGAAGTCACCGAAAATAGATGGTACATGCTGATGGCCCAACACTTAAGGATGTTTTAGACTGCACTATTGCACTATAGTCAGAAGCTAATTAAAGTAAAGCTCTTTGCAGCAGTACCCTGGCCCGGTTTAGGAAATATTTAGTGAATCCTGTAAACACTGAGCATTTTAAGACTGAGATGAACAAAATGGAAAATTATATGAAGAAAGATGAGGAATCATCTGGGTCAATAATGTAGAAAGCATAGTTCAACGGTGAATGATTTAAAATTAACTGAAGTAACTGCTTAAGTCTCTCAGAGGATAGTGTTAGTGCTACCTGATTCACTAAAGTTGAGTTCATTGGTTCAAGTTATACAATTCATTGTGTTGTGATGTCTGTAACAAAATCTTTAGCAAGTACAAATAGAATAATGTAAAAAGATCAGATTATGATATTTGAACACTCAGACCCACATTTCTCACTTACAGAATTGGAAGTGAAGAATCTGTGGAAAGGAAGTACAATCTCGCCAAATATGGATGTGCTCAAAATCCCACTTCTACTGATGGAAAATTAAATCATTAAGTCACTACTTGGTGACATTATAAATTTGGTTGATAGCAAGGCATTTGACATACCGCCAGATGAGATTAGTCAACAAAATTGGAAGACAACGAATAGGGTGTGGGAAACATCTGAAGTGGACCAGAAATTGACTGAATCATAGGAAACAACCAGCAATTGTACATTTGGTAATATCTCAGTTTCAGTATTATTTTTACTGTATTTAAATTATTTTGAAGTGGAGACAGAAGCAAGGCTAGCTCAAGCTGCAGAGCTGAGGGGAGTTGCAAATAACAGGGAACTTTTTTTTATTTTTAGTTCGCTGAACCAAACTACTGAGAGTAGTTCCACACATCCTTGTAAATTTCCCTTTGTTTGGAATGAAAAACTCTCTCCATTCTCTCCCTGGAGGAAAGCACTCTGCTTACCTATTCATAAAAAATTAGGTTCAGCTAGCAAGAGCTATAACTTGTATGTTGGGGTACGACTGAAGTTTAACCTGCAAAAATTTGTGCAGATTGCCCTTGCAAACACTGGAAAGCTTTCCGCTGTTTATCCAACTGGCCCCACCCTACCCATTAGGGCTTTGGCTTTCAAGGTTAACAGGAGCTGAGTGGGAAGAAACCCTACTCCCAATGACTGATCTGCCCCTCCAAGTCCTGCCCACGAGCCAGGCTGTCTGTCTCTTATCAGCAGTATCTTGGGAGTGCTGTGGACCCGCCTGGCTCAGATAATGCCACGTATAATCACACCTTTTGTAAACCTGTAAATAAATGTTTGCCCATGAATACAGTTACTTGATAATAAGTACAAAAGGTCAACAACCAGTGTTCACACAACTACTGTGAATTAACTGTGGCAGAGTGGCATAGAGCAAGAATTTAAGAAGGGAAAGCAAAGTCCTGAATTATTTGATTACTCAGTTTGAAAGATAACATTTTCAGATTTATAATGGTCAGAACTAGTAAATAACCACAGGATGTATGAGTGCAATAGATACAAGTTAAGGAGTGCTTCTTATCTGCATAGGTTTGCTAAATAATTTAATAGCTTCCCATTTTTCTGGAAAATAAGTGTGACTTGTTTATTTTAAAATATCCTGCTAGGCGTCACCGTACGGAAATCTATTAGTTTTACTGTCTAAACTATTGGACCCAGGTGACTACGCTACAATGAAGTTCCCCTGTGTTAGTAAGGTTATTGCAGGTTAAAACACATTTTTGATAAGTGCACTCATACGACAGAGTGGAACAGTAACAATGTTTGCTTGGTTCATGACTCCAAAGTACCACGTGTTGAGTTCCTTATCTGAATCAGTGGGGGAATATCCCACCGATTCCCACTGGCTGTTAACAGATTTTACTGCCTGTCCTGTCAGATTGATAACAGGGGAAAACACTCACAATAATGTAAAATACAACAACAACCAAACTACAGTTGTAAAGCACCTTTCCCGTCGGGAGGACGTCCCAAGGCCCTGAACAATCAGGGATCAGGATCCGAGCATGGGGGCAGGGTTGGGATGAGGGAGGGCAGAGGGGTTAGGAGAGCAGCTGAAAGCATACAACAACAACAAGATTCCATTTATAGAGCACCTTTCACGTCGGGAGGATGTCCCAAGGCGCTGGACAGTTGGGTCAGGACCCGAGCAGGGGGGAAATGGTCATGGTGAAGGGAGAGAAGGGATGGAGCGAGGAGGGGGTAGAGAGTCGAGAGGGGAGCTGAAGGCACGGTCAAAGAGAAAGGTCTTGAGACCGGCCTTGAAGGAGGAAAGGGAGGAAGCAAGGGGATGGAGTTCCAGAGCCTAGGGGCTGAAGGCCTGGCCACCGATGGTAGGGCGGTTGGGGCGGGGGATGTGGAGCAGAGCCAGAGGAACGGAGGGTACGGGCAAGTAGGTAGGCATAGTCAAAAAGGAGGATCTTGAGTCGTGCCTTGAAGGAGGCAAGAGAGGGAGCAAGGCGAAGGGATTGTGGGATGGAGTTCCAAAGAGTGGGGGCAGAGAGGCTGATGGTAGGGCAGATCGGGCGGGAGACCTGGAGCTGGCTGGAGCCTGCTGAGTGGAGGGAGCGGAGAGGTTGATAGGGAGTCAGCAGGTCAGAGGTGTAGGAGGAGGCAAGGCCGTGGAGGGCCTTGAATCTGAGGACGAGGATTTTGAATTCTATCCTCTGAGGGATGGGGAGTCAGTGGAGCCGGGCAAGGGTGGGGGTGATGGGGACACACGCCTGGTGCAGTAGAAGACATGAGCTGCAGAGTTCTGGATGATCTGCAGCTTTTGGAGGGAAGAGTTGGGGAGACCAACAAGGAGGGAGTTTCCATAGTTGAGCCTTGAAATGAAAAATGCGTGATGAGGTTTTTGGCAGCCTGAGGGGTGAGGTAGTGGCGGAGATATGGGACAATGTTGTTTAGGTTGTGGAAGGCAGAGAGATTCATGGGTGGGATATGGGGAGAAAGGACAGTTGAGGGTCGAACAAGATGCCCAGGTTCCTAACTGGCTTGGTGAGGTGGAATGTGCAACCGAATACAAATGAATACGAGATTTTTTTGATAGAAAAAGTCCAATATTCAATCCATTTATAGTTATTATTATTATTATAGCTATTGTTAATGAATGACTTGTGGGACATTACTGCATGCAAACTGGCTGCTACTATTTGTGTATAAATGCATTGTCACTGTACTTTACAAAGTAAAATGCTTTTTCACACATTTTGATGATGTGATAAGGTGCACTATCAAAATGCAAGACTTTTTATTAATAATTTTTAAAAATGGCATTATAAATATACCTACCATGATTATTATGGATTTTAACTGTCTTCTCTAAAATTCTTTTTTGTTCTTTAGCCATTAGCTTCTTCATAATGGAGAAAGCTTCTCCTTGATGTGCATCTATCAGCATGCCCAACCTTTTCAGCAACATTAAGACTTGTTGAAGTAGCTGTGGTTTTATCTTTACTTTAAGAAGAATCAGTGGGTCAACTTGAATAATTTGTGAACTCAGCTTCTGATCACAGGTTTCAAGCAGTACAGCTTTTTCCGATACTTTTCTCAGTACGTAATTAGTTATCTTAAGAAGAGAGTCACAAGGCAGGATTATTTCTTTCATTGTCTCCATGTTCTGGTAACTTGTCAGCAAGTTGTTTTTCTGTTTCCCTTTTGTAATGCTTGTACTCCGTACAGCACGTCTGTAAAGTGGGTGGATGCTTGATGAGTAAGCTCTGCCATATTCAGATAGTTCTGATACATTCCAAAGAGAAATTTGATCTGAATCTGTGAGTAAAAAGCAATTGAGTTATTTGGAATCTTTGAAATGAAATACAAATTTGGTAATGACTACGAGAGCACAATATATAATAATCCTTGCATTTGGTACAGCACCTTTCACGTCGAGAGGGCATCCCAAAGCCCTTCACAAGATTTACTGTGAAGTGGACTAATTGTACATTTGGGCGAATGCAGCAGCCAATTTGCACACAGCAATGTCCCACAAACAACCATGACGTGATTGACCAATTTGAGGGATTGTTGGCCAGGACACTGGAAGAAACTCCCTTCTCTTGTTGAATTGTGCTATGGAATATTTAATGTCTGCCTGAAGGAAGGCACCTCCAATAATGCAACAGCTTAGACTATGTGAGCTCAAATCCCGATGTGGGGCTTGAACCTACAAGCTTCTGACTCAGGCGAGAGTGCTATCACTAAGCCAGGCTGATACACAAAATAGAGAATGAGATATAAACAGTTGATCCTGCAAATTCATTAACATTAATTGCTAAGAAAACCAAAATCATTGAATTAACTCCCGTTTTACTGTCAGAATCTGAAACCTCAATTCCTAAACCTGGAATCCATTCAAATCATGTTAATGATCCTGGTCTAAAGTTTATTCTGGATCAGGATAGAGTAAGCAATAGAGACCAATTACTCTCTCCTTGTAAAAATGCTGTGTTTGTTATTTGAATCCTGAAATACATTTGATGGGAAAGACGATAGTGGTAAGTAATTCTCAAGTCCTGAGGATTTCTTCAAACCACAAATAAAAAATATTTACAATAGATTATTTGTTCCATCCATGGGTGTGCTCTTTCACTCCCTGAGATGCAAACATGCCCCTTCTGGCTATAAAACACAAGCCTTTTATTATTCACAAGCAGCTTGACTGAACTGATGAAATAATTTACAATGTCCATCTTCTTAACTGTTAATCAAAAGGAGCTGTTGTTGGCGAAACAGCTGTGGTATGGGAAATATCAGTCCAGCAACGTCAGAACACCAAAGCTTTAACCTAGTGATGTAAAACCGAGAACTCTTTTGAAGCAGTATATTGCTGCAAGTAGATTTGCAATGCAGTTCCTCTAATACATGGTGGCCATAAGGTAAATGGGAATTCTTGTAATCAGAATCAAATGTTTGTAAGAATAGATAAGCTTGCATTTGCATTTACAAAACGCTCTTCATGCAGGGAGCGTCTCGGAGCACTTAACAGCGGCGTGACTTGATGCTGAGCAGGAAAGGAGGAGGAGGTGTGATTTGAAGACAAGCAAAGAGTGGGAAAGAGGGAGGGATTGAGGTCCCGAGATTCGGGGCATAGTGGTTGAAAGCATAGCCGCCAATTGTAGAGTGGAGAGGACAAGGGACGTGCAGCAGACACGCCAGCTGAGTGAAAATGGCGAGAGTGGGGTGTGAGCAGAAAGGAGTAGGAGGCTGCTAGAGGATGCTACAACATATATCAGCCATGTGGAAAACACTCAGAGAAATACCTGAATAGTATTGCTGAAGGGCTGCAGAGGACCAACAGGGCTTTGGAGAAATTCATGAGCTTACAATTTACATGAGGTTAAAATGTAATTATAACCTCATGTAATGTCATGACGAGACACTAAACACTAACAGACTGTTTTATTATATGCCGTGAATCAATATGCTATACTATGTTTCGTCTCTGGTTACAATTATTTACAATTACAACCACTTTATCAAAGTCAATTCAGGAAGTGGCAGATTTGAATCTATCTATAAAGCTTTGCAGACAAGCATATCAGAGAATTTGACACATGAGCATATAGATCTGACTATTCAAGCAAGAGAAATACCCTCTACTAGTACTATTCAGGTAGTTGACTTCCAAGAGGCAGCTATATTTACGTTTGTTCTGAGCCACATATTAGCCATGTAACAACAATGAGAACAACAATGAGAACAATGCTGCAAAACAATAAGAACATTCGATGGCTCCGATAGAACAGCAAAAGTCCTAGCAAGTTGCTATAAAAGTTAGAGCTGTGCAAGAGTTTAAAGAACTCTTAGTGCATCTCCCTCAAATCGAGGACAAAGTAGGAACAGAGACAGAACACCATGGTCAAGCACACAGTTAGGTATGAGAAAACACAAATGAACCACAGCATATTTATTCACTGAACATAATAAAACTGTATTTGCATCTAGAGTCCAGATGCTTTGTTGCCACTGCTCAACTAAGTAATATGAAAGCATGAAAGTATTTCTCGTTTTATGTCTTATTCACAGATAATGGCTGAAAAGTTGCCTTTCACAGTACAGGCCATGGGAAAGGTAGAGCATCTCATAGAGAAAGAAAGCAAGGAAGGCAAGGTTAGAGAGAAATAATTGATGAAGTCCAGCCAGGCCCCACTGTGAATCATCCACTGCTACAAGCTTATTCTCACTGTTTCACCACACCCTGGCTTTGCTGCTCAGAGATGGTCTTGTTGTGCAACATGCCGCATACAACACCAAACTTGTTGACTTCAATGGGGTAAGACTGGAGAGTATTCCCCCAAGATGTTTAAAAGGGGTATAAATAGATATTTAATGGTGTGGCAAAAAGTGGGGAAAATAGGATTAAAAGACCTGCCATGATCTAATAAATTGGCAAAATAGGGTTGATGGGCCGATTAGCTTTTTCCTGTTCCTAAATTCCTGAGTAAAAGCACGTTTGAGGGTTTCGGGGCCTGCAGTGTGAGACAGTGGTGGAGCCGAGTGATGTTGCGGAGGTAGGGGAAGGCAGAGCAGATCATGGCACAGATTTGGGGTTGAAAGGATAGTTGAGAATCAAACAAGACTCCAAGGTTCTGGACTGGCTTAGAAAGGTGGAGTGTGCAACCATGGATGGTTATGCTGTCAGCGTCTGAGGTGTGGAGGCACTGACGGGAGCCAATCAGGAGGGCCTCGGTCTTGTTAACGTTCAATGGAAGAAAATTAGCTCTCATCCAGGACTTGATGTCTGACAGACATTCTGTCAGAACAACAGTGGTCCTGGAGTCAAGGGTGGAGGCAGAGAGGTACAGTTGGAGGTCATCCGCATACATGTGGAAGTTGACCCCATGTCTGTGGATGATTTCACCAAGAAGGAGCATTATCGATATTGAAGAGCAGGGGACCAAGGACAGAATCCTGAGGAACGCCGCACGAGACAGTATATGGGCTTGAGGAGAAACCGTTTGTGTAGATGAAGTGGAGGTGGTGTGAGAGGTACGATCTGAACCAATCAAGGACAGAGCCTGGAAGGTTGAGGTAAGAGGAGAGGCGGTGGATGAGGATAAAGTAGTCGATGGTGTCGAAGGTAGCAGAGAGGTCAAGAAGGACGAGGAGGCAGAGGGAGCGCTAGTTGCAGATGGACAGAATGTCATTTGTCACTTTGACCAGGACTGTTTCTGTGCTGTGGATAGCACGGAAACCCGATTTAAGGGGTTCATGAAGGGAGTGGCGGGAGATGAAGGTGCGAAGCTGGGAAGCAACAACTCGTTCCAAGACCTTGGAGAGTAAAGGGAGATTGCAGATGGGGCAGTAGTTGAGTGTAGAGATGGGTCCAGAGAGGATTTTTAAGGATAGGAGTGATGACGGCCATTTTAATGGGGAACACTACCAGTGGATAGGGAGAGGCTTATGATGTCTGTGAGCAGAGGGGCAAGGAGGTGGAGCTGGGAGGTAAGGAGAGGGATAGGGATGGGGTCGAGGGAGCAGGTGGTTGGTTTCATGCAGGTTATAGTGGTGGTGAGAGAGGAGTGGGAGACAGGTTTGAAGGTGTGGAGGGAGGGATGGGTAGGGGCCGAGCTGGGAGGGGGAGATGGGGAGAGTGTAGCAGATGGAAGGGCAGAGGCAGCTGAGCAGATCCCCTCGACTTTGGATTCAAGGAAGTCCTGCATCGCCTCACAGTTGGCATTGGAGGTGAGGATAGGTAAGGCGTGAGAGGGTGGGCAGAGGAGCTGATTGGTAATGGAGAAGAGGCGCCTGGGGTTATCTTTGGCCTCCAAGATTGTCTTGGAATAGTTGGAGCAAACTTTATGACGGAGGTCAAAAGTCTAAAACCTATTAGGATTTCATCCCCCATATTCTCTAATATGATGATGATCAAACTGGCCATTGAGATATTTTATTCATCGGTAATTTGATTCTATAAAATGAGTAGTTTTAAAGGACAAAGCTATTGCCTTATCTTTAGAAAAGTAAAAAAACACAATGCCCCTGGTTCCTCCAGTTAAGCAATACTGTATGCATCTTTCTGTCTGGAGGATATTGACTAGCTTACCTTTGGAACGTGTTACTTGTGACAAATGAAACTTTCCTTGCCAGCAGATCAAGCACAGCACAAATAATGTGAAAGCCCCCACACAGAACACTCGAAGGCAAGATTCACTTGATGTCCCAGGGAAGATTTTCCTCTTTTCCTCAAGTAGGAGGTTTTTATTAAACTTCAGTTCAGCCACACTATTTTTAACAAGCAAAGGCTTCAGAAAAGAAGGCAATAAATGGAGAGCACGAGTTGTTCTACTTGGTTGAAGTTCCTGAGCTGTACAGTAATGGGAAAGGTCTTGGAGAGAAGACTGGAGCATGAGTTCTTCATCGGGTTGCATTTCCAATCTTTAAATAAGAACACAAATTTAGAGATTCAAAAACTGAACAGAATATCCATTAACAAAGTTACTCTATTAAAAAAATTATGTGTCCTTTAGCTGATTGTTCCAATGTGTGTTTCACTCTTCACTTTAAAATCAAGTAAAATATAAAATGTGAACAACGTGGAAAAAATACTATGTAATCATTTACATTCTATTATATTGAACATTTGGACCCAAAACAAACGCAGTAAGTTAAAAGATTTACTTTTGGTTTCTCCCAAAATACTTTACAACAGCTGCATCATGTACGAGTTACAGCATTCAGAGGATGACATTGTTTCCAAGGAAAAATAAACAAAAGGTTTTAAAGCATCCCTATGGTATCTGAAATGTAATATTTTGCTTTGTGAAGAAATAAAAGAGTGAATCTTACAGACAGAGCAGATATTCTGTACCTCATTAAGGAAAAAAAATCATACTCCCTAGTCTCTTGATTAGAGTGAAATCTTCACGTATCAGGAAGTTTCAACAAAGAGATTAATAGATTAACATTGTTGAATATAAAATAAACCTTTAGCCCAGAAAGATGCAAATAGTTCTGATTGGTTTACCTTTGTTGTAGTAGGTTCTCATCTGCAGAAACTCTATATGGTGTGCTTTTCTCCCAAATGTAGGGCATAAACTATTTCATTCCTTTCAGTCGGTTTCCTCCTTATGGTCCCATGACATCTTAGACAATACTCTGCCAAATTAAAACACGGCAGAATATAACATTCCTACTAATAGGCTGAAAACTGCAAATGCAAGCAGTGCCAATGGACACTTTTTTAAACGATCTGAGAAACAATTCTAGGATTTAATTAAGCTTTACTGAATAACTCTTGCTGAACAACTTTGCTCTCATTTCAGGGAATCTGCGCAGCTGCATCTATTTGCCAAGTTTATTATTTTATTTTCAAATAATGTTGAAAAGGGATTGCATGACTTCGCCCTAGGGTGGGAACCAGCTGCACTTTATTTTTTCCTGTCAAAGACACAAAGCTAATAAAGTTTGAAGGTCACCAATTGTGAGTTTGGAAGGAGTTGCATCACACTGTAAGAGCATTGAAGCCGTAGGAAAATCAACGTGAACTTAACGTGTCTCAGTCTTTCAAGTTTAAATCTCATGAAATTCATCATCTCCTTGATTGAAACGTTTAAAAGCGTAAATAAGCGTAAAGTACTGATAGGAAAATATCTCTGGAACTTTTTATTTCTATCTCAGTATACTCTTAATAGGTTGCTCCAAAACACTCTTAGAGATTTCAAGAACTGCCAGGATTGAAGCCATTACTGGTAAGAATCCTGATGACAGTCCCATTAAATCTTCTGGTTTATGGTGTGGCCAGTGATGCCAGCGCTGTGATAGGATGCTGATTTTAGGAAAAAGGGGTGGAAACTGTAATACGTTTTGATTTTAGGAGATTAAGCAGATTCTTTCCCAATTCATTTCCATTTGTGGCTGCGGATAGGAAAGACAAGGCAACCCCCCCCCCCCCACCCCAACCCCAACTTTGGCCACATTCATTGTGTTTCCAAAGCCAAAACAAAATCCACGTGGCACAGTTGGTATCCCCCGCATCAATGATTGATTGGGACGCGACGCCTTTACGCATCACTTTAAAGGAAACAATTGCACTGGGAAATCTTTTCCTGCTATTGCAGTGCAAACACACACCCCCCCTCCTCCTCCTCCTCCCCCTCCAGCAACTCGAAAAAAGAAACAAAGAGAGAAAGCACATTTTGGGGGGTTCTCAGCTGCGCGAAAAGGGTAAAGAGTTTTTTTTATATATGTATAAAAAAAACTTACTGACTTGCAACAGGTTCCCTCTCCAGTGCCAGCGGTCGGTTTCACGCAGCCATCACAACGCTTCCACTGTGTTTGTGGGGGTGTTAAAGCAGTTCGTGGGTTTTTTTTTAACAAGTTGTGCTGTTGGGACCGTGTGACGAGGATTGACGATCATATAAGCCTCGTTTCCAGAGTTTCATTAGACCAGAGCTCATCTTTCACTTGCTGCAAAGTTCAGATAGAGAGAGGGAGAGAGGGAGAGAGAGAGAGAGAGAGAAAAAAAACCTGATGCTCCAAAAGCCAAACGTCCTACTTTTCACGAATCCTGATGGAAAAAGATTTCAGGTTTCTGGTACTTGTTCAAAACGTATTCAAGGTCAACCTCTCTTCTTTTTTAAAAAAAAAGTAGAAACAGAATCTTTCCGGACATAAATGTAACACGCTTCGAGTTTAAAGATTTACAGCCTATCTCAGCATCAGGTCTTGAAGAGTTTGGTTGGAAGTGGGTGTAATTTTATATGGTTTTAAGTAAACATGACTGAAATGCAAGTCACAGGTATGAACGTTAATATTAACATTAGTTTCACTGTTAATATAGCTTTACACCGTTTGGACATTATGAATCACACATCAAATATCACTCCTAAGTCTCTTTAAATTTCCAATCCACACACATAAGCTGCTTTGTTTTGAAAATCCTCTGTATGCACTTGCGCCTGAGGTAGCAGAGAAATATTTCCAATAAGAGACGCAAAAACAAACCTCAGAGGGGATTTGGCCAGTATCCTTTCTTGCAAGAACTTTCAGACTGGAATTGGCAGTGAACTCAAGACTATCTATTTGCACAGATTCAAATAAATATCTCTGGAATTTTCACGTGTAGGTGGGATGCACGGAACTCTGTTTGGTTTGGATACTCTTAAGCCTGGTGACAGGCTGACCCAAAAAGAATTGCATGGAGAAATGAAAAAGGAGAAAAATATAAAATCTTAATTAAAAAACGTTTCTCCAGGGTAAGGAGGCCTGTATTTGTTTTATGTCCGTCAACAGTCGAAATAAAGGAAATATACAATTAGGCAAGTATTTCAAATGTTTAATTCGAGTTTTAAATCAGGTTTTTGGGGGAGGGGGGAAATCATACCAAATGACATACACCAATTGTGTGATTTTTTTTCTCAATTCTTACACAAATGTCTCAGTGAACTTAACAATAATCAAAAGTTTCATACTATTAAATTCCATGCATCCTTTATTACATTTGCAACTATTTGTTGCATATACACAAAGAAATATGTAATCAAATATACAGCAATCTGAGGCTTACAGTACATTTAAGGCTTTGATTTTTATCTAGTAGTGTTATTCCTTGTCTCTTGCATTATTGATGCATACTTCAATGTAATTCCAGTGTTAATCATACCACATTAATATTCTCATATCATCTGATGTCCAATTAAACCCGCAAACTACATTGGTTACTGTAAAAATACAGCTGTGTAAATTTATGACATTACATTTTTAACAAATTTTAAAGGTTACGTGTGGTTGATGAATTCAGGGTAAAAATACAGTTACAATTATAAATCAATCACTTCACAGAAAAAGGATGCATCAAATTAGGCAGTTATTACATCGTATTCTCATTACCTTTTGAAACAAACAACGTTTATATAACTTTGAAAGATACCATTTACAAACACTGCAATTTACCAAGACACCATTTTCTCCAATATGAATTTCAATTGGGATTATGACTGAAAGTATGCTAACATATTCCAAAAGAGCACATTTACTATATTTTAAAACTTTATTCAAAATAGTTCATAAATTTACACAAAGTATTCAGCTTACATGCCAAGGTTCGCACCATCAGGAAATTACTTGAGGTTTTATGGTTTTGTATATTAAACATGAAGGAAAAAAGATAGTGTTGAAACATTAAGAAGATTCAGAAGAACACTGATATTTTGTTAGCAATGAAATGGAATCTTCAGCGGTTTCTCTTTCCAAATTAATTTAAAATATTTGTAGGTACAGTACTTTGCAAGGCAAGGACAGAAATGTCACAAGTCTGATAAATATACAGATCACATTTACCAAACTGGATAAATCAAATCCTTCAATGGGACTTTTTAACCTATGAAATCATTATCATACAATCTACCATGTTACTCAGGAAAAACTCCCATTCCATGAACAAAAGATATTACAGTTAAACCTGTTTAACATACAATTGTATCCAGAATGTTAGCAGGTAAACTACAATCCCTGATGTACAGACTATGATTTTAAGGAATGCAAGGGACAAAGTGGAAAGAAAGCATTGATGACGATCAAATGTCTTTGCAGAATTACAGTAGATGAACAATTCATGTGCAAGGTACATGGAATAAATGAATTTTCCTGGTATAAAAAGACTGAGATTTCATTCGGTGTTTCAGTTTGAATAACCCTGAAAGTTAATAGCCTTTGTATAGGATACAAAGCTATGAGCTATCCAGTTAAAGTATGTGCAAATACTTCAGTCCTTCCGTTCACATTGGCCTAGGGAACTTCCATACAAGAGTCTTCAAGAGCTGGGTAGTTCATGAGATATGAATTGCTTCAGTCTTTCAAGATACTGTGCATAAAGCTCAATGTCATTATGCCCTGCTCCCTCTACCCAGAGGGGCTCCACTGCTTTTGGGCATTGCTCAAACATTGCAAGACCATGGGAAAAATCAATCACCTCATCTTCAGTACCATGAATTACCAGCACAGGTGAAGCTACCTTGGTTATCTTGTCAATGCTGAAAGATAAGTGAAAGTTGAGAAATAAAAATAGTGGCATAATATTAAACATCAACATGAGGTCTGATTACACTAGATTTATGGACTGAATAATCAGAACACAAATATTAATAATCACTTTGGGTTACAGTATAAATGATTAACTTGCAATGTATTACTCACCTTTCTCTAATTAATGGCATGCAAACCGATCTTACTTTCTGTACTATATTTGCACAGTATCCCAAACCATATACATAACTCAGGGAAACATGACAATCTTTCATCTGATATACTGCCTTTCACATCAGGAGGAAAGCGGATAGGATATATTGTAATGTTTAATGATTGTATTTTGTCGACAAGCACAGTAACCAATTTGCACACGGCAATGACCCACGAAAGCTGTGAAGTGAAGGATCTATTTTATTTTGGAAATTGTCAGTCCGAAACTGGGAGAAACTTTTCTCTTTGAACAGTGCCATGGGATCTTTTGCATCCACCTAAATAGGCAGATGGGACCTTGCTTTAATGTCTCATCCAAAGGACAGCTTCAACAATACAATGCACCTCCCAATCTTATAGTAATTTACAAGATCAATGAAGTAAACTGAAGGCCACATGACAAGAGGGCACAGAATTGTAAAGGCAATATTTAGGGTATCAGAAAATAGTTTATTAGACTACAGATCAACACTTGAATAGGCTATCAGGATAGGTGGCCAAAATACTGGAATCATTTAAGAAACAGCTTGATGTTGTTATGAAACGACATTGAGGCTGGTGTTCTGAAGAGAGGAGATCAAACGAGCCAAAGGGCCTTCTTCATCTGAATCTCTCGTGCTGTAATGCACAGCTGATGATAATCACTACGAAATCAAGCATTTTTGATCCACCAGTTACGTAAATAGGAATGAGAGAAGCATTATAACACACAAGATGTCATGAGGAACAAAATTGTAACTAATCACATGTAGAATTTGTACAACTAAATAGAACCGCATGACAAACAAGCGATGCTTTAGAAATTTTGATCTTGCTACATGAGGCCAGTAATGACCTTCAATTTGTGTGTGAACAGAGATCACCAAGCCTCAAGAAAAAATAGTAGAAATCTTTCACAAGGAAATATGAAGTGTAGGAAGATATTATGATCTAGTATATATAAGATTAAGAGTAAATAAGCTACAAGTGGAAAAATATATAAGCTCAATGGTAACAGACTATTGGGCACAAAACATGAGGAATCTGAGGTACGGGTGAACAATTCTATAAAACTATGAGTCCAATATGTGAAAGCAGTTAAGAAAGCAGTACTCGTAACTTTTTTTAAACTTAAAATTAGACACGCTGCAAGAAAACTCCTCACACATTATGAATGGTACAGCTTTAGGTAAGATCCAGTTTTCATCGTGCAATTTCATTTTTTTTAAAAACATAAAATAAAGGAACTGGATTTTTCATGATCTGGCTTGAACTCATCTATCCTGCGTTTTGGTTTATCTTAAACAGTTAATCTTCCAGAACTAATCACAACTATGCTAACCACCATAACACAGCCAGCATTCATTTTCCAACATTATCGAAGTTAAGAGTGAGGAACAGATTTTGCAGTGCAGAGAGTTATAAATAAATATACATGCTTTATCTACTCAAACAAAAATCCATAAAGAAACATTACTGAACTATAACACAAATCTGCTTAGCTAAGTACCTTTACTTAAATCAGAGCAAATGCTTTTCACCCTAAAATATATACAAAGATTAGTCTTTGGATGAATCGGAAACCCTTGGCACTATAAAAAATTACATCCATTCACTTAAGATGGTTTGCCACCCAATATTTTGAACGTTCAGTCAATTTTTAAGCAAGAAGTCTGAATATCCAGACTGCAAGATACAGCTTTGATTTCAACCTGGAATTTCTTGTTTGCATAAGTGCAGAGACAAAGTTAGAGAATATCTGCTGAATAAGAGTTGCTGGAGCAGATTTTGAACAATGAAAAATCTCTGACATCCCCTTTGCCACTCCAGCAGAATTTCTCAAATCTCTTTTTGGCCATAGCAATTCATAGGCCAAGTTCAAACTTCTGTCTGGAATTCAGAATGTTCACGTTAGGAAAGCACACTGTAGTACCAGGTATGTTAAATGTGGTCCTGCAAACCTACGTGTCCTTTTGTAAGCACAAATATTAAAGTTTAAAAAGTTGATGACGCAATTAATAAAAGGACACAATCTTGAGATGCTCTCACCCGATGTAAACTACCAAACTGATGCTGGTTTGCCTGAATTATAATCCACTAACAGATATAGTACTTTCATAGGAAAAGCACGAGGTCCACACAACTACATTCAATGCAAACTTCTAAGGTAATGGCGGTTTGGCTGAATTATAGTGCACTAAATAAATAAAGTGCTATCACAGGAAAAGCACGAGGTCTGCAGAATTACATTTCTTATAAGGTTGTACTCCAGTTTGTAATAGCATCAACTAAATTTCATTCATATTTCATTAGGTCAATATTTTTAAGTAAGAAAATGCAAACCACAATTTTTTTTTAACTTTTTACATGTCTGAAACTATAAATTTGAACAGCATCTAAATAATAGTTTAGCAGGCAACAATTGGGGAAATCTCACTTTTCTAGTGTTTATAAATACATTATTACATAAATAACAGAAATTGAGTTGCTGATCAAAGTAGAAATAAACAGCTACCTACTCACAATTTAAGCTTCAAATTCTCATGTTCACCTACATGTTCGTCAGAAATGTAATTAACATTTTTCAGTATTGTCACTACAATTACCAATACTAGATTCAACATTCAATACATTTACAAACATCTGGTGGCTTGTAACACACTGGAAGTATTAATACTAGAAGATAAGAAACAAAACACTGAGAAGTGGTAGATTGCAAATCAATTTCTCAATTGGCTTAGGTTAGGTTTTACTGAAAATACAGCTTACAAAATAAGGTAACATTTTGCAGTCCTTTAACTGATATATATATTTATGTAATTTTTTACCTAATTTCACACATGTTGCAGTTAAGCACACTAACCTTGGAAATGCATCAAAGCAGTATGTTTTCCTTGTATCAGGGAATGCCACCCGCAAGCCAGACATGAGAGGAGAATGGAGGATAACAGCTGCACATTCGTAACGCGATGCCAGATCTACTGTGGGAACAGTACCGATGCTCTGCCCATACAAAATGATGTTCTCAGGGCAAACACCATACCTAAAAGAGAGTACAAATCACATATATTAGAGTAAATCATGTCAGTTTACCTGCTTTCAGGAGGCAGTTGTTTTTTTGTTTGACTGCAGGTCATGCACCAAAGAAGAATAGGCCATATTAGAGTTTTTGTTTGCATCACAAACAGAGAACACCCAAACTGAAAAATACAGATTTTCCCCTTCATGCCATTTTGATTCATATCAAAATTTAAAGGGAACTGGGAAAACATTCTGAAGAGGACCAATTTAAACGTCAGCAGGTGAGAGATAAACAGCTTCTTTAATGAATCAAAAACTGGCTGACTGCAGGAAGCACAGGCACATAAAGCTGCAATGACTTGGAAGTAGACATACAAGAAATACATCTTTATCCATTCTCATTAACATGACAAGCATACAGTATGATATTTGAACAATTAACATCAGTGTTGAGAATTTAACAACTTTTATAATTTAACACTCTAAAGAAATACATGTTATTTTATTGGCTCCTATAATGTGAAATTATGAAACCGAACCATCTTAATTCTTTACCTCTTCGATTACTTCAAACTGAAGTAAAAATTATTCACATCATAACTGAAACTGATAAACTTACTTAATTATTCAATGGATGTACAGTACAAACATCTACTTAGTTTTGACATGACCTAAACTGTAACAAATGAAAATTAGCCAGATGCAGTAATTGTACTAATTACTGTCACATGTCTGGAAATCTTTGCACAATGCTACCTTACACCAAAACACATACAATGCAGTGGTACTCACTATAACATGATGAGGCTTTTAAGTTATTTTGCCCAAGGAGGATAGCTTGAATAAAACTTAGGAGCCCAAAATAACAAGTGTCTTTTTAATCTTCATTTTAAAACAATAGAACCAGATTAACCTGATATTTTGAATAGCTCTATGAATGGGTATACAGCATATGCAACCCAATACACTCATGTCCATTTGATTCTCACATGAATCAAATGGATATGAGTGTTTTGGGTTTCATATGTACAATACCCAAAGGAAAAGGGGAGAGCTAAAATATTTTATGCATGAGAAACTTGCATTCAATTTAAGGGGGAAAAAACCTCTCCTATGAAATATATATCAAATATATACAGTAGATTCCACGCCAGAGGCTATCTATACTGACACTAACTGCAGGTTTATTTTCTTCAGTCAGAAGAAACACTTGACAAATATAAGCCTGTTCTATGTAATCCCTTTCACAAATGGCAAGTTTGCAGAAATTAATCTAAGTGGCTACTGCTTGTATAATACTCTCAGAATTAAGATACTTAACTATAGGAAATTGGTCAAAGAGCTTGCCAATAGAGGCTCAAACAAAGAATTGCTTCTTGGGCAATGTAGCAAAGGTTCACGGTGTATGTGAAATCATAGCTGAATAGTTCACCAGAGTGAAAACAAGGGAGAATATGGTTGGGTGGGTGGGGGGGGAGTTTACATATGAATTGTAAACAGTTATTTAAAGTCAAGCAGCCACTAATAATTCAACTAATATTAAATCTGAATCCGAGTTTATAATCCTGCCTCTGGTTAAATTTTCAGTGAATCCCAATTTAGAATATACTGTATTCTCTAAACAAGAGTTAACTTCTAGATCGGACACCAAGTATCCTTTACTAAGAGAAAGCATTCAAAGTCCAGGGGCAGGCTAAGAGGCATGGATTGGAAAGTGATGGAAAATAGCTCATTCAAATGGGTATGGCACAGTTTACAAGACTCCATAACTGATAAGGGGATGTGCACATTGCTCCTGTCAATTCAACTTTGATTTAAGCAGATCTGCAACAATCCAAGACATTATTGATAGTTGAGCAACCTATTGGTTTAATCAGTGTTAATTCAGAAGTTAACATGGCATCATCCAGTTCGTTGTCTTAGCTCATTTCTTTCTCTATGCAATTTTCAGCATGACCATGCACAATTCAATCTGCTACTTTTCAGATTCGATTTTCTTTTGAGCTTCAGTACCACAGTAGAAATGTAACTGCTCAATAAACTATTATACTGTACAACACATGAAATTCACAGCCATTAGTTGCAAACTTAAAACCATGTATTTTCACCCGCAGTGAAATAAGCCCTCAGTAACTTTTATGACTCAAGGGAATGTTTCATTTAAAATGACATATGGCAAATAAGTCTTCTCTGGTGTGGCTTTAAAATTCTAAATACAGGGTGCAGAGTCCAAGTAAATCGCTGTAGTTCACGTCAAAGTTGAGTCAAAAGGGGCAATGTGCACACACTTAAAAGAAAACTATCAAAATGATAGGCTCTAAATAAGCAGGTCGTCATATCTGACCCAGCAATTAAGTTGTAAGTACATAACATGCCAAAGAACCAAACAAATTCTTGATTCATGCCCTAAAACTATAGCATTTCAATAAGGCAATCCCTACCACATGGCACCTATGTAACAGTTTAGTTCATCTTGCAGCACGTTTGCCTCTGTATCAGAGGGCTGCATTGTCAAAGATACCAGCGAGGTCTGCCTATTTGGGTGGACATGGCACTTGTCGAAAAAATAAGGGATTTTCTTCCGGTATTCTGGCCAGAATTCACAGATAAAATGTGTCATTTAATTCACGATGAAGCATTGATATGCATAAATTGACTGACACAATCTGCCTACAAACACACTGAATAGTAAATCCTATGAAGCACTTTAAAGATTTTGACTACATGATAAGGTACTATATCAAATGCAAGGATTATTAGATTATTGTGAGTACAAGAGTACAAGAGGTCAGGACTTGAGTTCATAGTCTATGTGGGCACTCCCTGCAAGGTTTCACGATTTAGCCATTGGACTCTGAGGGAAATAAAAAATAAAGTTATGTGTACAGAGGAAATTAAACTCAAGGAAGTTGATAAGATAGGCGGGTGAAGAAGAGACACAGTGTGGAGAAGATACAAAACAGAGCCCTTATGCCAACACATGACATAGGAAAACCAAAAGAAGCAAGATAAAATAAGCCACTTGACACAAGGCCTATTACGCTGAAACATCTCAAAGAGTTCTACATATAATTGCTGTCAATTGTAGTGACTGTGTCTTTGGAAGCAAACAATTCACTATCTCAACTGCAAAAATCTGCTGCTATCTTTTAATTCAGCTTCAGAGCAAACCAGTTATCTCATGGCACTGAGCCTTACATGCCAGAAATTAATTTTGTCACTGCTTGGTACAAAGTCACAGCAACAGCAGTAGACCTTCACACTTACAGAAGTGATCACTCAGTACAATACAGCATCTGGCCTTCATCACAAAACTGAATTGAATACCCAATTGTCCCAAAAGAAGCAAATAATGTGTTTTGATAAAAAAAAGCCATTTATCTTTATCCTCAGGAACAAGTACTGTGCTTTGCCCACTCTGTTTCCACCAATATCTTCACTTGCACCCCTATAATCTGCTGCCTTGAAGACCAAGTTGAATATGACCTAACAAATCAAGCATTTTGTGTGTTCCATTTCTTTCAGATTTCAGATTAACTTGCTCTGAAAATCTTAGTATAAATTGGCTTTATTCCACTAAGAACATCAGAAAACTGAACATGGACTAGATGGATATTCACCCTAAGCCATAACTTGCCCACATTTCTTTTTTGTTTGCCAATTTTTCCTCCATCCTAAAGGCAGTAAATTGCTGGAATGCGTTTCTTGGATACGAGAAGCCTTCTGGTATCTAGAACTGGCTATTCTCATTGGGTGAGCCTAGACAGGACTCATCAGCATGTTATTTGAGAGAGCTTACTGGAGGACATTATAACCCCTAGATTGTTTTCTCCACAACGTACTTTTCAGCAGGGATCACTGGATGGTAAAGCTGCAGTAGGAACCCTAGTTATTTTTCTCTTTCCAAGCCCAGAGATGTTTGGGCAAATTGGAAACACTCCCAACTGTTGTCTTCAATAAGATCATCTAACTGTAGGCTAGATCAGGAAATTTCTGCTATTTATTCAGAAAATAAATAAAACAAATGTGTTGAGTAACCAAATGCTACAATATCTCAGATGTCTCTAAAAATGTATTTCCATTATATGTTGCAATCTTTTCATCAACAGATTAGTCGTTTTGATTAGATATCCTACAGTATTACAGAAGATATACAAGTAGAAAAATACCATCAGAATTTTCATTGCAAGCAAAACTGAGCAAAGTCAAAAAATCACTCATATTTCTGCTGACAACACAACTAAGAACCATATGGTAAACTGCAGGAGGCAAGAGGCCTACTTACAAACAAGTTATAAATTACAATACCACAGTGCGCCTTCACTAATTAGGAAAATTGTTATGTAACGCATCTAATTTCCAAGCCAAGTTTCAGGCCCAGACAGATGCACGCAATCCAATCCTAAAAGATTTCACACATTTATACCTTAGGAATGTATGAAGACAAACATTTGCATTGCTATCAAGTCCGACACTTACTTATTTTTAAACTAAAAATGAAGTTAACATTTTATTCTCTGCATTTTATTTTTATCATGTCAAAACACTTTTTTCTGTAAATTATGTTGTATTTATGGGCAAACGTGGCAGCCAATTTGCACACAGCAATATGGCCGGGAGTGAATGTCCAATTTTCTATCTGGGTCAGGTCACTGTGAGAAAATACGGTACTTTCTCTTTTTGAATAGTGTCATGAAACATCCACCTGAACAGTTCTGGCTTGAACACTGTTCCTCACGGCATCATGATTGAACCGTCATTAAAACTGAGCTTCAAACACTAAAATCCAAGAAGGAAATATATATATATTTTGCTGCAGAGGAAAATGCCCTCTTGAGGCAGTTAGTCTTAGATGATAAATGTAATAAGAATTACATTTGTCATGCAATACTTTCATTGATATTCTCATATGTCCTGATTTATTGAAGGAAAGTCAAACTAGGATGTAACAGAAGTAAAATAAATCAAATGAATGAAAACAAATTATTTAAAGATTCTGGTTACAAAATATTCATATTTTCACAAGTTGGACAGATACAATGACAGATCTGGGGGAAATATTATCTTCAATTTCTGAAACTATTTAACAATCCCTCAATCTTAACTTAATAATAATCAGAGGTTGATGTGATTGCCCACATATTTATGAAAGTAGAATTTTCAGGAAACTTATAACTAAACTGATTTCTGAGGTTATACTGAAACAAATGTACAATACTTTGCATCATCCTAACCCATTGTTTATGAAACAATGTCATTGTATGGGAAAATCAATACTGCATGCCACCTTTGCAAATAATCATTAACATTAGTTTTGTACTGCACATAAATGATCATTCTACACTTCTACATGTGTTAATATGTCCATAGTCCAATGATCACAATTAACAGTGGGAGTAAAAGTACTTGGCAGAATGCTTCAGTGATGTTATAAGAGCCTTAGGAAAGCACATCAAAATCTCTTTTGATATATCTCTTGTGTCTCAACATAGCCGTTTATGTTCATCCTTGGAATAAAATGTGGGGGTTTAATTTGTTAACATTAATTGGCGCCCAGATAAGTCATAGATATTTGATGAAATGAAATACATGTTGGAATGCTTTACGGACAGTATTAGGATAGAACAGCTCCCTTCCCTCCGTTAACATTAAAAATACTAGGTATACCATTTATAACAACCTTGACATTCCGTGGTCTAATTTACAGATTGCAATACCAATCATGTGCAAAATTTGCTGACTTGGTTGACCATGTGCAAACTCAAGCATACAGAGGGAGTTATGGATGCTGTTAATTATGGAATTAACCAATGAATAGAAGTAATGGGATTATTGATGATTATATGACGATTTACATTGGTTGTTAAATACTATTAACGAAGAGCACCTGTATGTATTTGCACACAGTAGGCCCAAACCCTACATTCTGCAGGTAGGCTGTTGCCTCAACTCACAAATTAGACCCCCAAAAGTTCTAAATTAAGAATTATATTTGTTTGAATTCTTCAGATCTATTTAAAAGATCTTACTTCTATCAATCACCATCTTGCATTAGTTCAAATGGGTAATTTGGTTGCAAAGAGCAATTTCTGGAAATGCTGACAGTGATCTTTTAACAAAACAAATCCGCTGAGCTTTCTTTTATTTAATTCATAATTCTAGATATGCAATCACATGGGACCTTTCCTCCAATTTTCCCTTCCTCCCTGTAACTCCAGCGCTTGAAGCCTTAGCCGGGGTCTGAAGCACTCCCACAAAGGCATCCAAGTGTGAAAGCCGGATGAGACTGCAGTGCTCAAAACAATAATACAATAACAGGGCAGCAGCTTTGTCCACAAAAACAATCTATTGCTTTCACAACATAATAGGGAATAATATTATTACTGAACCTTACAAAAATACTTATTTGCTCAGGTAGTTTGTGGAATGACTGCATTGGAAGGTTCCTGCATATATGTAGCAGTACAGAGCAGTGAAAGTGTGTTTGGGATATCCTCTCAACTTGAAAAGTGCCATATAAATGCAATTTGTTGTTCTAGTTATTGTTGTTTCATGGACATTGTCATTGGAGCTGGACCTACCTTAAATTACTTTGGTAAGTTAAACTTGTGCATCTTAATATTACTGATGATCTCAGATCATAAGACCAAGATTTAAATTTAGATTTATTTATTTTTTAAGTAGAAGGAATGGCAGCACTACATCGCAAACTTGAGTCTATTTGATTCTTACTTAGAATCATTTATTTCATTCAAAATAAACACAGATATTCTAAGTTTCAAAAAGATTCATATGGAAATGTAAAGATTACATTAAGAAAATTTCTATTGGTATAATATGTATTTTGACTAGCATTTGTCTGGCTCTGAGCAGAGGAATTTGACCAGGTATGCTTCTACTTCCAAGCGATGGTCTTTGGAATAAATGCTGCATGTGCTTTATAACTAGCACATATTTAGCAGTGAATACAGAAATTTGGCTGCAGGTATATCTGTACTTCCAACAGATGGTCTCATGCCACTTCAGCTGCAGGTGTAATATAATAATAATTCTTGCATTTGATACAGCACCTTATTACATCCTTGAGATCTGAAAGCTCAATAGAATATACTGTAAAATGAATTGACTGTATATTTTGTGGGCGAAACGAGGCAGCCAATTGCACACAGCAGTGTCCCACAAACATTTGTGGATTGAGTGGCCAATTTATTATTATTTTTTATGTGTACTCAACAAACCACCAAAATACAGTCCTATTTGCGTAATGGGACTTTGAGCTCATTGACTAGGCAGGCACACCACTGCATCGGTAAGACCTGCATTGTCAGAGATACTGGTCTTCGGATGAGACATTAAGCAGAGATCCTGTCGGCCTTCTCAGGTGGATGTTAAAAGATTCATTGGCACCGTTCAATAAGAGAATAAAGTTTCTCCCAATGTCCTGACCAACAATCTTCTGGATAAAATTGGTCATTCGCTTCATGGCTGATGATGGGGGCACTGCAGTACATAAACTGGCTGCCACATTCACCTACAAATGCAATCACTAACACTCTACGGTGAAATCCCGAAGCACTTTGTGGAGTGAGTTCTGACGATATAAGGCGCTCCGTCAAATGCAAGGAATTATATTAATGTTAACATTGGATCCTAAATGCTATAAAAAGTCTTACTGTTTTAAAAAGGATTGGTGCTGGCTGCTTACACTTTACTCACTCACTTCTTGCCCAGGTGGAGTTCATTGAAAAATCTACTTCTGTTGGAATCTGTTGAAAGTGTCTGGTTTCTCCTTCAAATATCACCAGTTTATGTTTTTTTTAAAAAAATAGACCAGGGGGTGGGTGGGTGGGTGGTGGTGGTGGTGGTGGGGTGAGGGATGATGATGAGTAAATTTCATTGCAAGTTATTCACGAGCCGAACAAAGGATAAGATGTGCCCTTTTATAACTTGGATCAATACACAGGCACCAGGGCCTTCAGTCTGAGCACAAAGTCAAAAGCCCGCATTCCTTTAATGGACAGAAGACTGAAATCTTTCGAGGCAGCAAGAATAACGATGGGAGGGGGAGGGGAGGGAGTGGGCGGCGATGCCATCCCCTCCCACCCATCCACCCACCCACCGCCGAGTTATTTGTACGGTTATCGGTCTCCCACTGACCTTGTCCTGAGCGCTGTCCACGCAGCGTCTATGTCAGCGTAAAGGTTTTTCTCTGAGGGTTTCCCACTGCTGCCCCCGTAACCTGAGTAATCGTAAGAGAAGATGTTGCAGTTGATGCGGGAGCCCAGGCCGATGTAGAAGCTGCACATCTGGCCCAGGTCGACTGCGTTGCCGTGAGAGAAGAGCAGCGTGTACTTGGAGGCCGGCGCGCAGCGGACGAACATGCAGCAGAGGCGACTGCCCCGGCCCGTGCGGGTGAAGAAGACCTCGAGGGCGTCGAGCTCCCGCTGCGAGTACTGCCAGTCGGCCCGCTCCGACAGGTGCAGGGTGGACGCGCCGCTCGACTCGTCGTCGGCCAGCACCGTGTAGGTGGCCTCGGGGGGCAGGAAGGCGAGCTTGGCCGCGATGCGGCTCGGGCAGGGCGGGCAGCAGAACAGCCAACACAGCTCGCCGAGCGAGAAGCCGTTCATCCTCGGGCCTCGGCGGCGGCGTCGGCGGCGGCTGCTGCTGCTTAACCCGGGCTGGCGGCGCGCGCGCGTGGGTGGGGGAGGGAGGGGGGAGGGAGGGGGCGCGGCAGTTACCAGGAGACGGCGGCGCGAGCTGGTGTGTGTGTGTGTGGGGGGGGGGGGGGGTGAGGAGGAGGCGGGGCCTCGCGCGCCTGCGCGTGCGCGCGCGACACCCAGCGCGAGACCAGCCCCCGAAATAACGGCTTTTCTTGCCCCGCCCCCCCCCTCCTCAGCGGCTCTGGCGCTGCCGCGTGGCCCACCCACCCCCGGCTCGAGCCGCAGGACGGAGCGCGGGAGAGGTGGTTACCCGTCGCGGCTCTTAGTCCAGCGGTTGGAGACGAACATCACTTCCCTCCATCCACACACACACACACACACACAAAGGAGATGGGGGGGGGAATGGCTGTTACCGTGGACGCCAACGTCGACGAGAGGCTTCTAAGGTACGGGGGAACCCTCGCCCGCGCCGAGCTCGGTGCTCAATGGGAGTCAAGGGAGCGGGTGAAGGAGCGAGACCCCGGTGTGTGGAGTACAGGCAGCGGCACCGACCGACCCGTTTGGCCCAGTTGGCCTGTTTCCCCCTCCTGTACGTTTCTGTGTCAAACCCGGACCCTTCCCGCTTGCCCTGGGCTCAGCTGTTCAGGCTCTCCCCCACCCCCCAAAACTCCCTTTGACTTCCTTCAAGACCCCGTCTCAAGACCCTCCTCGACCATGACTTCGGTCACCCTCCTTCCCCTCCGGATCCCAACCGCCGTCTCGGGTGCGGATTCCTGATTGCCCGGCGCCTCCCGACGTCGTCCTGATGCGAAAGGCGCTATACAAATGTCATTATTATTATTATTATTATTATTATCCTTGCATTTGATATAGCGCTGTTCACGTCTTCTAGATGTCTCTTAAGCGCTTCACAGAATAGACTGTAAAGTTGATTGACTGTATATTTGTGGGCGAAACGCCACAGCCAAGTGCGCACAGATACTAAACAAACTGCCGCGCTGTTCAGGTAAAGTGTTCAGCCTCACACTTGGCTCGGTGGAATCCACCGGTGTCCCTAACGGTCTGACAAACACACACGCAAAAAAATTCACGCCGACTTTTCTCTTAATCCGCCAGTGGGTCACTTCACGAGATCGGTTCAGATGGACGAGGTTCTTCGGCCCGTTTGATCTCGCCCTTTCCAGAAATGTTCATTTCCATCGTCCCGTCACAGCAACACGCTGTCACGCAATGAGTCCAGTCGCTTCTCACCCACCACCCTCGAAAATGCAGCCCAAATCTTCAACGGCACCGTTGTCACCTCCAGGCAACTTTTCCAAAACTAGTCTGCCCACACGCTCCAGAACTCCGCAGCCCACATGCCGTCCCACACGAGATTCCACAATTGCATCATCCTCATCAGGCTTCGTGGATTTTCCTCATCATACCTCTGATCTCATTCAACACCACCACCACCCCCATCCTGTCTTTGTAACATGTTAAGAGATCTCCCTATGTGATGGGCATCATATAAGTGCACATTGTTGTTGGAAGTGCTGTGACTTTTTTATATATAGCTAATCTAAGACAGCAAAGTTCCACAAATAGCAATGGCCCATTAAACTTAGTGAACTAATATGACAGAAATATTGGCTAGGACAAGTTGAGAACCCTCTGTTCTTATTCAAAATAATGCCAGGAGATTGTTCACCATCCATTTAAACCATTAGATGTGACCTCAGTTTACCATTGAATGTAAAATAGCACCTCTGGCAATACAATTCTTACTGAATTTGAGAACCAGCCCAAATTATTTTAAATCTTTGTATGAGAATTGAATCCACAGCCTTCTCAACCAGAATTGAATGTGCTGCCAACTAAGACAAACTATAATATTGATTGTTTAATGGTACTGAGAATATAAATATGGAATTGGCCAGATGGCACAGTAGTTAGAATCAGACTTTCAAATCATAACAAAAAAAAATATTGAAATGGGAATTTGATGGTGCATTTAGCTAAAAGAAGTCCTACCGTCTGCTCACCAAAAAAGGCTTTCCCTGTTAAAGAGCAACCTCTGCTGTAGTTCCCAAGGGAAGTACCCAATAAGATTTTTTTAAAAATCCCCATGGACTATGGACCTAAATCTAGGGCACACACTGGAGTTCTTGTTGTAGTCAGATGTTATTCTATTAGTGACAGGAACTGAACCCCGAAGGACTTTCTGGTTTGCTTGTTAATGTGTGAAATCTGTCCATTTGATTTAATGACTTTGGAGATTCTAATCTAGGCCACCACCTGAATGACTCTAATCATTCATATTCTTGGTTGGAAGGTGTACAAGATTTACTTCCTGTGTTGAAGCTTTCCATGCTTACAAGTTATTCGATATATAGTTATGGTGCACAGTGAAACTGGCAACCGATATCCACATCAGACCACATGTGATTGCTTGCATATTTCTGCCCAAATTTTGTGGGGAGGAATGTCAAGAGATTGAGAGTGCATCTTTTGATCTCTGAGGAATCCAGGAAAAAGACTGCATGTCTAGAGCAAGGATGTCTGGGCAGCCTCATTCTGGCTGGAAGACAACACTGAAAGCACCACACAATCATGTAGATTGATTGAGCATCAGCCCCACCTTATGCTCTGACTCCACACTCCGCCTCGTCCCCTCCCTTTGCCTCCTTCAAGACCCATCTCAAGATCCTCCTCTTCGACCGTGCTTTCGATCACCCTGCTCCTCACTTGGTTATACACTGCTTCAGTCTGGGTGTTGGAACAGCTGGGGATGCCATTAGACACAAATCAAGTTGCCCATATCCTAAGCAGTCACTTCCTTCAAACAAATTGGGATGTAACTATAATTTTTAAATTATTTTGTTTGCCTCCTAGGTCATTTGCACACGATCTCTCTCTCCCCCCCCCCCCCCCCCCACCCCCCTCCACTCCTGTGGGCATATGCACACAATTTGAATATTCAACATCCTTTCCCATTAAAGACTTTGGAATTGGTGGCTAGGACACAAATGACAATAAAAACGGGGCGAACAAAGTGTTTTTGCTAAAGCAAAGTTTAGGGTAAATGTCCCAAAAGAAGATCATAAATACTGATAAATCATTCACTGTTGACAGATTATTAAATAAAACTGGAGCAATTTTAAAACTAAATACAAATATCTAATCCCCTTAAACCACTCGCCAAAATCACAAAATATTTGCATCCTCTAATTTTTACAAAGTATATTTTGACTTTAATAAACTGCAATTGCAAATCTCCACCTATATCAAAATCTCTGGCCAGTCTCAACTGAAGTTTATTTAGGGTCAGTTAAGGAATTCAGACTTCTTTGTGATAAACCATCTTTCTTGATAAATATTTTACTTGTCCCCATGGATTTCTAATAAAGACTTTTAATCCTCTTTTACAGCCACTCACTTCAATACATATTTTGTTCAGTTAGGAATGGTGAGTGAAGATTCTTCTGTGATTCCTATGCTGAAGCAATTCCTGAGTTCAATTAAAAGGCGATCTAGTATTACAGAGAAGCTAAACAAAATGCCAGGAAAATTCCTTCATACAGGCTGTGTCCTGCTTAGCAACTCGGCATTCTATCAACCAAGCTCAGTGAATAATATACTAAAGTACTGCGTCTCCTCTGGGAATTCGACCTATGGCCATCAAAGGATGCAGAACAATCTTGACCAGTGTATTAGCAAGCTTAAATGGACTATTGATTAGAAAATACACAACAGTATGCTCTCCCAAGTATTCTGAAAACAGTGAAGAATAACTCCTCGAATCCTGTTCCATATCAACATATTTGAGCCTCTATCCCCATCTATTTATCTATATCCTTATGAGAAAATATGTCGATTTCTGTAATTTTGTATCACCAATGCCCAGTATCCGTTTTGCCTCCTGTGTTATTGTATGTTGCAATGTATCCTGCTGACCTGTGCAGAAAGTTTGAAATGTGAAATTGACAGTGTTTCAAAAGTAGAAAATAAAGTATTAAGGAAAATAAGTATAATTTACACAATTAAACAAATTAGTGGAAAGTCAAGAAATTAATTGCTGGTGAGTATGGCATTCTTCATTCATTTTGAATTTATAATTTACATAAGTGGTGGTTTAAATCAGCTCAGGACTGAAAATACGTGTTTATAATCAGTCCTAAATGCCAAATAGGCATCCATTTGTCTGCATGTATTAATGAATAACTTCTCATACTTTTAAATACTGTAAACACCCTCTGCACACACCAGATGTATCTTTGCCAAAATAAACATTGAAATTGTGCATTTAATGTAAGCTTATTCTGCTAGAAATTCTAATAGATTCAGAATGGTAAATAGAATGCGTATTTCCTGCTCCCATCAGGGAATTGAGGAAACCTCTACTCCCATGCCCTATTATACATGAGTTCTGAATATTAAAAGGTATATCACTTGAGGACAATCTTTTTACGAGACTTCCTGCATAATAAAAAATAGTGTCATGTACATTACAAATATTTAAAATTATTTTTTAGATATATGTTTATGTCCTTTGCATTGTGCAATGTCATAACTGGACTAAATAAAATAACTTTCCAAATAAAGTATATTTTCACAGTAATTTTACAAATTACATTTGTAAAGCGCCTTTCACATCGGGAGGACGTTCCAAGGAGCTGAACAGTCAGGGATCAGGACCCAAGCATGGGGGGCAGGGTTGGTATGAGAGAGCAGAGGGGGTAGGAGGGCAGCTGAAGGCACAGTCAAAAAGGAAGGTCTGGAGTCGTGCCTTGAAGGAGGCAAGAGCCCACAGTCTTGTGGAAGTATAGTGCATGTATATGGAAATAAACTATGCAAAATTTCATAAGACTTTCCAGTGCTGCTACGTACATGCTCTTGGAAAAAAGTTCTGATATTCATGGCTGCCACTGCTGGAGTGAAAATTTTGACATATTTACAGTATCCTTTAAACACTAGTTACAACTTAATGTTAAATATTCACTTCAA